CTCTTATTTAGAAGTCGATTGGATTATTTATTTTGTCAATTTCCTTGTTTCGCTTGAGAAAGAAAACTAGATTATATCCTGGAACTGATAGATTTTATGACAGCCGTCAACTTCATCATTTTTAGAACAGCAGAATGGGGATTTATTTTTCCAATTCCACCATTTCTTATTGATAATGCAATATTTAACCTTTTAAGTTAATCTTTTATGGAAATAGAATTTTGCCGTTGGTTGTGGGAAAGGAATGATTAAATATACCTGGCGAGTGGTGATTATTACCCCATTCCGACGGCAAACTTGATATCTCTGCATCTGTTTGTGTTTTCTAACAGCGCCAATAGTGCTGCATCGGACATACCTCTCATGAAGAAAATCGTAGATTCAGGTTTTTATTGAGCCAAGTCATGGAATCAGCAGGGCTTATATATACTTTGTGACTTCACTGCCATCCATTTCCTTCTATATATATTTTTACTTCCACCAGGGATTTTTTTAAAACACAACAAACAAAAAACAATCTTTCAAATTCAAAATGTTTGAAATTGACATTGTTTATCATAGGATGATCCTATTATGTTACCTGTGGGTGCCATTGGTCTTCTATTCTGGAATGTTTATATCCTTCCTTTATTTCTTTTGCCCAGTCCTGTAGGTACAGTTAGATATACTAAAATATGCAATGGATTCGAATTTGTATGATATATTGAAAAATGTCCAGAACAATCATTATTATTTATCCCTTTATTCCAAAATACTTATCACATTGGATTGTTTCATTCCTTTAAAAATTATTCAAAATATAATAATATATAAGGAAACAGAGAGAGTAGTTAAATATTTTGCCTAGCCTGATCTATAAGGCGAGCATTCCAATCATGCTTGATCCGAGGGGGTTGCCACCTCATAAGGTCTCCCCTGCTTTGAGGACACGTATGGTTCCCTCTTCCATTAGGCGTAGGGTACCCTATTCTCCATTGATCTTTCTTGCTTCCTTTTTATTCCCTCTAAGTATTTTCCCGATGGTTATATTTGTCTCACCCTTACAACACAACATGAAGTTTAAAATTGTTATTAATTTAACTTAATTTATTTTAAAAAATCAACTCCATGAAAATTTTTTGAAAATTGAATTGAATTCTATTCTAGTCACTCAGTTTTTGACTAAAATTATTAAATCATTCCTACTATTTAATAAAAATCAATGATTTCATTCCTGAATTTATTTTCATGGAAACTGATTGTTTGTATTTAATTTATCAATTTTCACGTTAAATATTTTTGTTATTTGGTCATTCACATTTATATGATTTATAATGCTACTGGACATTTAGGTATCTCAATTTCTACATATTTTTTATAAACCACAAGGACGATTAATAATTTTGTGCAAACCTTGGGTACTAGATTGTAAAAATCCAAAGATGAATGTTAAGGCTTACCAACCCCAAAATGACCTCAGGGGAAGGGCGTGTCCAATTGCGTCGCGGTGGCCACAATATTGAACAGTGGTGAGGCAGTAGGCATATCGGTCCTTGGTGGTACGTTTTTTGATGATTGTTGTGTCACCACACCCACATCAGCTCTAAGTCTGGTACCCTGCCAGGGTACAACTCAAAAGCTTGCAAAATCCCATTGGGTAACATAATCTCTCGTCATGAAACGTACTTTTGATCTTGTTCCAATACGCTTGCCTTGAACACATCACAAGCCTAAAAATCTGTAAATTTGTCTAGCTGTTTCCAGCGTATTCTCTGGGATTTCCGCTACTCTTCCTTGGCCGTAGATTCTTTCGTGATCCACGGAAGTTATTCTCGGACATTTAGCATCTGAAAATGCAGGAGTTATTCAACGCACGTGTAATTGGAATAAAGTTTTTGCTATGCCTTTCTTGGGGGCCTTTAGCTGAATTCCAATTGAACTTTTTCTGCTTTTTGGTAATAAACAGACTGAAATTTTAAACAAATTTAAAAGATTTAGGGAGGTGGCTCAACTCAGTTGAACTCGGGGATTAATGAGAATCGCACCACACTATATCTGTTTACCCTGATTTTTTAAAGCAAAATTAGGGAGAATGGTTTGTTGGTATTCTGACTATAAACAATTTAAAATTGCACTTTGATAGAATCATTAACAATTGAGTTTGCGGTTTGCTTTACAGGCCTCTTTTGGATGAGTCAAAACTATATTAATAGACCTTTACTATTTTGTGGTATATAATTATTTCAATTTTAAAATAATCTGAGAGATACTTTGTAAATTTGGGATAGTCGCAAAACAAGATATTCAAGCCTGTGAATTAAGAATTTGGAAGAAAAAAAAAAAATTAAGAAACTCAATTATTCAACAATTATTGAATGTTCTTATTTAAATGCGTTATTTAGTCGATCAAATATTTATTCAGAGGATTAAGAAATTTCATTAAAAAGTAATAATTCAGAGTATTCAAGTATTTCATTTTCGTTCTTTAATTTTTTTCACCGATTTAAACAGAACAAGTTCTTGCTTTTGTCTGGAATAACTAATCGCTAAAGATTTGTATTCTCCGCCTATGACCAGAATCCCTTAATTTGGTTTTATGATTCGTTGTTTTATGAGCTATGAAAAATTCAAGATAGAGATAATTTAGCTAGACCTGGAATTAGAAACTTACAACGTCCAATCCCTGAGTATGAAGACACCGACACGGGAGGTGAAGAAAAGGAAGAACGTTGCTGGAAGCCAATCTCTTCAGAGGCCTCTACAAGCGGTGGATAGATGACTAGATAATTGGTTTCCATACAGGTTTCCGAAACGTTTTCAAGTTTATGGTTGCATTGATATTAACATGACGCTAGAATTGGGGTTTGGCTTGGCTTCTCTTTTATTGCGATGCTTCCGAGAATGGTGTGTATGGTTTTATGGAGAGAGTCACATTTCTTGCACTCATATTATTAAAATATATATTGCCACGAAAGACTTTTCGATTAAATGATGTCTTATGGGGGTTTGTGCGATATCATATCTTTATCACAAGCAATTTTTTATATTTAATTAATTGTAGGACTATTGGAAAGATATAAATTTTATCTCGACTAGATCATATGAATTTTTTTGCATAAAAAATCGGGGTACCCGGACCCTTTACGAGCACTGATTTAATTCGGCTTCGGAATTTAATCTAGTTTAGGCTTTTCGCCATTCTCTGTTAAATGTGTTGTGCGAATCAAATCTAGAACTCTTCTACATGTTCGTTGTATTGTCATTGAGCCTAAGGATCTTGAGTTTATATCAAACATATGAAATGAATATTTTAAATTGCACATTAAATATTTTTTTTTTGTTACAACTCTTTTATTTTTGCAATTAGAGAGATAATTAATTTTTGGCAATATACATATTTATATTTTTGTCTAAAAATTTTTTATATAAGAAAAATGTCAAAGTATAAAGATTTCTTTATTTAATTAATTGAAAACTCAAATATTTTTACTAGTTAGGAATAAAGTCATCCACGTCTTTGTATCCCTCTACCCTCCAAATAAATATTTGATTACATAAGATTAGTTCATTATTGTTACGATAAAATCTGCAACTGCACAGCAACAACCTGTAGTAAAAGATATCGTTTCTCCGATAATCTGTTTGAGTACCAAACTTTAATAATTATTTGTTATTTAAATAAATAAATAAATAATTTAAATTTAGTCTCAATTAACGATGAGTAAAAGATTTCAAATAATTATTAATTTTTCTAATTGATTTTATTTATAAAAAAATAAAAAAATGATTTTAAAGGAAAGGTTAACAATTGTTCTTTTTCTAGGCATAAAAAAAAAGAAAAGCATAAAATTTCAAATAATTAAGGAAATATATAATGCAAAGATAAAGAAGCACAAAGAAAACAATTATACGTACTTTTTATTTTCTTTTTGGCTTTTTGGAAAATTATTATTTTTGGAAGCAAACACAATGATTTGCTACAACTTGAATACTTCTATCTATTTTCGCCAAATTTATATTAGAAGATTCAAGTAAGGGGTAGAACATGCTAATAATTATATTTATATATAATTATGAAATAAAGAGAAAAATAAATAAAATAAAATAGAAAAATAATTATTAATTTAACCCTATCATTTATGCATATATAGTAGAATAATTGGATTTGATTCATTCTCTTCTTTTTTAATGCTTCTAAATATTATTTAAATTTATGAAAATATTCATCTTTTTTTTTTATAAAGATAAATTATTCTATATTAAAATATTCGTCGAGATATTTTTCATTATTTGTTTATTTATTAAAACTCAACCACTGATTCATGTATCAATACTTTCTTTATCCGAGACGGCAGTGTGCAAGTTGCATTGACCCGGAGACCTTTACAAGCGTCCAGTACCAGTAGGCGGTAGGCGATGAGGTCCGTAGTTTTCAAATTTGCTCGATGGAATGAGGTGGGCGTAAAGTGGACCATAGCCCACATGTTATATAAAAAGACGACAATTGACGCAAGTAATTTCCAGTCGTTTCGGATAAGATCAAGCATGCGTACGTAAAATATTAATACGTTGGTTGCAAATACATTAAAATAACAATTAAATGCGTCCTTTTTCACATTAAGAATTCCACATTGTTATAATAATTCCACAAAGGGCATAAAAAGATAGAAACTCATAATAATTAGTAACCATTTGATTTATTAGCAGCAGTTATCATCAAACTAAATAAAACAGTACTGAACTACAAATACAAGTCTTGTTTACAATTACAACACCACAACCGAGTTCTCTGATTCCGTTCATTCACTGTTCAACCATCATGCGCCTCAAGTCGATCACTGAAGATCGAACATGAGCTTGTTTACAATTACAACACCACAACCGAGTTCTCTGATTCCGTTCATTCACTGTTCAACCATCATGCGCCTCAAGTCGATCACTGAAGATCGAACATGAGATAATCCTAACTGGGAGAAGGTTAGGATTAGGATCCACCAAATGTTAGGACAATAGCTAGTTGAGTCCATAAACAAAAACGACCAGCTCGCCAACTCAAAAGTCTAATGGGTAAGCAGCACAAATGGTGAAGCTGTGGTCAGAACACCCGAGGTTGCAAGTATATTACCTCAAAATGCAGAAGGCCTCCAAGTCTATTGATTTCAATGGCCAGTTGTTAAAAGGTGGACTTCCTTTAAAAGTTCTTGAATTTAAACTGTATGCCTCAGCATTATTCTGCAAAGAAATTAAGCTAATAATATTAGTGAGACAACAATTTTATATTCATTCACAGTTAGCATCAACACATTGTCCATGGTTAATCTAGAAGATTTTTAAATTACAATTCCTCATTCACTCAAATATTCCCAAAAAGATATTAGAGCTTGTCCATAACTGACTCAGGTGAAATGATAAACTGGTATGTGTGCAACAACTCCAACGTGGAACTACATTTGTACCACATTGCAAAAAGAAACCATCAAAATGGGGAGGAAAATATGAGCAAATAAAAATTTTCAACTCCTTAATTTATCTTCTTATTTGAAACTCAGTATTCATCAACTTACAACCTTGAGTTCTCGATAAGAAATCTCCTCAGCAGGGCCTTTATGTTGCAAGTCATGCTTTAGTGTCAAGAAAACCTCCAATAATCGCCTTCTGAAATTCAAAATGATGGACTATTATTATCATAATAATTATAAACCAACAACTAACTGCACATGCCCCAGTTGAAATTTCTTGGAGCATACTTGTAGGCTTACTTGCACAGAGACGACTCAGTAGATGGAGAAAGCGCTCCTTTAGCAGAGGTGCCTTGTTTACGACCTGTCGTCCCGAGAATGACTTCATGCAAGCCAGACTTATTCCAACATATGGAATACCTAGGGATAAAAGCAAGCAGAATGCTGTGGAAAACAAGAAAAAGATATAATTTACGCAATCACAATGGGGCAATAGATTTACCCGCATGTTAAAGTAGATAAAGCAGTATCAACATGCTGAAATTCCTCAGGTGGCATAGAAGCTGCACAAAAAAGTGGCTGCAAGTGGCATCCGAGACAAGCCATTAAAACCAACTCAAGTTCACTATTATCGAAGATACTATGTGCTTGACAAACCTTGTTTGCTTGAAAGGAAGCCGTTAATTTATTTGACAACGGTAAGATCCGATCATGCAAAGTTTTTTGCAAGTGCTTCTCCAAAGGAAAATGTGCAGTGCTGTTAGGAGATTGTCCAACAGTAATTGAGGAAATATAAACAGGCTGAAGAAAGTGGGAAAGCAGAGCTCCTGTCATTTAATTAATGCAACAGCAATTTCTATTAGTTTGCAGAGAATATTTGACAAAGTCAAGAAGATTTCAAAATGCTGCATTATAATACATGTCATCAGAAATGCACGCCTAAGTGTCCATGCAAGCTTACCACAAGTGACGATATATCATGAACAATGTCATAGCCTATGCATGTAAAATGAAAGTATTCCCATGGCCACTTCAGTAACAAGAATACACCTTTATATGTTAGTGTTACATCAACAAAAAGGAAAAAGACAAAAGAATTATATTTGTAAGAGTAACATAAAACCGGTATAAAATTAAGATCAGCAACTTCACACGTTAACAAAAAAATTTATAACAAAGGCTATTTTGTGTAATATTTATTTCTTATAGCAAACAGCAAACCTTGAACTCCGAGAACATTCCAACGAGCAATCTTATCAGAGCAGCTAACTGACAATGTTGTATCACCACGACCAGGCTTCCTTTGAACCATGCCACTAAGTTGTGAACCGTTAGCTGAAAAAGTACCCAATAGAGGTAAAAATTAAAAAATGCTGACATCAAGACTAGTATGGCTTCTCTTTAAATAAATTTAGAGAACAAATGATACAGCTAATTAGCAAAAGAATTAGGTGATAAATTAGGTCCATTTCCTTCTCGATTCAGTCTTTAATTTCATTTGATTTTAGGTATAGAGCCTATGTCATGGCAGTAAGCTACAGAAGAAACAGCATTATTTAGGATGAGGGAAGAAAACTAAGAAAGGAGGTTAAATACAATTAAGGTCCTTGTGTACCATCATTCTCTTCTGAAGGCTTCAAAAGCTCATCCATGGAACCATAAAGCATCCGAAGAGGCAGAGGTGAATCCCCTTCGTTTAGAAACGTGTTTCTCCTAGACAATAAGGGTGAACTCACAGAAGCATCCCCACCTACAAAAGTCAATTTAACAATATAATAAAGCAACAAAACACAAATGCATTGGAAGCCATAAACTGAAATCCACTTAATGCGGAAACCAAATAAGATTCATTTACTTTAAATATAACAGAAGATTATCACCAAGAATTACATGGCAACTGCGAGATGTACAGATGTAATTGCCAACCCGCTCTCAGTTTGAATTTTCCTTGACTAGAAACATCTTGTTCCAAATGGAAAAGGCAGTTTCTGTCATCATCACTTTGCAACTGCTGGCTTCCATTATCATTCCCATGCTTGCTAATTTGGGCGAGGCATTGAATCTCTGAGTAGAAGAACCTATTTTAATTTCAAAAACACATGCACATGGAGGCACTTATATAGGCAATAATACTTCCACCTCAAATCTCACAAGTATATATCAGCTAAAGCCCAATAATAAACATTCCACCATAAAATAAGCATAAGGCAGACATAGAGACCGAACACATAAGTCATGAACACACCAAAACGTAAAACAAAGTATGGGCTTTATATATGATATAATGCCTTAATAGATAAGCAGCAAAAATTTTGAAGGAAAATTAACCTCATTAAAGCTCTTCGTGCAATAATTTCAGCGTGTGAATCATTGACAATGTCGCCCCGCGTGCTCAAGTGCGAGCGCCCAATGCATTTTGTTCCCGTTCCTAATGAAACTACTTCTAAATCTGCAATAGGCGCAACAGTAATCCAAATTACCCTTTAACAACACCTTCTATTTTAGCATTTGAATCCAATCAATAAATTAGAAAATAAAAAATGAAATTTACAATTTCAGTTTTCCAGATTCAACAACTTCAGAATGTTAAAGGAAAAAGCTTTACAGGTTTTAGAGGTAAAGTGACCTTGGAAAGGAGAGGAAATGAGAAATGAGGCCAAAACAGTAACTTCGCGTCCCTGAGGCTTTCCCTTCTTAGGAAGAGACTTGTATAGCGAAATCACCTTCTTTGATACCTTCTCCCCCCATTCTTTGTCTGCCGAACGACTTGAATCCATCGCTTCAATTCATGAACTGATCGGTGAACTATATATGATATAGCTATGACTCTTTGACTCTTGAAACTATATTGATAGTAAACTCGAGAACAATAGAGTCCAACCCACTGTATAAAAGCGTAAGAAAGGATTAGTTGCAGATGGAAAGAGAAGGAAGAGGAAAGCAACCCACTGCGTGTCGTCTGCTTGAACAACTTCCCTTAGCTTTCCTTTTTCGACTTGTCGTTCAAGTTGTCGGGTAATTTGATTTACAAAGAACTAAAAAACACTTCAAAGCCTACGCAAGCGCAATCACTACGAGCTGTTGGAGCTAGATTTCATAATGAGCCCACAAATGCGGGCTTGAATTTTCAATAAGTGAGTCCAATACATTCAGTTAAGGTTGTGCCTTAATTTCCGATTTGGCCCAACAAACTCTTTACTCAAATGCACAGGTTCTGTTTGCTGAGACCTAAAAGTGGAATCCAGTATTAGCAGGTCGAGAGAAAGAATTTGCAGGTCGTTTTCCCTTTTCCTATATTACTATAGATAAAGTCAACTTTATTCTTGTAAAGAAAACAGTGAGATAGAGCTCCGTAAAAAGAAGGGTAAAAATCAAAAGAGTAATTTACTGTATTAATGGTGATACTTAAAAAAGAAAGATGCAATAAATAAAGATTGCATGTGCATTAATCTACTTTAGAGCTTTTTGATTATATTGGCAGCTAGCTGTGTCTGTGTCGAAGGTAGGGATGAGGCTGGCTTGAAAAAAGCAAAAGAGATTAAGAAATAAGAATGGATTTGGGGGGTGGAATTTCAGTTTACGTAAATAATGATTGATGAGAAACAGAATATTAGAAAACAAGCAAAGAATGGAGATTAATAAATAAGCAAGAAAAGCACGTGGGACACCTACCATTACCATTTATTTATCCGGAGCTTGACTAATTTGCCAGTTCACTAGATTCATCTTCCACATGACATGACAACCAGACATCCTCTCTCCACCTAGACATCACTCATTCACAGCTCTGCTATCATTTTCTTTTTTCTTTTCTATTTTTTCTAACTTTATTAAAATTATTTCTTTTTGTAAAATTTTTCAAAAAGTTTGAAATTATTTCTAACAGGGTCATAATTTTAATTTTCAAAAATTGTACTGCCATTAAAGAACACTGTTTTTAGCATGTTCATGACAAAGCGAGTGTCCCTACTGGCTACTGCTGTTTAACAGTTAGTAAAGCAAATCTTTTACTGGGCCCAGTCCCATAGACATCATTTGTACGCTTCTTTCCCACGTCGTCGTATTAAAGATGCCGACACCACTGCTTCATTAACTGCTTATACGTGGCACTTCTTATCCGTTTTACCTGTCGGCAATAATCCAATTACACTACGCATCGTAATGGCATCTCCCTCCAGTTCATCGCTCATAGTCGCCGTTCGATCAACTGGTTTCTGACTAGTAATTAAAATGAACGGTCCACGAACCTTAAAATCTTTTAGATTTTTAAAGTGAGCGACACACGTTAGTTGGCGCTATAAAGAGCGTCTACTCAAATTTGCCACTTGGCTAAATTTTGATATCTCGAGTGTTTTTTTGGCTGGGGGTAAGTAATGGCAGAGCAGCAAGCGAAGAAGCTGGAAGCCGAATCGCCGGTGACTCCACCACCAGCACCGGCTCCGGCGCCGGCGGAAACCAAGACCGATGTGGCACAGGAGAAAACTGTAGTTCCACCGCCTGAAGAGAAGCCTGATGAATCTAAAGCTCTTGCTGTAGTAGAGAGTAAGCGCTCTCGCTCTTAACTCTCTCTCTCTCTCTCTCTCTCTGAAACTGTATGTTAGTATGAGCTATAATAGGAAAAAGACTATCTCTTAACTTTGGTGTTTTTTAATTATTTGTCTGAAACAAAATTTATGGAGAATATTCTGGCTGTGTTCATGTTGTTTCTTCCGTTTTCCATAAACCAAAAGGATTTGAATTATTGATAATTGGCTGTGGTCATGTTTTTTTTAATCTCTTTTAAGTTGTAGTGATTCTTGATCATGGTTTTTAGTGGATTTTGAACTTGAAATAGCCTTCTATAATTTAACTATTCTTTATCCTCTGCTTTCTTCTTGTATTTTAGTTGAACTCTCGCTTAAATAGAAAAACATTATAACTTTTTGTATTTTCACAATTGATATATTAATTCTCTGTCTCTTCTGATTTACTGTTTTCACAATCCGATTGCTTTTTGTCTGAGAATAGCTCTTTCTCACTTTCAGAGGGAGAAATATACAGAGTGAAACAGTTATTGGAGTTTAGTATTTTATTTTCCTTTTAAAGATTTCAAAAGAAAGAAAATTTAACCTTGAGATTTCAACTTTTCTATAATGGCGGATGACCTCGTTATGCAAATAGCCAGATCGAAGTAGATGAACTGTATTTTAAAAGCGAAATCTTTTGTTTCGCTTGAAGATCCTTGGCTATGGAATTCCTTTGTTCAGCTTCACTTTGAAGACAACTATATATTCGTGTCGCGTGGAATTAACTTTATTGGTCGTACAATTTGTAAATAAAATGTGCTTATCGTCTTCACATCTGTTTCTTGAAAATCAGGTTAGGATTGGAGGACTATACTCATCAAGTATGATGTACGGTTAACATATAATATATGCATCGGATAAGTCCAGTTAGAATTTGTAAGGATGGTATATCTCACATTTTTAGATTTTTTTCCGGTGGAAATATTGTCCCTACTTGGAATAATGTCATTTGAAGGGCTGGCATATTTTAGTGGAAAATGTCCCTACTTAGCATAATGGCATCCAAAGCAGGATGATATTCTTCCTCCAAGGGGTAAAGCTTGATAAAGACGGGCAATAATTTGGTTTTGTTTTTTAGATGCAATGATAAAGAAAAGAACTAGCTCCTAAAAAGCATACGCTGTTATGCCAGCATATATGAATCAGCTGGAAGCTGATGTAACGTATCTGGTTGGGTGGGAGGGGATTGTTACACTAAACTACTTTGTCTATTAAGGGGAGACTATTGGTTACTTGGTTTATGTAAGTTGAAAGATAGGTGTTATTTAACCCTTTTTTAGTCATCAATGTTGATGTTAAACTACAGTTCAAGTTCAAGGTTCGTGAATCCCTCAGCTGAACTTAGATTTCTGGAAAATTACACTGCAACTAAATTTCTGATTGAATCATAATTATGTATCAAATCCTTGATAAGGTACATAACTGGTTAACCTATCAGCTGCTTTAATTATTTCCTTGTTTTGACAGAGATTCCAGAATCTGCTCCAAAGAAGATTTCAGGGGGATCACTTGACAGAGGTGAATGTTGCAAATGCCTTTTAGTTCTTATTGTCCAGCTAAAATTTATGGAGAACAGAAATCAAACGAGCCAATTTCTTTATTCTATTGCCAAATAACATTTGCTAGAATGTTTAAAATGCTGTGTTCCCTTGGGAATAACATGTTCACTCATTGTATTTCTAGATATTGCTCTTGCTGAGGTTGAAAAGGAAAAGAGAAATTCATTTATCAAGGCATGGGAAGATAGCGAGAAAAGTAAAGCAGAGAATAAGTATGTGATTCCCTAATCTACCTTCTTCTTTTTCCCTTTCCATTCACTATCTGATATATAGCTAAATTACAACAAGTGAAACGTTATCTTAATCATCTAAACATAAACTTGTGATTGAGCAAACTTTGATGGTTTCTTTTACACTAATTGCACTTAAACACGCATCAAGCTGCACTTTTTCTTCTGCAGTGGAAACAAGTCATACTTTTACTACATTCTATTTTGTTTTTAGAGAACATAATATATAAAGGGTCGGTTGTTGAAACTTAGAAACTTTGCCAATGCTGAACAGGGCTCAGAAAAAGAAATCTGCTGTTGAAGCATGGGAGAACAGCAAGAAGGCAGCGCTGGAAGCCAAGTTGAGAAAGATTGAGGTAACTAACCCCATATGGTTTAGTATCCTTAATTTCCCCAAGAAATATCCCGCTTTGCTCCGTCAACCGCCATATATGTTCCATGCAACCCACTCACTGGAAAAGATGAACTTTCAAATTAGTTAGTGCTTTATCATTTAGAATTCAACACTAATAAATTCCATAATGGACAGGAACAATTGGAGAAGAAAAAGGCAGAGTATGCAGAGAAAATGAAAAACAAAATAGCTTTGGTTCACAAACAAGCTGAAGAAAAAAGAGCAATAGTTGAAGCACAACGAGGCGAAGAAATGTTAAAGGCAGAGGAAATGGCTGCAAAATACCGAGCTACTGGACAAACTCCAAGGAAGCTCCTTGGTTGCTTCTAAGGTTGCAAGTTTTGAGCCTGGTGGAGAATCAGTAAATCGCATCACTGCTGCTCCTCTGCGATAGTCTTTATTCTCTGTAACTCTATGGTTTGCACGTGTACACATTTCTTATCTGTATCTTTCCTTGGATTTTTAAGTCTTTATCATTGATAATTTCCATTACAGAATGTGTGTTTGTATAGAAATACAATATTTTCTGTGACAGAGTTGAAGTTTATTTCATTAACAAACTGTTGCTATGGGCATGTACCCGAAGTAGGATAAATCAGAAATTAACAGTAATCACATCTAAGGTAATTTTTGGGGTCTAAAGTAAATTGAATTCTAATTAAAAGGATCATATCCAATTAAGATAATTTTACTACATGGAATATTTGCCAAACAAAATTTTGAAAGATTAGATCTTAAAGAATATATACCTTCTATATATAATTGGCAGGGCTCCAGTAAATTACATTAGGAAACGTTAACATCAACATACACTCTTAACTTCACGCAGCCGAAAAATCTAAACAAAATAACTAACCACTTTGTTTCACAGCTTTTAGTGGTGAAAAGAGCAGCTCAGCAAAAGGGAGGCTCAAAAGTTGAAACTTGGAAGGTCTCACAACTGCATTGCGGAAGTAGTAGCATAGCTATCGATGTCTCCTTCCAGAAAGCTCATGTCATTGTTAATTGGGAAATCTAACAGAAGTTGTAGTGTTGAGTCTGATGAATCCTCTAACTCAATAGAGCTTGATGAATCAGACCCAGCATTCATATCTTCAGCATAAGATTTGCAGCTCTTGCACTCCATATCTTCAATTTGATTGCTGGCTGTGGTAGAGGAACCTGCTAAGTTAGGGCTAATATCAACTGAAACTGATCCACATTTGGTTGAAGAGGATGCCTGAGAAGCTGAAGCGGCAGGGCTTTTGTCTTCCCTATTGAACTTTCGAAATTGTTCTCCAACTTCAGAATTCCACATTCTCAGAAAGTAATCGCTATCAGTTTTCCCTGGAGTTGGAGGATTGAAGAGAGAGGACTCCCTCGAAAGGCGTGCCTCAGCTTCAAGCCTAGCACTCTCCCATTGTGTCATATGGCGGGTAGCAGGGGAAGCAGGTGCTTTTATGACAGGTCCACTGGAGGTAAAGGGCTCATGAGTTAGGGGGTCAAGTCCCATACAAACCAGACGTTTTTTCAGGTGTGTGTTCCACAAGTTCTTTATCTCATTATCTGTTCTGCCTGGTAGTTGAGAGGCAATTGCAGCCCACCTAAATAACACGGAAACAAGTTGATCAAGGCACTGTTTCACATAAGTACTTCAATAGTCCAATATAATAACATTTTGAAGCAATTAATTAACCAATCAAGAAAATAATTAATTAATTAATTCATCCATCAAGATCATAAAACTATTCTGTTGGCTTGATTATGGTTCTCCTTTTTACCTGTTTCCAAGAATACCATGAAGTTGAATGACAAGTTTCTCTTCCTCGAGAGTAAAAGGACCCCTTTTTATATCTGGCCTAAGATAGTTCGTCCATCTAAGCCTGCAACTCTTTCCACAGCGAAGAAGACCTGACAAAAACAAATTGCTGATAAATAGAATATGACTTGTCTTGTTGGCAGCTATATATCTGTTTGTGCAATAGCATTTGGCTTATACTCATTAGCCAAACTCTCAAAACTCAAAATAACTCTTGAAGATTGAAAATGACTTAACATTAAAGATTATCAAGAAGTTTCCAGCTCAACCACTAAAATCAGAGACAAGTACCAATTGATAGGGAAAGAAACATAAATGATACATAATTATACCATCCAATAGCAAAATTTCCTTGTTATTAATTTTGGAACTAAACAACAAACAAACAAATATTGAATGCAACTTATTATGCTTCCAAATCTAAAGCATTAAGTACCAGCTAGCTTAGGGAGAGAGCGCCAGCTTCCATGGCCATTCTTCTTGATGTACTCTACAAGAATCTCATCTTCTTCAGGTGTCCATGGCCCTTTCTTCAAACCCTTCTTGTCACAACACGGTGTCCTTCCCATTCTTCTTCTTTTCTTTTTCTTCAGTTTGATAACACTCAACAACAGCAAAATCACCACTAACCAACAGGCACCGGATATTATCACATTTACTCTCAAGGCAAAAGTAAAGCAAAGAAGAAAAGCGAACAACTGTTTAAAAGAGTGAATGAACTAGAGACGTAGAGTGAGCGAGTGACTAGAGCTGTGAAGTGAACCATGTAACTGCTGACAGAGAAAAAGAGAGAAACTTTAAATGCTAGTTTGATCTTATCTAGGGAACTCGAAAGCGGGTATTTATTGCGAGTGGAAGAAAGGACGATCGGCGAGTTTCAAGCTGGCATGGCAATAAATATAGGTTAATAATGCAAGTGTATGCATTTATATATACATATACATGCATGGAAACTACAGGCATTGAGAAAGTCTAATCATGATTGAGCCAAGAAACCTGTACAAACAGTAAAGAGGATTAAATAGGGTTTCTTTTTTGGACGTTTTCTTTTACACAGAACTAGCAAGAGAGAAAAAAGAGAGAGAAAGCGCATTGAAGATGAAAGCGAGAGCATTAAAGGCGGATTCTTGTGGAGTGTACAGAGGAAAATTTATTGGGAAAGAGAAGAGTAATGGCTCTGGACAATGACCTTCGTTGTACGTACACACCATGACGTGACCCGGTCTTTTCCTGGTGAATTATGTAATAATTATATTTATTATTACCTTTCACTATTGTTTTGAACGTTTGGTGAGTAAGAAAATTTTCGATGAAGGAAAAGAAAACAGATAAACCAAAATTTCTTTCTTCTAACCCCTTGCGAGTTCAGAGAAACTAGGGTTTGGTCTGTGGGTTCCAGTTTCTTGCAAGATTATGAATCCTGACAATCTCTAGTTGACACGTAAGAAACTGTCGTAAGACAGATACTAATAAATTCTACTTCTGTCCCATTCCCAGTGTCGATAGATTAAGAAAATTACTAAGGGCGGCAATCCGCCAATTTGGTTTTAAATTGAACCGAACCCAAGAAACTTCAAAACTTAATTAGTTCCTTTCACTTAACTGAATTTCAGCAGTAGCAATTCTTAAATTTCGGTTTTATTCAATTAAACTAAAATTTTATTTTTCAGCTAAAAAACTAACTATATCTATCAAAATAACCGATTAACTTAAAAATGGAATCAAGTTTTAGAATCACTAAAATGACAAAAGAATTAAAAAAAAAAAAAATTAAAATATCACTCGACTAAAATGAAAGGAGTACAGATACAGTATAAAAATTCTCATGCATTAAATGCTTTTGTTTTTGGTGATTTTTTAGGAATGAAGAAATGTTTTAGAAATCTTTGGGTACTGTGAGCATTATTGCGGTCTACTGTTTAAAATAAAATAATTATTCAATTTGATAATGATAGTATAAAAAGTTGTAAAAATAAATTTTCAATATTTTAAAATGTATTTTATAAAAGAAATAGTTATCTTTTTATGAATATTATTGTTCTACTCCAACATCAAAGCTTGCGGTCATTGAGGTATTCTTTGTTTTTGATTATAATATTGAGAAGTAGAGAGGAAATAAAAATAAATAATTAATGAGGAAAAGAGTCAAAGAAGTGTGGGAATCGGGAGTGAATGATTGTTCAGTGTAATAAATGTGGTCAATAAAAAAAAGTCAAAGAAAAGTTGAAAAGGTGTAGACTGATGTGAGGAGAGGAACCTCTTAGACTGACAAGTGACAAGTTTTACTGCTCTGCTGTGCTGTGTGTGGATGAAAACTTCCATTTTTGCATTTGCATGGACATAATATATTCACATCAACGCTACAATTTTTCTGTCAATTCATGTGCTTGTTATTATAATTATTATTATTATTATGTTATTTAAACATTGTTAGATTTTAACTCCAGAAAGACAAGTTAATGTGTTAGATAGACCTTTGCTTTGCACTGTGTTTGGAAAAAGGGAATGTAAGGATAGGAGAAATTTCTTTCCCTTTAGCTCCCAAACAATCTTAGAAACCAACTTTTTTTTTTTTTTCCGCAAACAAAGCCCTAATGAATTTTTTACGAGCTTTGAAATTATTATAACTGTATATAGTAACTGACGGCCAAAAAAAAAAAAAAATTCCTGAGGAAATAAAATCAGACATGGATTTGGTCAAGATTTCGTGCGAGAGATGAACGTTACATTAATAATGTCGGCGACATGTAAGAACCATTTTGGACCCCACTTGTCCTTCCCTGGCATTCAATAACTGAAGGGAAATTTCAAAAGCGCTCGAATGCTAGATTGGTGCTCGTCAATTTGAAGTCGTAAAATTATTTAAAAAACGAAATATTTAGAGTTTCCTTACCACTTACTAACATCAACACCCAATCTCACGCATGAAGTACAATGAAACTTGAAATAAAATTTAACTGCAACCGTTGCTCATCTCAATCTGATTTGTTTTACTATTAATTTCACCGCCAGATAACCTGAACTATATAATATAAAATTAATCCCGATAACAAGCAGGGATTTGCTATCATACAGATCCTTCCTTTTCCTTCCACTGCTTTAGGATTTGTTGGGTCAATTACGTTTACGTGTACCATCTAATGAATTGGCATGATAGAAGATTTAATTTGTGTGTAAAGGCTACCTTCGATTCAATCTTCAACGCACAAGACAGTTATGGATGATTTGTCATAAAAGGCAGAGACCCAACAGAAGAAAACTTGTCTCCTACCTGACACGAAATATCATCAGATACAATACAAGAATCAAAGATTCTCAAGTCATAGCCTTTATTAATGGATCCAAGAGGGAGAGGAACTGAGATACTTTCCACAAAAGTACAACCTTCAACATTCAACAGTGATAATAATGAAACTTGAAATAAAATTTAACTGCAACCGTTGCTCATCTCAATCTGATTTGTTTTACTATTAATTTCACCGCCAGATAACCTGAACTATATAATATAAAATTAATCCCGATAACAAGCAGGGATTTGCTATCATACAGATCCTTCCTTTTCCTTCCACTGCTTTAGGATTTGTTGGGTCAATTACGTTTACGTGTACCATCTAATGAATTGGCATGATAGAAGATTTAATTTGTGTGTAAAGGCTACCTTCGATTCAATCTTCAACGCACAAGACAGTTATGGATGATTTGTCATAAAAGGCAGAGACCCAACAGAAGAAAACTTGTCTCCTACCTGACACGAAATATCATCAGATACAATACAAGAATCAAAGATTCTCAAGTCATAGCCTTTATTAATGGATCCAAGAGGGAGAGGAACTGAGATACTTTCCACAAAAGTACAACCTTCAACATTCAACAGTGATAATACTTGGCTGATAATATCAAAACCAGTTTGTCATGGAAATCAAACACAACACAGAACTGGACCCAGTATCTCTCTGGGATTTATAGATCATTAAAATTCTAACCTATAATCCTGGTACCGTTTCAGGCTATGAAAATTCAGAAACAAACAAAAGCATTCCAGGGTTAAATGCATACAGCAATCAAAGTCTTCCATCACAATATTTAATTCTCAGAAGTCGCCCTCAGATGCAGATGCAGATGCAGATGCAGAGATAGATACTGCTTCAATCAACATTTGACAACTTGGACCCCCTACAAAATAAGTAAATAAGGTGATCAATAGTCACATCATAATGCAACTCAAATTTATGAAGAATACCCTAGTATTAAACTAACTAATAAAGCTCATTGGTTATGCGAAGATCATCCTCAGTGAATATTCTCCATAAGAATAATATATTTGAAAGTTACTTCAATCAGCGCTATACATGTTCCCAAGAGACCTGTTTCATCATAAGAGTTCCAAGTCATATTTAATCTAATCCTAAGCACTTTCTTCCTAAATTTTTTTTTCCCAAAATCATCACCCACACATCCGCATATAGTCCTTTATAAAGAGTGCCAATATATCTAATTTAGGCACAACCAAAACTACTAATCAAAGTGCAAAGGAAACAGAAATGATGTTTTAAAACATCTGTTGCCAAACAATGCAGTGAATGCAATATCACAATCACTCACCATTTCTACCTCTTGTTGCTACTCACCATTGTTGAAGAAAAGGCAAGGGATCTACCACAATTTACCGGCAATAAATTGCCTGATCAATATGAGGAGGAATTTGCTTAATTTCAGTCCCAAGCTCTTGCTCAATCCTATACCTATTGGAAACAAGATTTCAAATTACGAGGATAAATCAGGAATCCCCATTATCAGCAGCAAAGTTTACAAAGGCAGCACAGGGACAATAAGAAAAAAAAAAAAAGCGTACAAGTTAAAGCGGTCCTCATAGGTAATCAAATTCACAGCCAAACCAAGGTGCCCGAACCTTCCTGATCGACCAACCTGCATTTGAATCATATCCATGAGGAGACGAAATGTATTTTGATAAAACAGTGATTGCAAGAAATATGTATTCAACATACCCTGTGAAGATACGTCTCAGAATTCTTGGGGAAATCAAAGTTAATAACTACGTTCACAGCTTGGATGTCTATACCCCTGGTAAACAAATCTGTAACAGCCAACGGTACCATTAGGATATCATACGCAAGAACATGTTGAACTACCACTTCACAGAACAATAAAATTATTTTCATGTCAACATTCTTGTACCCTAAAAGTAACTTCTATACAAAATAAAAAAAAAAAAAGGACCATGAATCGAAAAAACAGGATAGAAACAAGCTTATAAGATTGCAGTGAAATAAGCACAACATGGACTGATTTTCACCACCTTTTCCCTTGCTTATTTTCTCCCTTACCTTGAAAGTTGAAACTAAGCCAGAACCACAGCTGTACTACTGGGCTACACTTTATTTTTATATTTCAGAGATTAGATCCCAGATTCGGGCAAACACATTGTCCAGATAAATTTGCCTTTCTCCATATTCAGACTTGAATATGTTATAATATTTAAGAGTAACCTTGTCTAACTCTGAGTTGACTCTCACCCAACTGGAAAAAATTCTAGGTTTGGTTTCACAAAATAGAAAGATATGGTTACAATCATCACGCACAGATAGAGTTGATGGAAACTGTAGCTGCTCACACAGATTCGTGTACAAAAATCAAATCAATGGGCAAAAAGAAGAGTAAAAAGCACACATCACTAGTACAAAAGCATCAGTAGCATACCCGTGCAGACAAGATTCCTGCATGCACCATTGCGGAAGTCATGAAACACTCTGTTGCGATGGTCTTGCAACATCTTAGCATGGATATAAAAACAAGAATATCCAAGTTCTGTGATCTTCTTGGCCAACAGTTCTACACGATTCACCGAGTTGCAGAAAATGATAGATTGGTTTATTTGAAGCTGCACATATCCCAATTTGTATCATATCAGCAAAGGAAAAATGAAGCACACATCAGCGTTACAGCATTTTAGCTGAGATCAAACCTTAGAGAAAAGAGTGTTTAGACAGTGGACTTTCTGTCGTTCTTCAACAAAAGCATAATACTGCGTAATACCCTTCAAAGTAAGCTCATCCATAAGATTGATAATATAAGGCTTGTGTAAATATCTATCCTTGAAATCCTTAACAGTAACAGGAAATGTAGCAGAAAACATCAAAATCTGACGAGTTGGAGGAAGAAAACGGATCAGCTGCTCCACAGAAGGTTGAAATTCTGGAGACAAAAGTTTGTCAGCCTGAAAAGCAAATGCATGGAAGATCAGCCGGCTGTGCATTAGAAAATTACTTTTTAAAGACATTCCGCAAAGTAAAAAAGAATATCATGTCATTCAAGATAAACTAGATTTTAAAGAACAGACAATAAATGACAGTAAACCAGTACAGAAACAGAGGATGAAGTTAGGAAACTTTCACAAGCAAGCATAAAAAAAATTCTCTAACAAAGTTGCTAAGCTCTTGCATGTGAAATGAGAAAACAAAACCTCTTTTTTGTGAGAAATTGCTGGACCAAGAATTGTGAAAAAAGAAAGCTAGAAAAACTCAAAAAATATAGCAGAAACGAAAAAACCTAATCAATCATTGTAGCACACAATTGCCTGAAACAAACTTAATAAATAGAAAATAATTCAGCTCAGAACTTTACCTCATCCATAACAAGCATTGAACAGTCTTTCAAAATGCAAACACCCTTTTTTGCAAGGTCCAGTATTCTTCCAGGAGTTCCAACCAGCAAATGGACAGGTTGATATAAACGCATGATGTCATCTTTTAGACTTGTACCACCTGTAGTAACCATCACTTGAATTTTCAAGTGCTTCCCAAGCTCCTTGCAAACTTGTGATGTCTGAAGAGCCAACTCCCTTGTTGGAACAAGTATAACAACTGCATGCAAATGACTCGCTCAAGTTAGTAGCAAAGGCAACACACACAATAATGCATACGCACATATAAGAGAAGAGGAAAGAAGAGGAGCTTTGAGCAGTCTGTAAATCCTTGTTATAGAACAGGGCATATGTTAATATCACCATGTAATATCAAACATCATAAAAATCTGTAGTGTGTACTCGATAGATGAAGAGAGTAGGATCAATCAGGCCAGAATAAATTACCAGCCAAATTCACTGAACAAAAGATCAGTCCATCCCTAGCAATATTGCATCCAAGCCAGTCTTATTTCATCCCTGCTCCATGAATTCCACAAACAAATCGATGCAAAATACCATGATGGCCTTCCACACTAATTATCATGTTCTCAAGCAGCAAAAGATATTCACATATCTTCTAAATTAAAGCAAGACTAGCACCAACTTCTAACCAGCCTAAATATATTATATTACCCGATCAAGAAAGTAACTTACTAAATGACAAAAGTACGTATCCTAGTTGGATAGTGCAACTAAAGCCACATACTACCCATTAACCTACAAATATGTACACAACTATAAGAAAATGTAAAAAATAGCATAGAGTGAGTGATCAGACCTTGAATGACATTGTTATCTTGGTCAATCTTTTCCAAGGCAGGAATACAAAAAGCTGCCGTTTTCCCAGTCCCATTTTTAGCTCTAGCAAGAATATCACTACCAGTAAGAGCAATTGGTATGCTTTCTTCCTGAATAGGAGACGGTCTTTCGAAGCCCTTCTCATATATTCCCATAAGCAGTTCCCTTTTCAGAAAATAGTCCTCAAACTCGTTTCCTTTTGTCGCTGTGACATCCTGAACAATGTACATTAAAAAGGCTTATCACATATTATTATTATAACAAAACTGTTCAGGACAATTAAGTTCATCAATTTTTATACTTCCTTCAGTAAGACTAGACATGCAAACTATTTCCATGTGAAGCCACACAGTCTTCATAAGAAGATCCCGCAGCCATATGGTGAAAACTTAAGGGGTCAGAGTTCTTAGGATCCAATTATTGAGAAAGGAAACAACCTTCTAAAACTCCTAAGAGAGTAAAGTCACAAACTAGCATAATCACAATTCACATATAGTTATGAGGTAAGACCATACCTCTGTTTTGTAGCGTGTATCAGCTGGTGGTATCTTTAACCTTGCCTTCCAATCTTGTGAACTGCAGAATACAGACCAAATATTCAGTCAACTTCTAAGAGAGTGCAAAAGCAGAAACATAAAAGGAGCTGGTAAGTTCAGCAATCCAAATATCAGTAGTTGTGAAAAAAGCAAGCTCAAAAGGCAATAAGAGAAAGATAAAAACAAGTACCAACATCAGCAACACAAAAAATAAAATCTTAACAGCAACCAAAAAAGAATAAACACAAAGCTCCAGAGAAATAACCACGAGGATAAAAAGAAGCAGCAAGTTCAGCAATTAAGAGCATATTTTCTGCAACAAAAGCTGGCAAAAAAGAACTTAAAAATACAGGAAACAAAGATAGATCGTCATGAGAAAGATGAAAAAGTGAGAAGCTAATATAAACACTCCTAATAGGATACTTAACGGCAAAGAGAAATATCTCGGAATGCATAAATTTTTTTAAAAATTCACAGAAGTTATAATCAAGTCAAACAGAATCAGGAAAATACACCATATTCTCTCCATCAGTAATATTCACGAGGGGAAGGTTCATTCTTGAATAGAATGAACATTATTCTTCACATACCTGACATTCAAAAATAAACCCCTCATCAAATTGGGTGAACTCATTAAATCCATGACACCATGTATTTTGCTGATATGATAAGCAAATAAAACTATATATGAAGAAACAAATTTCAATCATTAATTCGATTACTATTCATGATGGAGCAATAACTCCAAAGGTTTATTACATTATTATTCTAGTTTTTCCCTTTTCCACAATATAAAGCTGAGGACTCAGTATTTTTGGTGTCATAAAAGATCTTTGTCCATAATTAGACCACCTCTAGCTTATCTCAAGATTAGAAATTAAAAAAAAAAGGAGAAAGAAAGATCAGCAATAGCCTTGGATAACTTCTAAAATGACCCATAACTAGACTCCTATCCACGGCCGGGAACACACATCAATTTTCAAGTGCTATAATACACTGCCTAACCCGCTCAAAAGAACAGCAGCCAAACTTATCTCTTTTCTACCAGGCTGCAGTATGGCAATTCCCCAACTATTTTTTTCTTCTAACATTTCCAAATTTATGTTTTTGATGCTCCAATAAAACCAAAATGATTTTCATTTTCCTACACCAACTAGGCAAAGACCATAACCCATCACGTTAGCCTACACATGAAGATAGGCATGCATTTGGGAGCAAGATGTGAAATCTTCTATTCTTTTAGCAACAGCAACCCATAAAAGTACACCAGCGAAACAAGAATGCTAAGACGAACCTGGAGTCAACGGCCTCAGACTGAACGGTCTTCTCAACCTCGTCAACACTGGAATCCGCAGCAGGTAACTGGCTCCTCCTCAGCCACTGCTGTTGTTGCTGCTGCTGCTGCTGCTGTTGCTGTTGGTGATGCTGGTGTTGTTGATGTTGAAACTGCTGGTGATTCTGCACCATATTCCTTTGCACATACTGCTGCTGCGGAACCCGTGACTGAAAACTAGGGTTTGCGTTCATGCCTGCGCCTCTCCCGGCACCGATCCCTGGCGGATACCGCCCTCTATTATTACCGTTCATCACTAACAGCCCTAACCCTGACTATGTAGCCTAAAATTTGTGCAAAAACTTTCAAAAGAAACCAAGGAACAGAACCTAACAGTCAATTAATTACAAACAATGGTACTAAAAGCTCTAGCGTTAGGTAAAAGAATGGAAGCGACGAGAAGTTTATACAACAGAAAATAAACCTAGGGAAAAAACTAGGGTTTCTAGTGCGGTATAACCGTAAAAGAAAGATAGCAGGTCGACAAGGAAAGATAATAGTCTATTTTTGCTCTGCAAGTCAGGGTAGGGTTTTGTTGTTTTGGGTGAGATCGTAAATTCAGAGCAAAATCAAGGCCAAAAAATCAGCGGATCTGGAGTGAAAATAAGAAAAATTGCGATTTTGGAAGCGAAATTTAAAAATACAAAAAGAATTGTAGCTAGGCCTACAAGAAGAAATGAAGGTTTGTGCGTTGATTCATGGCGTTTAGGGCGGGGATGTGAGTACAGGTTGTGTTTGTGGAGACACGAAAAATGACGAAGAAACCGTCCTCGAGGACTAGGGCTTCAAAAGATTGTTTGTTATTTGCATCTGCAGCCCCCTGTTTTAACTATATTGCATAAATCACCGACCTTGATCGAAAATATCAATATATAATAATAAAATAATCATACTAATACTGTTTCGAACTTTTCAAATACCATTTCTTTCTTCTATTTTTTTTTTTTTTTCTTCATAAGATTAGATAGTGAACTAAATATATCCAAATTTAATCTATTTACTTTTAAACTTTAATTATATATATTAAAAACTATCTAGTTATATACGTTTTTCTTTGGTTAAATAATTTTTATCAATTTAAAATTTTACTCCATTTCATCTATTTTCACGGTGTTCTAAATAATATAAAGGAGAATTTAAACAAAGAAAACGATAGACCACCCATTCCTCTCTGCTGTGACAATCCTTTTTTCCCATACTTTCGTACCGCTTCTACAGCCATAAATGCCATTATCGATGTTGTAAATTGAGGCAAGTATAATTGTTATTCTCCAATTGATAGTATTCTTCCTGCTAGAAGGTAAAACTTTTCCAAAATATATAACTTTCATTTTTTTTTTAGAAGTATGCAATCTCTATTTAGTTCTGAAAATGTAATATTGTGTTATTAGTTGAAAAAATATTATTTCTAATTTATTAGACTTTTAAAATTAAATATTGGTAAGCTTAAAACAATGAGCCTTTAATGCTTTTGTGATTATTTCAATTGAATTTTAGTGTAATTTCTAGGTTATTGTTTCATATCAATTTTTATTTAGACTCCTTTTGTCTCCGTTTAAATAGCTTCACTCAAAGTGTGTGAATATTAAGAATAAAAATTACTCCGTTTGTAAAAAAAATATAAATTAAATTCATAGGGAGTTTCAGAGAATTTTTTAAAAATTGTGGGAAGAAGTATTAATACCAGAACATTGGGGATCGAGGTGCAACAAAGATAATGCAGTAAAAAAACACGAAAAATCGGACATGGACAAGTACAAATGGCTGAAATTGGGTTTAGAGCATTTCAAGACCGTTGGTGGTACTGGGACCCACTACAACTAAAGAACAGAGTATTTATTGTTTCGCTACCGCATTAAGGCATTTGTCATAGCAAAAGTTTTTTTTTTTTTTTTTTTTTTTTTTTAATAACATAAGAACTTGGGGATCAGAGGTGCAACAAAGATTAATGCCAGTAAAAAGCAACGAAAATCGGACATGGACAATGTACAAATGGCTGAAATTGGGTTTAGAGCATTTCAAGACCGTTGTGTACTGGACCACTACAAACTAATAAAGAACAGAGTATTTATTATGTTTCGCTAACCGGCATTAAGGCATTTTGTCATAGCAAAAGTTTTTTTTTTTTTTTTTTTTTTTTTTTATTAAAAAAGAAGGCAAAGAAAAGCTGCAATTGAAAATACTTAACAAAAAAGGAAACGGGGATTAGTAAACAGAAACTTTAATAACCGAAAAAATTGGAAATAAATTTCACAGTGAATATAAAACAAGCTCAGGAGAAAACGCTTATATGAAATAATCCATCATGATAGTGATATTGAAACAGGCCCTGGAGAAAGATAATACACAAAGTAGTTACAGAAATGCAATAATTAATATGTCTTTTTTTTTTTTTTTTTTTTTTTTTTATAAAAAAAGAAGGCAGAAAAGCTGCAATTGAAAATACTAACAAAAAAGAAACGGATTTAGTAACAGAACTTTATAACCGAAAAAATTGAAATAAATTTCACAGTGATATAAAACAACTCAGGAGAAAACCTTATATGATATCCCATCATGATAGTGATATTAAACAGCCCTGGAGAAAGATAATACACAAAGTAGTTACAGAAATGCAAATAATTAATATGTCTCAGAAGTTCGTAATAGCTTCTTCTTTCCACCAAAAAATAAAATTACAACCTTCTATCTCTATGTAAAGGATATATGTAATTTCAGAATCTGCCATTTTCAGCACCAACCTTATCTTGAGTTGTTTCTTCTGAGACAGATGCTAATTCCACTCTTAGGTTCTCAAACTTCTCTTTCAATGTCATAACATCTAAAGCAGAAAAGATTATCTCCTTGATCTCAGATTCCAGTTTCTCTATTTTTCCTGAACTTGAGCCCTTCTTTATCTCTGACTTCAACTCCTCAACCTTGCCAGTAACGTCAGCTGTATTTATCAGTCTTTCAATTTCTTCTGAAATCTCTTTATTAACGATGTCTAATTTCTCTCGTAGAGCAGGAGGTGGAGTTGCTTCATTTTTCTTAATTATTCCAACAATCTCCAAGCCAGATGACTTCAGTACATTCACCAACTCTTTTTTAGCTTTTTCTGCTTCCTCCACCAAATCCTTATCTAGTGCATCCCCTTTCGACAGCTTTTCTTCAGCATTCTTTAGAAGTTCTATCTTTGCTTTTATCTCCTCTGGAACCTTTTGATTAATCTCTGCTTTTAGTTTTTCACTTCTGTTTTTAAGCTCAATGAGTCGATAAACTAAGTTCAACTTTTCAAGCTTCTGTTTTAGTCCTAGATAAGCTCCTGTTCGTGACAAATTCTGCTTAAATTCTTCCATTATTTTATCTGCCTTTTCCTTTAAGTTACGATTAAGGGGCTGATTAGGTACACGATTTGGGGCTTTAGATAACTCCAACTTGACTGCTTCAAGCTTTTCCTGCAAACCCATTGAAATGAATGCCTTTGTAATCTCATTGTCTACGTCTTGCTTCAGCTTCTCAATTGCTTTGTTTGAAATTGGTTCAATTGTTCTTTTAGATTCTAGAATCTTCTCCTTTAAATTCTCAAGCTCCAACTCTATATCAGCTGTCGTTGCGCTGTTGGCCTCAGACGGTTTCATGTTGCGTTTCCTCTCTGGCTCCACTGGTACACCTTCCTGGAATCCTCCAATATACCTAAATTTAAGCATGCGGTGATGGAGCAGCTCTTCCTTGTCCATATTTGCTAGTTCCTAAATTCAGTACATTACTTCGGTTAGCAGTGGATGATGACTAGGAAACCAAGAAAACATAAAGTAACGTAGTAGAATTGCAAAATCACGTGAGAAAACAAAACCAAAGGAAAGCTTTCTTGGCCTAATGGCACGAACTACATCTAGTAAGTAGACAATTAAAGTGTGCACACACATATAATGGGGCAGAAATGATGGAAAGAGCCAAAAAATAATCTACAAGGTCTGCTTACATTTTGAAGTTCATGTAAGTGGGTTACTTGAAGTTCATGTAAGTGGGTTACTTACTAACACTGAGAAACACAAAATCGATCCCAGAACATATTCTGTTTTGTCTTCCTAAGTTGGTGCTATGCACATATGCAGACATCTCTTACCTCCATGGCCTGGGTGATTGCAAGCTTAATTTGTTGTGAAGTCCACACTGGATCAGCATGTGCACCACCCAAAGGCTCCTGCAAGTGATATAATAACATATACAAGAACAGAATGGAACTCAGTTGAATACATATTATCAGTGATTGTGAACATCTCAAATGGGAAAAAAATCATAAGAAATCAGCTTCCATACGGGAATGATGCCATCGGCAATTTTGAGCCTGTAATGCTCTTGAGCAGTTATCCTTAGTTTCTCAGCTGCCTATACAAATTATAAATAGTTCTGTGAATTAATAAAAATTACAAAAATACATAAGCTTAACTGTCAAACAATTCAAGCACCTTTGGAGCTGCTTGGGAAGACTTCCACAATATTGCAGCACATGCTTCAGGACTGCTCCAATTCATGATGCCACACAAAAAATGTTTCAGCCGTCATGGCATGAAAGAGCAAAATAATGCAGGACAATTTAGAAGCCAGTCAAGCCACAATGTAAGCAGTAAAATTAACTATGAGAGGTTCCAATTCGGAGTTAATCCCAAGGATGGAACTACAATACATGCAATAATGCAGATACAAATTTTCTTCTTCAAACTGGGTTACCTAGCCATTCTAAGATGTGTTCTTAGTTATTACAGATGCCACTACAAATTGTTTGCTTCAAGAACACAATTATTCAAGCTTGATTCAATGTTGCTGGAGGAAGAATTAGGTAAGTCTTCATTTTGTGCTCTTCACTAACTTACACAGAAAAAGTAAGTTCAACTTGAATACAGAATGAAAGCCGAAAGCTGCTTTTGAAATTCAAGGACTCGATCTTAACTAATACAAAGTAATGCAAAGAGAAAACAGATTATCACCTTGCAACATAGAAAGCAGAATTCTCCAGCATTAATAATTTATTGGCACAAGCAATAGCCAACGCCCCACCTGAACCACCTTCACCAGTTACTACAGTTATAATTGGCACTTTCAGGCCAAACATTGTCCTCAGATTATGAGCTATTGCTTCACCCTGCATAAAGTAAAGCAGATTAGAGTCATCAATGATAATATATGAACAGCATGAATTATAACAGACAACTAGCAGTGAAGGGAGAAAAGAGAGGTCATATGCGGACCTGACCAAGTTCCTCTGATTTGAGATCAGCAAAGGCCCCAGGAGTGTCAACAAAAGTAACAATGGGAAAACTATGATGATCAGCATATTTCATCATACGCAAGGCCTTTCGGTAGCTGTTTACAGATAAATGAGGAGTTCTCATAAAAAACCAAAAATGGTGCTCAAAAGCTGACAACAATTGCAATTTAGTCTTGCATTGTCAAAATATTAGGCCATATATAGACTAATAGTAAGAGAAATGCCAGTACAAATGTTCAATGGAAAGCAGAATTAATTAAAAAATTCTTAGTGGCAGGCTTTTTTTTCAGTTAGAAAAGTTACGATGAAACGATTAAGATCCTTTTCACTATGAACGCTCCTAACTTTCCATTTATGATAAGATTCCTGAACGTACCCGTGAGGAGTTGGCATAGCAAAGTTGCGAGCAATATTCTCCTTGGTGTTCCGACCTTTTTGATGGCCTATGAACATATATCGTTTACCATCTATAGTTCCAATACCAGTCACAATAGCTGGATCATCATAACCTGCACGGTCTCCATGAAGTTCCACCCACTGCATGATGAAGAAAAGATAAGCTCATCAGATGCTATGCTATACAGGTGCAAATTGACATAAAAAAGTGATATAAATTATAAACTACCTTTTCGGTGATATTTAATACATGATCAAGAGCTGTCGGTCTGTTGGGATGTCTAGCAATACTTAGGCGTTGAATGGGTGTCAAATGTGCGTACAAATCTTTTAGAGCCTGAAATAGTAGAGAAGATGATTCAGGCTTACACTTATGTTCATATGAGAAAGGTAATAAACAATGGTGCAAAATGGAAATTAGTATACATACTGAAAACGAAAACAAATTGCTTCTGAACCTTACCTGCTGGTACTTGCTTTCTAAAGCCTCAATTTGATCACTAAAATCTAGGCCAGTTTCATCAGCAATTCTACGTACCTGCAAATAAATGATCATGGCCAAGGGCAAAAAAAGCAGTCCATCTACGACTATAACAAATCTCTAACTTTGAATTTCAATATTAATCCTGTTAGCAGATAAAAGTAAGTATGAGCTGAAATGCCCAATACCGAATTGTCAAGAAAACAAAAAGCAACTTCTGACCTCAAGAATTCTCTTCTCGAGATCAATCAATGGCTTCTCAAAAGGAAGCGTCACTGGTTTTGGTTTCTCAGCGAGTGGCTTGAAGTTGGACAGGTAAGTCAAGTGTCCACTAGTAATATTGGGGTCAATATCATCCGGCCAGGGATAATCATGCTTCTTCCATTTCTTAACTTTTGCAATGAGACGAAATCCACTTCCGATTCCTGTCCTGTAACTGTTTACTCTTCTATAGGAACTTCTAAGAAGACCATTAACGAGAAGTTCGTTCCCGAAACACGCATTAATGGAACCAAATTCAAATGAAATTCCATCTTCACCTCCTTTGCTTCTTGCACAGTTTCCAGCTAGTAGCGATAAAGCAGCCATGTCAACAATTTCAAACTTTTAATTTAAAGATTCAAGCTCCGAATTTCCTTATCCATCGAGAATTTACGCAAATTGCCAGAGAAATTTCCAGCAGAGGCCTCTCTTGTTGGATGAGCAGAATGGAAAGGCGGTGCTGTTTCAAGAAGTAACGGTCCAGATGTCTTTGCTCTTTACAGCATAGAAAACGTGCTGCGTTTCGATTGGACATGAATCCTTTTAAGCTGGGGAGAGCCGTCCCGTACATCAGGACCAGGTTGCCATCGTTTCGAGGTGGTGACGTGGTACAGTCGTTCCATTATATCGTGAAGCTTGGTATCCGCGTTTGCTTCTTACGCTGAGTCGTAGGAGAGTGATTGGTGCCTACTTGTCACGCGCTTTGTCTGCATAACGGATTGGAAGATGGACAAGTCCTCACATATCCAGTAAGTGTATCGTGACCGTAAAATAAAAGGAGTAAATAATGTGGTTGAATGTTTGTTTATTGAAAATAAATTTTAAAAAATTTTCTCTGATACATTAATTTTGAATCTCTTCTATTTTCTTTTTTTTTTTTAATCCATAATATAATTTATAAATAAAGCAATAAATATTAATATCGTATAAAAGATTTTCTTGAAATAAAAAATGCAATAAATAATATCTATTTATTTCTTGACACATCAGTTTAGCATCTTAAACAAATGTTAGTATTGAAAATATGTTTTTAAAAAAATTTTTTTAACGGCAATTCACGTTTGTAAGGGCCACCAGCATCCTACTTGGACTGTGCATGTGGTTGGTCAAACTTTTTCGGGCGGCCCGAAGCTTTCGACAAGGGCTCGGGTCCAGCCCAGAACAGCAATTTGGTACCTTCGTCTCCGGCGGTTTCTCTTGATAATTCCACTTAGAAAGCTCATTCCCGGCATATGTCAGCAGATTAGCACTGTAGCCTGTAGGTGCTCGAAGGCAGCTGCTACGCTACTCTCAGAGTCCAACAGCAAAACAAGGAAATCCCTTGCCTATTAAGGAAGTTGATGGAAGATCAAGATTGGAATGACATTCACAATTGTGTCATCAAACTGGTTGGTTTAAGATTTCTATCAATGTTGTTATTGTTATCGTCGCTGTAGAGAAGAAAAGAGCAAGCTGAGTATTTTGAATTTTAACTGCAGAGAGTCAATCCTCAAAGGCGAAGGGAGAAAGTTTACATAGGCTGTGGGGCTGGGTTTGCAGGTGACAGGCCCTTGGCGGCACTTAAGTTGCTTCAGAGAGTTAAGGAGCTTAACTATCTAGTGCTTGAATGCCTAGCAGAGCGTACCCTTGCTGATCGCTATCAGATTATGGTGTCTGGGGGTGATGGCTATGATTCTCGCAGTATGTCCTCTTATCTTGTATTGTTAGTGATCGTCTGCAAGTCTGCATAACTCTCTGCTCTTCCTTCCCAGGGTTTGATGGTATTTTTGATAATATAGAGTGGGTAATTAATTAGTGTATGCAAATTAAAGTAACCTTTTTTGAAGTTTTGGTAATGTGGATGAATCGTTAACGTGATTCACATGATTTAATTGTTCAAATTTGGTCAGGCATATTGCTGCATCATAAGGCCGAGTTGGGATGGTAAATGGGCTAAAATTTGTTTTTGCTTATTCCATTGTTTTTCTGTAGTTTGGCCATCAATTTGTTCAGGCAGCACTTTCTTTCTCAAAAGTGTGTTCTCAATTCTTGACAGTGAAACAACACAATATAGAAAGGCCTGGTATATCTGTGATTGTGGGCTTAATGTTTTTCCTTATCTTGTGTGCTCTTTACATTGAGAAGATTATTTCAATAGTAAGCTTTGTGTTTTGTTCACCCTCTCTCTTGCAACAATTGTGCAGTTTCGGATTGGATGCATTTGCTTCTTCCTTTGGCTGTGGAGAAAGGAACTTGCATAATAACCAACATGGGTGCAAGTAAGAACCGAAAAAATGAATTTTTGGTGTAACATAAACCCTTGCAATTTTCTTCTCATTGAGTATCTCTTTAATGTTGGTGTTTTGTGTAAATATTTTCGTATCTATTCTATCAGTGGATCCGCGTGGTGCTCAGGAGATTGTTCTAGAAACTGCAAGCAACCTGGGGCTTAGTGTTTCTGTTGCTGTAGCTCATGAGGTTTCTTTCAATAAATCAGGTATCATTTGTTGCTACATAAATGAATCTTGTGATCTTTTTTTATTTCACTAAATGCCATTTTAAAATATTTGAATCCAGTGTAATTTATATTTGTATCTCCTTTAAGTTTTAAAATTAAAGCAAAAGAAATTTTCATTCAGGTTCAGGATCTCCATCTAGGAACTCACATATTACTGAAGGTGTAAGAATCTAGTTCTCTCTCCTGTACTTCTTGTTTATATTCAGCTTTCTTAAGGTCAATTGTTTTTTATTTCATTTTTTTGTTTACTTTACATGGTGCTTTCACAAACAGTGTTGATGATTATTTTATATACATGAGCATGAAAAACCTTCCCTCTTATGAAAATTTTCCAAGAATTTAAACTTGTTTTCTGTGTGGCATGGAAATGCAGAAACGAAAAGAACACGAGAAAACAACATTTTCAAAAAAATAGGAAATGGAAATTTGGGAGAACGTGTATTATAAATATATTAATTTTTCATATAAAATTGTAAAGATATTTTTCAATTAATATTTTCCAACCATATATTACTAGCAAAAATATTTTTCCAAATAATTATGTACAAATGATATTATTAAAGATAGCAAATAGGAAATTAAATATCCACATTTATATTTAACCATCAAATATTTAATCATTTCGGAAACATATTTGAAACATGGAAACCCTCTTATTTTAGAGTTTCTTTGCATCAGAACTTGTTTATGATAAGCTTACCATTTGTTACTCCAGCAAATATTAAATTTAAACTTTTTGTACATTTTTTTTTTTTTTACTTGTAAGGCTAAAATAAACTTTTGTTCCAATCACTGAAGGGTGTTAGCACTTATCTGGGAGCAGCTCCGATAGTTGAATGTCTGGAAAAGTATCAACCAAATGTTGTTATCACTTCACGGATTGCTGATGCTGCCTTGTTTTTAGCACCAATGGTAGCTATGTTTTACTTTCCTTTCACATCCTTTATTTCCTTTCAGCTTTAGCCAGTTTTGTACTTGAGCCAATAACTTATTGCCCTAGAATGTTGACTAATTACATTATGCAATATGTAAACTCTACTCATCTTTTTTCAAAGTTACTTTTGGTTTTATTGAATATGATAAGGTTTATGAACTGGGTTGGAACTGGGATGAGTTAAAGGAGCTAGCTCAGGGATCCTTGGCTGGGCATCTCCTAGAGTGTGGTTGTCAACTCACAGGAGGATACTTCATGCATCCAGGTGAGCTTGCTTTGTCTGATTTTATCCCACTATATCTGCTAAAATGTCATAAAATAGAACTATCTTAATGATCATAATATTCTTCATTTTCTATGTTGTAGGTGACAAATATCGAGACATATCTTGTTCTTCTCTTCTAGATTTGTCGCTTCCTTATGCAGAAATATGTTTTGATGGACAAGTTTGTGTAGCAAAGGCAGACGGCAGTGGTGGGGTTTTAAATTTTAGTACTTGTGCTCAACAGCTTCTTTATGAGGTTGGAGATCCAGGTGCTTATATCACGCCTGATGTGGTGAGCTTTGTGTGCATATTCAATAGCTCATGGTAAATGAGGATGCTAAAGGGATAACAAATTGAAATCCTCCCTTGAAATGCAGGTAATTGATTTGCGGGAGGTTTCATTTCACCCATTGTCAAGTTGTCAAGTTCTGTGTGCTGGAGCAAAACCATATTTAGAATCCAGGCCTGATAAACTTTTGCGCTTGCTTCCAAAGGTAATTCTGTATACATCATTTAGATCTTATTTGGAACTCATCTCAAGGCATTCCCTTGTTTATTGACCTTTTTTGAGTCTCATTCCTTGTTTCCAGGTTTGTGGTTGGAAAGGATGGGGAGAGATATCCTATGGAGGGTATGGATGTGTGATGCGTGCTAAAGCTGCTGAATATCTAGTTAGGTCAGTATTTGCAACTTACAAGGATGTGATGAAGTTGATGTCATCTTTTCCAAATACAATTCACAATTGCTATGTTGTTTTCTTTTTTTGATGGGACTAGTATTTGGTATAAGGTTTCTTCTTCCATTAAATATTATTATAAAGAATATTGTAATATGTTTCTGTCTATATTTTATTAGGTCAGATCATGGATGGAAGAAGTATGTCCTGGAGCTAGTTCTCATGTTGTGTCATATGTTATTGGACTTGATAGCCTGAAGGCAAATGGCAGTAACTATGACAGCTCATCTGGGAGCTCTATTGAAGACATAAGATTAAGAATGGATGGGTTATTTGAGTTGAAGGAGCATGCAGTCCTATTTACAAGAGAGTTCACTGCTTTATATACAAATGGACCAGCTGGTGGTGGTGGTATCAGGTTATTTTTCTTATCTGCATGTTGTTCCTTTTTAACTGTTAAACCAGCAGCATGTCTCTCGAGAAATGTTTCTATGGGCCATTCTTTACCCTTATAGGAGGATTATTATAGTAAGTTAGTCCATGTGAAAAGACCTTGCTCGATTTCCACAAGCTTGTTAATGTTGACATTCTTTAGGTTCAACTTATTATGGTTATCTGGGTCCAAGTTGGGTTTTTGGTGTAATTTGATGGTCATTGTTATCTAGATTGAAAGATATCAGACTTGTGGAGTCAATTTCTTGGATACCTAGGATGTAAGAACGATTGACACCATCTGGATGTGCGTTTTGCTTAGGGTTATCTAACTGAAATTATAAATATGCATTAACAGATACAATATTCTTTACTATAGAACTATCATCTTGAAGAATTTTTAGCAGTTGTCCAACTAATCACAGCATTGAGTATGGTAAATTTGTTGGCTCTGACATTTGTTGATTGCCTATTTTGAGTTTTGTTCAAGTAACACCTAAGATGGCAGTGTTGACATAGCTTGCAGAATTTGACTGTTGTATTTATTACTTGTTCATTGCCTGCTTAAGCTTTTTAACCAAACATCATGTTATATTTATTGAACATGATTATTCTCTTTGTTTGCTGATGCAGCACTGGGTATAAGAAAGAGATACTTCTCGAAAGACAGTTGGTAGTCCCTAATCCCTCTCTCTTGTGAATTTTATATGTAACTAAGGGGGGCAGGTTTACAATTATTACTTGGTAGTCTTGCTCCAATACTGTTCTGCTTTCTGAAGGCACACAAATTTTTACCATAGTAATCTACAATTTGGATTTTATAAATTCAATATTATACTACTTTTTTTGTTTCCATCTGGTCTCTATTGAAGTTTGTCATGTCTGTATTCCATCGAAGGAACTTCAATCACAAATTTTGGAGTCTCTCTCTCTCTCTCTCCTGAGTCTGTCAGATGAGCTTTGTGAAGTTGTTGAGTAAATTGGTCAAGCATTTTGATTACACTATTAATATTACTTGTTGCAAACTTGCAACAGGTAAAGTTTCTGACAAAATGATTATTATTTGGACTTCAGATTGGACGCGAACATGTTTTCTGGTGGACTGGAGTAAAGAATGCCAAAGGAATGGAGTCAGACAAAGAAGAAATTAGCCATGGGAATGTGGTGAACAAACACATTCTGAATGAAGCTTTAGCGTCACCATATACGAAGGCAAACGTGGATGATTCTCGTGTAGAGCATTCTTCACCTGTACGTGCAATGTCTCCTGCTCCGCCTGGCCATAAGATTCCACTTTATGCTGTAGCACATAGCAGGGCTGGAGACAAAGGAAATGACTTGAATTTTTCAATCATCCCACACTTTCTTCCAGATATTGAAAGATTGAAGATGGTAGTGACACCTGAATGGGTAAAGGGAGTTGTCTCTACTCTTGTGAACAATTCATCGTTTCCCAACTCAGAAGCTATCCTGAAGAGAGACAAATGGGTCAATGAACATGTAAATGTGGAAATTTATGAAGTGAGGGGAATCCACTCATTGAATGTTGTAGTCCGGAACATTCTTGACGGTGGTGTCAACTGCTCTCGGAGGATTGACCGGCATGGAAAGACCATCTCAGACGTTATACTGTGCCAGCAGGTCGTTTTGCCTCCATAAGGAGCGTTCAATAGCTTCGCCGTTGCTTGCTCTTATCTGGTAAACGCACTATAAAAGTGTAACCTTGCTGTTAACTTTTCAATGGTAGAATGAATTTGTATTTTCGGGGTAAAAAAAAAAAAGTACTCTAATTTTAATAATAATTTATGGGAAAGAGGATATAAAAGCAGACTAGTTAGTTTTGTTAGACGCTCTGCGTCTTGATAAATTAATCATTGGTTATTTTCAAATTCCATGTTCCAATAACAGATGAATTGAATCAGGCAAAACCAACTTAATCTAGCCCATGAGTCCAATAATAATAACAATAATGTCGTTAATAATATAAATTGGGGCTTTAAAGTTTTGGGTCAGCAAGTCTGTCAGAAGGCCCTACTCTCTAAAATAATTGCAATTTATTTCTTTCTTTTTTTTTTTTTTTTTTTTATATAATTGAGGCGCTTGTTAAAAGTTTTGGGTCAGCAAGTCTGTTCAGAAGGCCTACATCTCTAAAAAATGCATTTATTCTTTCTTTTTTTTTTTTTTTTTTTTTTTTTTTTTTTGAAGGAATTTATTTCTTCGTTTGAAATATTATAACAGTGCAGTAATAATACATAGTCAAGGCTCAATCAACTTAATTAATTATTGAATTAAACTCAAATGGTATAGCTTACTACATGTATACTATCGTATTAATCTCATTCTAAATTATATTATTGAAAATTTTATTAATAGATTAATAGATTTTCGATCCAAATTTAGCTGCGATGCTATTCTCATCCATCAATCAAATATATAGTTGGAATTTTGTAATAAAGAATATAGGAAATAAATTTTTTCCAGTGGTTGTGTTGACAGTTAAAAAGGCTTAATCTGAACTTGTTGATGTACTGTCTAATAGTAATACATATAGGGTTGGCATTCACCTAACTTAACCACCACCAAAAACATATATCAAATAGCAAAAAACAGTTGGATTTTCATTTTCCTTGATCCAGATTTATCCATTTTAACCTAGAAAAAGTCAGAGCACCAACCTTACCTTGTTTCACTCTGATCCAATCCCATTAACATTCCAATTTTACCTCATCTCCAATCACGTGTCCATGGCCAATGCAAATCACAAGGAAAAGCCAAATAAATCTGTTATAATCTGACACAAGAAGAAAGACTTCGTTTCATATTTCCATGTGTCTGAGACTGCGATAACCAACAAATAGGCACAGTTAGTTATTGAACATAACCATTTCTTAATCATCCTTAGACCTCTCCTACTATATACTTCGTTTTCTCTGCATTTTCTTTAGTTTTTGAAACATCAAGAAACTAAGAAATGGCGTTCACTGGAACTCTGGACAAATGCAAGGCTTGCGACAAGACTGTTTATGTTGTTGATATGTTGTCTCTTGAAGGAGTGCCTTATCATAAATACTGCTTCAAGTGCAGCCACTGCAAAGGAACTCTTGTTGTATGATGTTTTTATTCCTTTTTTTTTTGTTAAATGTGAATTAATCAATATTGGACTAAATAAAAAACAATTTCTCCAATGGTAGATGAGCAACTACTCCTCCATGGATGGAGTCCTCTACTGCAAGACTCATTTTGAGCAACTGTTCAAGGAATCTGGAAATTTCAGCAAGAATTTCCAAGCAGGCAAGAGATTTCTCCAATGTTCTTTTCCTGCCATTTCTTTTTTAAATTAGGTTCCTATATTAACATCATGTTATTTTATGGAATGTTCTTTCAGGAAAGGCTGAGAAGCAAAATGACCCTGTACATTCGTAGTCCCTCTGACTTTTTTTTTTTTTTTTCCATCTGACTTTTTTTTTTTTTTTTTTATACTATATTTTTTTTTTTTTTTTTTATACTATATAATTTTATATATGGCTAGGGTGGATTTGAATATCCCATTAAAATAAAAAGTTTTGTCTTTCTATTTCATTACTTTCTTATAATAAAATCTGTTGCAGTCCAGGGCACCCAGCAAAGTGTCTTCCATGTTCTCAGGAACCCAAGACAAATGCTCTGCTTGTAGCAAAACAGTGTATCCGCTGGAGAAGGTTGGTTTGGTTGATTGATCACCAAATAGGGAAATAGACAGGGTTTTAATTGGTTGATATTAATGCAGGTGACTATGGAAGGAGAATGCTTTCACAAGTCATGCTTCAGGTGTGCTCATGGTGGGTGTCCACTCACACATTCATCCTATGCTGCTCTTGATGGAGTCCTCTATTGCAAGCACCACTTTGCTCAGCTGTTTATGGAGAAAGGGAGCTATACCCATGTCCTCCAGGCAGCTTCCCACAAGAGAACTGCTTCTTCCACACCACCTCCTGAGCTGGCTGAATCAAACTCAGAGGACCCAACTCCTGATGCTAATAACTAGAAGAGCTGCCATCTTCTACTTCTGATTTTTTTTTTTTTCTTTTGCATCCTTACTTCTTTCATCAAAAGTTTGATTTTTTGTTGGGTTGGCAGATGCTGCCATCATCATGTTCAACATTGTTGTCTAATTCTTCACAATTTTGTTATTGGATTTCCTTATAACTATGTTATTGATACAAATTAAATCAATTGGTTCAATATTTGTTTTCTCGAGGAATGCAAAATCATCACTTCCCTTACATCATGGCCGATAAGAACAAGCAATTTATAAGAATGCAGTTAAAAAAAAAAAAAAAAAAAAAAAAAAAAAAAATTGTGTCTACAAGGAGTAGTCTAAAAAAAAAAAAAAAAAAAAAAAATCTGTGTCTAAAGGATAGTCTATATGATTCAAAAGGATTTATCTTGATTCATTGTATGAATTTGAATTTATCTATTTAGTGGATAAACACACCTTATACCAAATTAATCAAAAAGAAATTTTTATTGGAGCGAGAATATTGCATATTTCTGTGCAATGAAAAAATCTAATTGGAAGTTCAAATAAATTCTATATATAGATATATAAATACTATAAATACTATATATAGATATATATTTCTTTTGTTCCGCTTTAACAGCAATATTTGTTATTTCCATGATGATTAAAAAAATGATTGAAATTCATTGATTTTTTAAAAAATATACGATAAAATGTCTAAATTGCTTGTTAAATGTAAATATAAAAATAGATTACACCTAATAGATATAGGTAAATTTGAAAAAAAAAATTAATATAGTTTAAAAATTCTAAATGAGCATTCTAAATAAAATATATATTTATTACTATTAAAGTGAGACAGAAAAAATATTATTTTATATCTAAAATTATAAAAATTTAATTAACATTTGGGAATACTGAGCGTAAACCGCACATGCTAAATGTCACAGGTCGTAGGAGAAAATTCCGATCGAATATCCATTTTTCACCCGAGTCCCGACGTCCGCGAAGGGTGATGTAGTCAATTCACAAACAAAAATCTACCAAATACCAGCCCAGCCCAATTAATTAGAATTTCGTTTTTCTCGCTTCCCAAACAGGGAAAAGGAGAGCAAATGAGAGAAATTTGGATTTTGTCAACACTTATGGCATGCTCTCTGCTTCATTTCAATATAGAAGAGAACAAAAATTATATATTATAAAACGAAACTGAAGTTGATCGTTGATTTGTTATCAGTCGTGTCATTTTCTGCCCTAACTATAACTCTTCTCAAACTCCGTCATTGATTCTTCTCTCAGCTCTGTCTCCAACTTTGCTCCTCTTAATCTGTCTGTCCATTCTCTCTCCTCGTTTAACTCGAATTTGATTATACTTTTATATATGTATTTATATTTTCAATTGCTTTAGTCAAATATGTCCAGCTAGTAATTAATTTATATTTTCTGCTCCTATTACCATTTTTTTCTTGTTGTGCCAGGTGTTTGATTAAATGCCGATGAGTGTGTGAATAGTTTGTTCCATTGTTTCTGTAGATAACTCCTTCCGGATTGATTTGCTTTGGATATATGGATTTCGCTTGTTGTATAAAGCAGCCTAATTTCTTTCACGGCAGTGAAGGCAAAGGTTGTATGGTATCAAATCGGTTACATTCGAGATTGAGATACAGAAGCTTTCGTTACAATGTTCTTGATCCGAGTAATGTTTTGAAAGATAGGTCCTCCAAGAAAATAAGGAAAAATTTTGCATGTAGTGGTGCTTTGAATTCGAATTTGGTATTCAGAGCAGGATTTCATAGTCATTTATCAGCTGCACATTCGAGCAGCTCATTGTTTTGTAATTTTCCTGATGCTTTTAAAGTGTCCAGGGGATTCAATTCACGGTGTCAAGGCAATGATTCTTTAGCATATATTGATGGGAATGACCAAAATGTAGAATTAGTTGAGAGTAGTGCTGAAAGCTTGACAGTGGGATCTGATGATGGCGTAGAGTTGAATGGTGTCGGAGAGACGGTAGAGAAAGGAGGAGAACGGAAAGAAGAAGGGGAAACTGAGGCACCGAGTTTGGACGAACTGAGGGAATTGTTACAGAATGCGATTAGAGAATTGGAAGTTGCAAGGCTTAATAGTACAATGTTTGAGGAGAAGGCTCAAAGAATATCAGAAGCTGCAATAGCCTTGAAGGATGATGCAGCGAATGCTTGGACTGATGTTAACTCAACTCTTGATATGATTCAAGGGATTGTAAATGAGGAAGCTATTGCCAAAGAAGCGGTTCAAAATGCCACGATGGCCCTTTCTCTGGCTGAGGCAAGGCTTAAAGTGGCAATAGAATCAATTGAAAGAGCAAAAGAAGAGACTGATTCACCAGATGTTTCTGGTGAGATTGATGTGAAAAACGCTGGGGAAGAGGAGAAAGCAATTTTAGCAGCTCAGAATGATATTATAGAATGTCAAATGCATTTGGCTAATTGTGAGGCGCAGTTAAGAAATCTACAAAGTAAAAAGGAGGAATTGCAGAAGGAAGTAGACAGGCTGAATGACGCTGCAGAGGAAGCACAGATGAATGCTTTGAAAGCAGAAGAAGATGTTGCAAATATTATGCTTTTAGCGGAGCAAGCTGTTGCTTTTGAACTTGAGGCTACTCAACGGGTGAATGATGCAGAGATTGCATTACAGAGAGCTGAGAAGTTAGTTTCTAGTTCTTCTGTTGATACCGTAGAAACTACCCAGGGTTATGTATCTGGTGATGAGACTGTTGTTGAGGAGGAGAAGTTGAGTGAAGGAAGGACTACTGACGATGAAAAGGAAATAGATGTGCCAATAGATGGTAATGTTTTACTTGGTGGACCTTCAATAGATAGACTATCTGATAAGTCCATCCAGAGTTCTAAAGAGTTGTACCAATCTGATGATTCTAGTGACCAAGAGAATGCAAAACTGAATTTAGACTCTTCTAAGGAAGCTGAAGTAGAAGCTGAAAAGTCAAAGAGTGGTGTTCAAACAAAAAAAACGGACATGCAGAAGGATACTTCTAAAGAAACTTCACCTTCGCCAGTTACTTCTCCAAAGGCATTGTTGAAGAAATCTTCGCGATTCTTTTCTGCATCTTTCTTCTCTTTCACTGTAGATGGGACTGAGTTAACACCAGCATCAGTTTTCCAAGGTCTCATGGAGTCCACAAGGAAGCAGTTGCCTAAGCTGGTTTTTGGAGTGTTGCTGTTGGGGACAGGGTATATATTGCTTTTAATATTTTATTAAATTTATTACTGTGATTGACATTTTGGAACTGCATCGTACAGGATGTGCTTTTAATATTTTATTAAATTTATTACTGTGATTGACATTTTGGAACTGCATCGTACAGGATGTTTCCTGTATATATTGCTTTTAATATTTTATTAAATTTATTACTGTGATTGACATTTTGGAACTGCATCGTACAGGATGTTTCCTGTATATATTGCTTTTAATATTTTATTAAATTTATTACCACCATCGGCATTTTGGAACTGCTTCGTAGAGGATGTTTCCTGTATTTTTGTTTGCTTAATAATGTGAGTTTGTTATCCTTGAGTCCTCTGATATGCTAACATTTCTCCTGTTTCTCAAGAAATTCAATTTCTTCACACGGATGTTTGAGATACTAAAAAATATGTTAAACATGACAATGGATGAAGTTCCTGAGTCACCAAACCCCTTCACTCTATATTTATGCATCAGCAAGTTTAATCTCGAAGCCTAGAAAAGTGATTTTATACGAGGCTTTGTTTAAGATCTATATAATGTTTTTCTGGCACTGCAATATTTAAAATAGAAGTTATAGATTATGGTAATGCAGATACCTCTGAAGCGCTTGTTTAATAATAAGTGCATGTCTTCTATTACTGGTTTTAAATCCAATATAAGTTTTGCCTTCTTATGATTGCATTCTACTGAATTGCATACAGGGTGGCCTTCTTCTCTAATCGAGTGGAAAGGAGTACTCAGATCCTACAACAAACAGACGTTGTCACCACTACTATTGAAGAAGTTTCTCCGAACACCAAGCCTCTGATTCGACACATACAGAAACTTCCGAAGAGAATGAAAAAACTAATTGCAATGATTCCTCATCAAGAGGCATACTTTTATCACCTTCATTCGTCATTTTGATCTTAATTACAAATCATTTATTGGATTTCTTATATTATTGTTTGTTCTGTTCTTGACAGATGAATGAAGAGGAAGCATCTCTGTTTGATGTAATATGCTTGCTGCTTGCTAGTGTTGTATTTGTGCCCATGTTTCAGAAACTTCCTGGAGGTGAATTAACATTTTTAATTTAAATTTCAGAATGGCTTAGTAGAACTTTTTAGTTTTGTTTGTGTACCTTTTGTTAGGTTTTCTTTCAATTTCCTATTAGGAGATCTGTTGTTCTTTCTTGAGTTTTGTTGTTCAAAATATTGTTCATTGTCCTTTTGCTATCTGTCCTCTATATAGATATGCCAGCGAGACCTTTCTCAATACTGAATTTCAAATTCCTCTGATATGTTTAACTGACTGTCTTCGGATCTGTTATTTTAGGCAGTCCTGTCCTTGGATACTTGGCTGCTGGCATCTTGATTGGCCCTTATGGTCTCTCTATTATTCATCATGTGCATGGAACAAAGGCAATTGCTGAATTCGGAGTTGTGTTCTTGTTATTTAATATTGGTCTGGAGGTGGAGTCTCTAGATTGAAACTTTGTACTTTGAATTTAGTGTTCATAATAGATAAATGAAGATGCTAAAGCTGTCTTTCATTTTTTATAGCTGTCCGTTGAAAGGCTTAGTTCCATGAAGAAATATGTTTTCGGATTAGGCTCTGCTCAGGTACTAGGGGAGTTCCTTTTTTCATAATGGCATTGTTCAAGCTTGCCACTGTGTTGTGTTTGCTTATAAATTTTTTGACTGATATATTTAATCTGCATAATACAGGTGTTGGTGACAGCAGTGGCTGTTGGCTTGATTGCTCATTTTGTGTCTGGACTTCCTGGTCCTGCTGCCATAGTAATTGGGAATGGGCTTGCACTGTCTTCCACTGCTGTTGTCCTCCAGGTGCCAGATTTATGTGGATTTCCATTTAAATCTAATTAACTTCTTAAAACTCATACTTACTTGATGAAAGGAGGACTCAATAAAAGTAATTCATTCTGAATCCTATTCCGAGAAAAGCTTCTTGAATCAAAATGTTTGGAAACAAAGATTCATGATATAGCATCCATTAAGTTTGTAATTTCACCACAGGAAATTGTCCATACTAATCTGATATCGGTTCAGAAGGTGATCAATCATAAATGGGCCTAATCCCATGGATGCTGCTTACCTAGATGCATAAGATAGGTTAAATCCATGCAATTTGACGTTTCTGTGTTCCTTTAACAAATCCAAATTGTTGGGAAAATTTATTGTATCATTAAATCTTTGTAACTAATTAAATAACCTACTTAATGCAATCTAGAAGTATCATGATATCACACTCGTGCTGTCAGTTAAGTTTCTTTTATAGGCTTGTTATGATTCTTTTTGAACAGTACAGCCTAATTTTCAAGACTACTAAGAGTTTCTAGTCAAAATCCTTTTGATAGATAAGAGAACTAAAATTTTTAGATCATTGTGCAGGTACTGCAGGAGAGGGGTGAGAGCACATCACGTCATGGACGTGCTACATTCTCTGTCTTACTATTCCAGGTGACTGCAATTTTGGCCAAAAAGAAAAGAGCTTATGTTTTATTACTGTGTATTCATGATTTTGATGTTATGCTTAAGGGATTATGGCGCTTTAACAGTCAAATTACTCAATTGAACATTATATGCATCATTGCTTTTGTGATTTTTTCTTCCCTATATTCACATCTTTATCTTTGTAGTAATTGGAGAAATGATGATGAACTACAGGTGTACTGCTGCCAAACATGTTAATTAATTATGCATACAGTCATGTAAACATTGCTGTTCCTTACTTATCTTTAAAGTATAATATCTGGCTAGGAGCCAGGTACATTTCAAGTATGATATCTTAGTCTTTCTAATATGGTTTACAATGGTGGGAGATTTTCAACTATTATCTCTGTTCTTTCTTCAAATTGCATATGGGTACTTATATGCCTTTTCCTTTGTAATAACGTGTAGAAACCTCTCGGCTTTAAATCCTTAGTCATTTCATATAATTATGTTTTCTGCTTATTTTTCCATCTTAATCACCCCTTTCTCTTCTTGTTTCTTCTCAGGATTTGGCTGTTGTGGTGTTGCTGATACTCATACCTCTTATTTCACCAAATTCCTCCAAAGGAGGGGTAACTTTCTATATTAGCTTCATTATTTATATATATGAAGGTTTGGTTTTTATTTTGATATATTTAGTCATGATTTGTCATTTGTAATAAAAGGTTTTTTTTTCCTTCCTTTTCTTTTGGGGGGTTGCGGCTGTAGGGTAGGAGATGCAATGAAATTCCTAGAACTGTTAGAACCGAAGGTATAGATAGAGACTATGTTTACTGTTTAAAATAAGGGATTTGAAGGATATAATTGGGTTCTTCAATGAATCAAAGTTTCTCATTGTATTGTTTGCATCCCTCTTTCTCTCTCTCTCTCTCTCTCTCTGAGGAGTCTTTGTGATGCAGAATATTTATACATAATTAATGCAGGATGACAGAATTCCTGTGCTGCCTTTAATACATTAGTGTTTTTCAAATGCACTTTGTGTTGAACAATCAAAACTGACATGCAAGATCCATTATCCGTTTCTAGTAGAATGCATATAAAGTTGCAAAAAATATTAAGACTAGTAAGAGTTTTATCTTATTATTATTATTGTTTTAAGCTCAATTTGACTTTAGTTTTTGGTAGCTGTGATTGTTTTCCTTCTAGTGTTTAGTGCTTGTGCTGATGTCAGCATTATGAGTCATGTAATCTTCTGCTTTCTCAGGTTGGTTTTCAAGCTATTGCTGAAGCTCTTGGGTTGGCTGCTGTTAAGGCAGCACTTGCTATTACTGCAATAATTGCCGGTGGACGCTTGGTAATCTTTTAATTGCCTAAATTTGAACTTCTACAGTAGCATGATAGTAACTCAAAAAAAATTCTGAACTTTTCTGCTCCTGTGTCACTTAGCGTACTCATATATTTCTTTTCTGTGGTTTTCGCAGCTGCTTCGACCAATTTATAAACAAATTGCAGAAAATCAAAATGCAGAGATATTCTCGGCCAATACGCTTCTTGTCATTCTGGGGACCAGTCTCCTTACAGCCAGGGTATCAAAGTTGATATTCTAATTTGTTGAGGCATATTCATTTTATTGTTACTAAACTTGGGTATTTTATCCTTCTTAAACAGGCTGGGCTTTCTATGGCACTGGGCGCGTTTCTGGCTGGTTTGCTCCTTGCAGAAACTGAATTTTCCTTGCAGGTTGAATCGGATATTGCTCCATATCGTGGCCTCCTATTGGGTCTCTTCTTCATGACGGTATATACTTTTGACACTTTAGTCTTATGTCTGTGCCTGTGTATATGTCTTTTTGCTGCTTATAAATCTTGGTGATTCAGGTAAAAAGCCATTTTTGGGTCTCTGTTTTATGAAAACTGAACCTTTGTAATGATGCTTTGTTTTCATATTATAGCTTTTGAGGTCAGCTTTGAGATATGCTGTATTCAGACTATATTTTGTACTTAGTATATTTCTGGAATTAGATTTTTAGCATCTTTTATAATGAGGATCTTCCAGTATTAGCAGTTAACAAAATAATCTTTCTTGCCATTCTCAGGTTGGAATGTCTATTGATCCAAAGCTTCTTTTCTCAAATTTTCCCGTTATTATGGGGACATTGGGTCTCTTAATTGGTGGCAAGACCATGTTGGTTGCTATAGTTGGTAAACTTTTTGGTATTTCAATCATATCTGCTATAAGAGTTGGCCTTCTTCTTGCTCCGGGTGGAGAATTTGCATTTGTGGCTTTCGGTGAAGCTGTTAACCAGGTGTTCTCTCCTATTAAAAACATTTCCCCATAAGATTACTGGATGATATTGAATGCTTTATGCATTCTTTGAATGTTCTCTGTGTTAATGGGCATTTTATTCAACATATATTTTACTGTTTCATGGAAATTCCATTGCTAATTTTCGATAGCTGCTTCAGTGTCAAAAAGTCTTCTGTGTGTTTTATGTTGCTTTAAAATGCAAAAGACATTTGTTAACAAACAGAAAGTTTGAAACTTAAATTTCCTTTGTCATGTGTCCAGTCATATTTTTTGAGAAGTAAAATAACAAGAAAATTTTGTGTTGTTGAGTTAGATGTACTGGAAATGGAATGTGATTGTTTCTAGTCCTACAATTTTTTTCTAGTGCTAGTACTGAAAGTAACATAGCTTACTGCATGTATTGCTTGCTGAATATTATTATCTACAGGGCATAATGTCTCCTCAGCTATCATCTTTGCTGTTTCTTGTGGTTGGGATCTCAATGGCTTTAACACCATGGCTAGCTGCTGGAGGTCAATTAATTGCCTCACGTTTTGAGCAACATGATGTTCGAAGTCTATTACCAGTTGAGAGTGAGGTAAGATGTCCTGCACTGGAGTCTGTGGCGCTCTGACTTTTCATTGTGCTCCAAAATTTTTGCCTTCAAATAAATGGATAACATAAATTTTTTTGAGAATATTTGATTTAGCCTGCAGGCACGTCCCCATATTCTGTACTCATACTCAAGTCCAGGCAATATAAATATGTTGCTTTGCTTGGTGATAGTTACTAACCTACTACCAGTAGTTTACTGGATGTCATTTTTGTCCCACAATGATGAGTTACATCTAGATGTGGCTGTTGGCAATTGGCATCAATAATCAGTTGATGCATCTTGTTATTATTTGGCAAACATGATACTACTCAGATTACATTGTTTTCGTCGAGAAATTGTATTCATCCTTACCATGTCATGGGTGGGGATAGTAGAAAACAAACAAGTTGAATGTTCATTTTTTATTGTCAATTTGTATATTTGATGAGAGTAAAAATAGGATCATAGGTGATGTGGTGTATTGTTTGCCTATTTGGAAATTAGGGCCATTCGTCTTTGACTATTGCCCTATGCACACATGATGTATAGGCCCAAGTCAAAATTTTGCTGCATTTATCTTGTAATTAGTCCAAGGTGTTATTTTCCAGCATTCTGATGTCTTTTGTCTTGGAAGTGCTAATAAATTCTTCTCGGCTGGAACCATAAATGGGTTGTCTCCTCTCTGATGATCTTTTCTATAGGTAGGCCTACTGTGAGCGGTCTAAACTTAGACCCTTATTTCTTCCAATTATCTCGTACCCAAGCCATTTCATACTTTTTGGAACTGTGCTTTTCTGGGCATATGTTAGATTAGGTGTTTGTAATTTTTTTGCTGGCATAGTAATTCACCAACATATTCACTAAGCCATCTCGTGCTCGACTTGATTGTGTTTGCAGACAGATGATTTGCAAGATCATATTATTATCTGTGGATTTGGACGTGTTGGCCAGGTTGACTTGTGACATGATTTGTATGGCTTATTTGGCTTGATAAATGGATCAAATACTAATGTGTTCTTATATTTTCTTTGAGTTGCCAGATCATTGCGCAGCTTTTGTCAGAACGATTAATTCCATTTGTTGCTCTTGATGTAAGGAGGTAAGCCATGGATTGAAGAAGGCTGTTTTGTTATTTTCTCATATTCTTTCTTCAAGATGTGTGGTTTTTGGCATTGCTTGTTGATTTTATATGCTAACCAAGAAGTTTTTTGTTTTTTCACTTGTGAATTGTTGCTTTACTTCTTCTAGATATTCTTAACTTTATCAAATGCTCCAATAGAAGTTAAATGAGTATTCTTAGGTATTTTAAGTAAGACTGTACTTTGTTTTGGTCACTTCAGAGGAGTTTTGGGAGGGAGAGCTTGGAGGCTGTCCTATCCTTCACCATTTTTGCATAAAATGGCCGCACTAAAGACTGCATGCTTGTTGCAAGCTCAAAACGTATTAGTTTCCAAAATAATGGCCTCTTCTGAATTTTGGAATCTCTCTACCAAATTTGCTCAAGAAAAAGGGGAAAAAATAATCGTAGAAATATCAGACTGAATAATGTTTCCCCTGTTTTATGCCATAATGGATGCAAGACTGTAGTATTAATTTAGTAAGAGATAGTTAAATAAAATTTTTCATTTTCCAGCGATAGAGTAGCAGTTGGGCGAGCGCTTGACCTTCCTGTCTATTTTGGAGATGCTGGAAGTCGAGAGGTAAAGCTAAATACAGCACGAGTGTATGCCTACATACAGGTCCAGTGTTTACCGTGTTTTGTTTTTATGGTAGGTCCTCCATAAAGTTGGTGCTGAAAGAGCATGTGCTGCAGCAATAACTTTGGATACTCCCGGTGCAAATTATAGAACTGTCTGGGCACTAAGCAAGTACTTCCCCAATGTAAAGACGTTTGTCCGTGCTCATGATGTTGATCATGGCCTTAATTTGGAGAAGGCAGGGGCTACAGCGGTAATATTCTGATTAATCTGTTATCAGTTATAGGGTTTCTTTTATGAGGGATTATGTTGGAGCTGTCGATAAGAATTTGCATTAAAGTACATCTCCACTGCACAAGGCTCCCCGCATTGTGAGGGTTAGAGAGGATTGTTCTGTAATTATTTCATTTTTGACATGAACTTTGCATATTAGAAAATGAGAGCGAAAGTGGAGTTGTTTTTGTAGTCTGTATTTTTTCTTTAATGTATAACACATTTACTTGGAAAGTTAATGATTCTGAAAATAAGTAAACATTTACAGGTTGTTCCTGAGACATTAGAGCCAAGCTTGCAGTTGGCAGCTGCAGTTCTTGCACAGGTAAAACAAATGATTTTAACCAACTGTTGTTTCGCTGGTTATTGGACAATAAAAAAATATTGCTGTGGCTAGCTTGAATTGATGAGTACACTGGTCTTAATCAAGCTTTATAGTTAAACCGGTTATATGTGGAGCTAGCATTAACCTCTTAAACCTGAAATAAGTCCTATATTGGCTTTCTGTTGATTTCCACTTTCCTGAGTTCATGATGGAATACTCATAGACCGAGTCTCTGCGGGTCTAATTGTTTGAATCAAACTAGGGGAACAGAACTTTGGTTTTTAAATGTACTATGAGATGATGATATGATAAACTAGTGCTAATTCTCAAGATGAAAAGTATGCTTGCCACTGTTTAGAATTCTTATTGGTTGTTCATTTGCATTTTTCTTGTTTTTCTTTTTCATTTAGGCTAAACTACCCGCATCGGAGATTGCATCAACTATAAATGAATTTAGGTCCCGCCACTTGTCTGAGCTAACTGAGGTATTTTTTTGCTCTTTCTCGTCTTTCTTATGCTCACAATTTTAGTAATATTGAACTTGTACTTTGTAGATTTGCGTACCTAATTTTCACATGTATATGCACTTGACATCTGACAGTTTAGTTTACCTCTGCAGCTATGCCAGGCTAGCGGAAGTTCTCTTGGGTACGGGTTTTCACGTATCATGAGCAAATCCAAAACTCAGTTTTCTGACTCTTCAGATGAAAACCAAGTCACTGAAGGAACGTTAGCAATATGAAAACTGCCTAAATCCGTTCAAGAAAAGGAAAGTATCATGGGGAAATGTATAGTGCAATAACAACCATTGGCTTAATTGTACAGAAAATATACTGAAGAAAAAGGGAATGGTATATACTCAACATTGATCGAATTTTTTTGTTCGATGAAATTTTGATAGACCTCTATAAAGACGTACAGAAATGCATTATTTTTCTATTTCCTCTTTATGTTTTAGCAGTGTTCCGGGCACTGATCAGAGAAATGTCACTGGAAAAAGAACATGATGCTAAGACTTATTGTTATCCTGGACAATATATTCTTTTCATATTTCTTCCTCGCAACTGTTTTCTATGTTACTAACTGACACAAGTTAACCTTAAAGAAATGATCAGTTTGAACTTGTGGCGGTCAATCTAACCCATAGTGTATGTAGGACGGGACTTCATTGTACAGCCAACTTCTTGTGGCCGCGAGAATATGCGTGGTAAAGCCATTTAAAATAGGAATGGGATTTAGTCGAGGAGAAATGTTTCAATTTGGTCGTTGAATGTTTATTAGTTATCTTATTTGATTCAGAATTATTGGAGACAAATTTTGAATTTATATTTAATTACTTAGTTTTAAGCAATAAATAAATAAATAGATTTTTTACTTAGACAATATTTTTATAACAAAAAAATTCTAAAAAATTTATTGTTAGAGGATGGAAAAGGATTGGAATTAAATTTTCAATTTTTTAAAGTAAAAATTAATATTTTGTTTTTTTGTTTATCCAACAGATAGTAGATTGATTATAAATAAATTGAAAAAGAAAAGATTAATATTAATCAATTAATTAACTAATTTCAACATCGAATTTCTCAAGGAGAGGATCAAAATCCATCCTACACCTGCAAAATTCTATTAAGAATTTTCTCCTGTTCATTATTTTGTATGATTTTTGTTTTAAGAATGCCTTTAAGCACCAGTACATTGGAAATCACATCTTTCCTTACAAAATAAAGAAGAATAAGTAAATGTTGACTTGAACACCAATGTAAAAAGCACCCGAGTCCACTCTCGCCCCTGTCAGGGGATTTTTCAGAGTTGCACGCTAATCATACCAAGAGTTATGGATCTAGTTTTCGTTTCTCCTACAACTTGATAACTTGTCTACTTCGAAATCATTTCTGAAATTTGATTTGAACACCCTTCACTCTATTACTGCATCTGTTTCTCTAGCTTTCAAAATTGATCTGAAAATCTAAAATCGGTGAAGCAAGATTCTAGTCTCAAAGACTTTAGGAAGAAAGATCGATTCGTGCTTCAAAATGGTCTATTCCAGTTTGGCTTTGCTGTTTTGTACTACGGAGAACAGAAACCTGAAAGATAATGAAAAGAAAAATTTTACTTTTATGCAAGAAATCAAAAAAGAGGCTTATAACAGTACCCATGAATTGTCTCATGAAAAGGTAGTTATTTTTATAACATCTAAGATAATTAGTTGCCCAACAATGATGGGAGTTCAAAACAATAATTATCTCTGTTCGCCTTTAAGACGTGGTTCTGACATTCAAATTAATGACAAACAAGGAAATAATGGAGCCAAAATGCAAGTACTGTTACCACTTCATAAAACATTCATATTCATGTTGCTCTATAGTATATGGATGAAAGTTAAAGTCAGCCTAGCCAAAAATTTCAACATAAAAATTTACTATTGTGAAACAATTGAACTATGCCCAAACCACAAGATACATGATATCTAGGCTCTGAGATTGATATCAAAAATCTCTTCAAACATTTTTTTATGGTTTCAGATTGATATTAATATTGTGAACTTAGATTCACTCAAAGTAGATAAATAAATTAATGAATGAGTAAATAAATAAATAAATGCCGAGGCTCAAAGCAGATTGATAGTACCTTGGGTCGTTCCATAGAGCTCCCAAAATATCCTATACCAAAAGACAAGGAAGTGAATGCAGCTGCAATCTCTACAGCCTTCAGCTTTGGTGAATTTCCTGGAGCCTAAAGAACAATAATGCTTATGAAAAAAAAAAAAAGTGTTTTGAATGAATTCAGAAGCAAGGTTTTATATAGGGGCTAACCGATTGAGGTGCATCAGCTTGCACAAGTAAAATCCCTGCACTTTTATCATTAATGTTTTGACTGTTGTCCATAACTACAGAACGTAAAACTTTCATGCTAGCAGAGGCAGGGCCAGCCTGTGAACTAAGCAATAAAGTAACCTTGTCAATCTAGCATAACAGGCCATCATTTTGCAAATTAAAAGTAGTGGGTAATGCATCAAAGCACATCTCTAAAGGTCCTATGGCAGCTGACAAAGGTGTCCGTGTATTTTAACTGGCAATGGCATGTGATTACAGAGTTTTTTTTTTTTCAGACTCAATATGGATTAAAGCCAAAATGAATTCAACTCCCAGAAGCTCTAATTGAAGCAATCACAGAAACCCAGTTATATGTATATTTATTCATTTACTTTTTCCCCCTTATTTGGACTTGGAAATGGTGGGGTCTGGAATTCTTAATACCAAGACATGTCTTGAAAAGCCAATCATACATTGATAATGAAACACAGCACTCTCGAGCTGCAAATCCTTTCATTAGATATTCTCCTGCTCCAGAAACACAGCAACCGACGATGAATGGAGCCCCAAACAGCCCTCTCGAAGAAGCCCAACAACCTGAACCATACATAGCTGCCAACCCCACACGCCCACTAACCTGCTACATTTTTTTTTTTACAGGAAGAAAGAACAAAACTATTGTAACTGGTACTTCTAACTGATGATAATCATGAAAAAGCAAATTATAACAACAATCCATCACCTTCAATGCTATACCGCCACTAGAGGAGCCAGAAGCTATGTGCCCTTCACTGTCAACACAAATGACTCCAACGGTGTCCATGATATTATCCTCTTCCAATGCACACGACATAGATGATTGACTACCAGTATTCCCTTTTGAAGAGTTGCCAGAATGAACTTCTAATTCTGAAATATAAATGCAACTGAAGTTCATAAGACATTGTGATGTTTAGAAAAGCCTGCTGAAGTTCAAGTCAAAAAGAAACAAACAATAATAGACTGCAGATACAAAATCCATATTGATAAATACATAGACATGGTACACAGTAATAGCCTAAGAATAAAGTTGCCAGTTATGGGAAACAAAATGTTTAAGACCAATCATTATGATTGCTGATAGTGGACTAAAATATGTTCTAAAAATCACTAGCAATAGCAAGGGATGGATGATTTTCAGACACAATGCATTTCTCTAATGGGAGCAATTGATTTGTTGAATATGAAAGACTGATAGCACAACCTGGTATTTTTGTGGTCTCCTGAGAATTACAACTGAATCTTCCATCGGAAACATCAATATCGGCAGTGGCATTCAGAAGCATCGCTTTGTACTTCTTCCACTGTCCTCTTGCCCTTTCTGTCACTAGCCACTGTTTCAAAATATGCAAAAGTTAGATATCAGAAGAATAATCTAACGAAAATTGATCAGGTAAAATCTTTAATTATACAATATGCAAAAAAAGTTATCAAACTTAAATTTCTTAAATAGACAAAGGGGAGAAAATTAACCTTGTCAGCCTCTTCTATAGTTGCCGGCAAATCAAAGCCTTTGGATTTTGCCCATATACGAGCACCTTCACTTACCAAGAACCTAGGGCAGACATAAAATGCTCCCATGAGAAAACCATATGTATGGAGAGAGAGGGTATGAAGAGGAAGATGTAAAGAAAACACGAAGGATAAAAAAGGAAACTTTTCACAAGGCATTTATGCAATAAAGAAACAAGATAGTGCAAGCATTACATGGGAGGTATTCGACCCAACAATGAAGAACCTGTCATTTGCTCCTTGGCCAGTAAGGCAGCAATCTGGATGGCATTTCGGACACCTGGTCTAGAACTAATGAAATAAATGAAAGTGAAAGCTTAAGACATGACTCAATCTGGACATTCACCAAAAAAAAAAAAAAAAAAAAAAAAATGCTTGCTCCGTGCCGAGTAAGGCACAAGTTCTGAGATGGCATTTTCGGACCAACACTGGTCTGAGAACTAATTTAAGAGTGTAAATGAAAGTGAAGCTTAGACATGACGCAAAGCTGGATCAATTCACCAAAAAAAAAAAAAAAAAAAAAAAAAAAAAAAAAAAAAAAAAAAACAGAGAGAGAGAAGTGCCCAGGAGCACCTCGCAATGCTCCAACAGCTCCAAATGCCCCAGAGTCACCATCCATTATGCTCGCATCACACTCCACACTGCCATCCTCTGTCAAATTAGAGCCTCTGCCCGCATTTGTCCAAGGATCATCCTGTAATGAAGTGATAATTTAAGCATTTCATCTCTCGCATATGTATATGCAAAGATATATGAGACTAAACGTTTGATGGATAAGACAGCTGATATTATGCACAGATTTAGGGCCTTCCATGAAACTAAACATGAGTAAAAACATGTAAGACCTTGAGGCAGCCCCATCGATCAACTCTAGGCCGGGTGAAATAGAACTCTTGCAACTTTTCATTTCAGGCAAGAACCCATTGGATCGGCCTATTTTTGCATAATTTTTTCTTTTTGAAAGAAAGAAGCCAAATAGAAAGAGGCAAGTACATCAATTACAAGATTGGAACTAATTATAGCATTTATCAGCAACCACTAAGTTGCACCTATCTAATTACTGTTAACGGAAATTCCAAAAGCATAGATATCATATATCAATACAAGGAAAATAAGATACCTCCAACACTTGAATAGCAGCTGTAACAGCATCCAGACATCCACCCGAACCCTAAATCAGCGAGAATGAAAGAAGACACAATATTAAAAGACTAATGCACATAGAAATCCATGCTCATTGAGAAAACGGAAAAAAATGCAAAAAAAAAAAAAAAAAAAAAAGAGAAAACGAAAAAAAAGCAGAAGAAAAAAATAAAAAAAAAAAAAAAAAAAAAAAAAAAAAAAAGACGAGGAGATCAGCGAGAAGAGGATACGAAGAAAGCACCTTGCGAAGAACAGAAGCAGCAGCGAGGCAAGCGCGTTTCATGGCGGACCTTAGGGCTTTCTCGCTGGATGGCGCGTGATAACCCGCGCCAACGTGAACGGCAATGAAGAACCTAGGGTTTTGATCCTCAGCCATACAAGCCATTGACGAGATGGGAGCAATTGTTAGAGTCGGCGTGGTGAAAATGTTGTTCTCAATGTTCTTTTCAATTTTCATTTATATTTGGGCCCAACCCATCTCTTGTTAAGCCACTCTTTAGTCTTGCTCATAAACGTAGAGCTCCTCTTGTCTCCAAGACAAATGGTTGCATCCGTAAACAGTCATATGGATATTCTGTTTCGTGAAAAATCCCAGAAACAGAGAGAGGGAGAGAATGAGCAGAGAAGGGAAAGTAGTTAGCGTGACCCGAGCATCCGGTTATGTAGCTTCCTGGCTAGTGAAGTTATTGCTTCAATGTGGCTTCATAGTCAAAGCTTCAGTTCGTGACCCAAGTCTGTGACTGTAACTCTTATCTCTCTGCACTAATTTTGATATCTGGCTTCATTTTTGTTCTTGGTCTTTCAGTTGCATTAATATCAAAGTTTCAATCTTTATATCGCCTTACGATCATATTAGTACCTGGTTCTCTGGAGAGTGCATGAATTGATTGTTTGTTGCTTTTCACTTCGAAGCCGCCAAGTGTCGTTGAGGGATTCTGTGTTGTCAGGAGAGGAAATTCAGGCCATCGTCCCTCTGTCTTTGTCGCCGGAAATGCGGCGAGATAGAGAGAGACGATGGGGAATGTAAGACACGTGCCGTCCTATTGCTCAGTTTATTGCTGATGTGTCCACAACAACCTGAAAAGATTCGTCTATGTGGACAGACATGGTGACGTACGCAACATACACGTTGCACATTCCCTCGTCACGCTCCTACGTGGCAGTATGACACGTGGAGTTTTGAAATGACGTGGGTTCTGCCAAGTTGGACATATGAGCAAACGTGGCAGAGAGCGCTGATTTGTCTTTCACTTACTGATCTTGGACACATACACCTGGCGCCTGTTGTCGTGCCACGTCTGCTGCATCTCGCTTTGCTGGCAAATTGAGCTGAAGTGTTGCATACACGTGGACAAATTGGTCTGCTTGCCCGGAGGCACCCATGTGCAATTCATCCACGTGGACTGATGCCCGGGCATCCTTGTTAGAATCTTGACGTCCTATTGCTTAGTAGTGTTGAACGCCAAGAGGCGTAAAGACAGTTGGATTTTATGGCTGATGTGGTTTGTGCCACATCTGCAGTCCTTTCTCGGCTGGCAGAAGACACTGATGCGTATGAAAGCACGTGGACTGACTCGCCAACGTAAATTTTTCGGCTGACGTAGTCTGTAGACATGTGACTACACTTTGCTTCCTGTCAAGATCTAACTCATGTTGCCACTTTGGCAGTTTGTTTACCTGGCAGAACAAGCTGATGTGTACTTCATCCTCATGCGCATGTTTGCCTACGTGGTTCCGGTTTGATGACGTGTGTTTATGATATTGTGCTGACATGGTCGTAGCCACGTGTATGTTCGTCGCTGGCGTGGCATAAGTCACTTACGTGTTATTTAACCACTGGAATTTTTTGCTTAGGTGTTCCTCTTGGTGACATGGTATCCAGCCAATGATAATGCGTTATGCCACGTAATGATTGCCCTTTGCGGCTCAAAGCACTGATGTGAGACTGCACCATGTCGACGCATAGAAGCTCATGTGGCCTGCCTTTAGTGACGTGGCATCACGTCTTAAGTTTTTCCGTCGACATAGGTCTTGATTGTTGCAGTCTTGCTGATGTCGCGCCTCAGAGATTCTACCGAGTTTGTTGAGTTTCGAAAGAGATGAGAAAGAAAAAGAGATAGGAGTAAAGAAGGAAAACTGAGTGTGCGTAACAGGAGCTTCAGGTTGCATTGAGTCTTGGCTTCTCAAGCTCTTAGTCGAGCGAGGTTTTACTGTTAAAGCCACCGTTCGCGATTTAAGTGAGTTTTCTCTTTATCTTTTAACTTCTTAGTTTTATTTTGCTGTTTTTCTGCAAAAGTTTGAGTTTTTAGATTGACAGTCTCACTCTGATTTTCCATTTCAAATAATGCAAAGCTGTATTTCTACTTCATTCATTGGTAGCTTGATGGATATGTTCTCTAGGTGCTTTCTTAGTATCTGACTGTGAATGGTGTTCCCAAATCCTTGACTGATACTAATATTAAGCTTCTTTTTTCTTACAAGATCAATTCGAGTCAGAGAGGAAAAAATGCTGGGAAAAAGGAGAAAACTTATAACAGAAGAAAGTTGTATTCATCAATTGTTGTCTGCATGTTGGTTTTATTTTGTTTTGATTTCTGAGAAAAAAGGCTACTATGGCCATCCCTGACCTTGACTAAACATTTTTATGTATTGTACAGTGTTGATTAGTTAGTTTAGTTGCTCTTCAGTTGTAGTAAATTTAAACTAAACAAATAAGATAGTGAAAAAAAATTAAGTGCTTGATCTTTAAGATAATTTTTGCTTCACTTCCAAAATTTTTTATATTTAGAGTTTCAAAAGAGTAAATTATTAATGTTATAAATATTATATTTTCTGTATTTTATTCATTCACTTTTTATATTTGTGCATTCATTTTTTGATGTATGAATAACTTATTAGGCTACTGAAGGAGAAATATGGCAGATAAGCAAACCATTCAAAAAAGCTTATTAAAGGTCCAAGGGCTCGTATCAATTGAAAAAGATACAAAGCTCCTCCAAGTTTTGGTACATACATCTCTACCAGCAGGGGTTCTGGTTTGGTTTTTTAAAAGCTTCATCCCAATTAAATTTGTAACGGCAGTTTAGAAAAAATTTAGACTGAATCATACACTGTAACGTGATACAATAATAGCAATATGGGAGCGAGTTGACAACATCTCTCCATCCATTCTGAATTGTTAGAAAAATTACTTGGGCAAAAATTCTACTTTGACACTTATTCTCAAAAGTGTAATATACAAATGAGTAAGGGCATAATTTTCGCCTTTTAATTTAAATTTAATTTAAATAGGATTTCCCCCAGTTAACAGATAATCATTTGCTATCAATGGGGAATACAATTGAACCAAAAAATAATTGCCATATAGTTCAAGGATTTGCTAGGAAGAGAGCTTTACACTGCACCACTGTATCATCAGGGCTGGTAACTGCAAGAGATTAAGTGGCAGAGGTGAAATAATTTCATACACCATAAACAACTAGAAGCATATAGCTACGCTCATAAACAAATAAAAGAGGTATATCTTAATTAAATGTAATCTGGATGCATTGTAGCAACTCCGTCATAAGTAACAATTACAAAGCAGTAGTGGACGGTGAGCAAAAAAAATATGCATCTTAAAACATTTTTGGGGAAAATTGGAGGAAAGTGGCATCAAATATTAGAAATCTTGTTTTGAAATTCCCAGCAACTAGCTAGTTACAGAGTCTATCTGTGTGTATGTGAGTGTGTGTGTGATTGGGAGGAGGAGATTGTTTGGAATTGAGCGTCCGCATTGTTAAATAGCTTATATAAGCCTCTTTACAGTACCAAAAACTTGGGTCCACGGAAACCATAAGGTTAAAGAAGTTCCCTTATGGGTGAGCTATCCCAGCATTTTGAGGGAGCCAAAGTAAACACTTATTATCGTTTGTTCCAAATGTTCTTTTCTTCTACATGAACAATATTTAATCTTTAGCATATCGACTAGTCTTTCCAAAAACCTTTTTTTTTGTTTGGTTTATTTCTTTACAGCTGCATCATATTTAAAACAAAAAAAAAATGCGATGATTCTGTTTTCATATTCAATATGCCAAATGCCAATATAGATAGATTAATGATGAAATCATTTGCTTACCTGTGTGACCCACAGTTCGATCTGATTCATATATTTCATAGTCATTTCCTCCCTGATACCAAAATTTAAAAAAAAAAATTTCAAATGGTAAATGCAAAGGTTATTCAACAGTGAGCAAAGCATAGAAGTAGACAAATATCTCAAGCAAGCAATTGGTGAAAAAAAATGCAAGGTCAGAGAATGAGGAAAGAGATGCGCAATGAAATTAGACGAACCTTGTAAGTTTTGTCACCAAAGAAGTGGATTTCATTAAACTCATTGAGGTATCTCAAGCAGTATGTCTTGTCCCAACCTTGAGGAAAAACCTGTTACAAGCACTAGTGAGTGTGATTGCCTTCCAAATGCCTTCTATTTAACCAGTTCAAGATCATCATAAACCATACAGTTCACTCACATCAAAGCTTATCTGTCCACCTATTGAAAATGTAAGGTTAAGGTGAGAGAACTTCTCACGCAGTACAGAAACCATTTTTGGGCGAATGTTATGGACCTGAAAACATTGAGTACTCAGCATTTAGAATCTAGATCATAAAAACAATAGCTTCCAATATAACCTGTTAATAAAGCCGAAGCAGTGTGTTTGCTAACCTTGTCATACTTTTCAAATTCGTCCCTTTCTTCTTGGCTGCAATTTCGCCCAATTGGAGATACATTAATCATCCCACTCCGAAATTCTATAAATGTTCCCCTACATCAATTATTAAAGGTCTTCTTCAATCTCATTTTCTTCATCAGATTGATATGCATAAAAATGTACTTTCAGGCTTCCAATACACTCACCTTTTTATTGGAATATCCAGGTCAGCAATATAATGAAGTGTAAAATTTATAAATTCCTGCATAATCATTCACAATCTGTCAGAATACATACTGATATGATTCACATGCTGATTCCATATTTTGTGCACCTGGGGGTCAAGCCACTATTTAATTATCATTGCCAAAATTATTCCAACCAAAATCTAATTTAACTCTTTACATTTCACAATTAATTGCAATTATGTTTCATTTCGAAGAATTCTGAAAAAATTTATTGATCACTTTTACTATACAGGCAGTCTTACATGGGGTCAAATATGGCTGTCATGTACCAAGTGTTGAGCACATAAATCATAAGTTGCCTTGGAAAACATCATTCGTTAGATTATTCTTTACTCTAGTTATCCTTTTTTTTTCCCCTATTTTAGGCAATTAATTTACAATGTTTAATCAGAGAGTAACTTACCTTGAGCTTTTCTTCTCCAAGAAAAGTCTTCAAGCTCTGGAAACAGAAAATAATCGATTAGGGAATCAAACATCAATTCAAAGGAAAAAGTTAAATTCACGCAGTTCATTGCCCACGAGTAATTTTCAGGAAACAAATCCAATTCAGAGCTCAAGTAGTATCGGTTTTTGGTTAGCATTACCTGGGTGCCAATAAGCTTCCCATCTTTATGAGCTACAAGCCCATTCTCCGAAAATACGAAATCATAATCATCAGTAACTGCAAAGCCAAAAATACAATTAAGAGCTCCTCACTATTTATTTCTACAAGCATATATTTAAGAGCTATTTAGCAAACCTGTCTTGCCAAGCTGCTCTGATATCTTAGAGAGGTCAGATCCACCCACCACTCCCACAGTAACAACCTTCAGTTAAGCGAAGAAAATCGTGGACATAACAGAAGCAAACAAAAGCAATACTTGGATAAATTTCTAACACTATGCTAAATTAATGCATACCTTTCGGAGTTCCTGCATGAACTCTAACATCTTTGGAGTGGATACCTGGGATTTGAGGTGAGAACGCCAAACAAGAAAAAGTCAGTTACTTTTGTAGTATTATAATAAATCGAGCATCAGATAAACTTAGGCAATTTGCACAAATCTTAGTACACCTTTAAAAAGGAGCAGCATTAAAACCCAATTGAATAAAATGGACAGAGAAGAAATTCGATACCTTTCTTGGGGCTGTGAGAGTTCCATCAACATCAAACAAGGCAATTACACCAGGTTTTCTCGCTGCCATTGGAACTTATAATATACACTTATTTCCCTGTCATGAAGTTCATAAAGCTGTAAGCTTTCAGTTCAAAAAGAACTAAAAAAAGAAGTCCAGACCCTCTTGATTTCTCAAAAAACTTGGGATTCAACACAGCATACTATCAGATTACTCAAACATTTACCACAATGTGCAAAGCACATAATTGAAATATCATTAGATTCAGGCTTCAGGTACAAACTCCATCAAACAATCAAATTGTGAGAAAATTACAAAGGAGGACCCGTTCGAAAACAAAAAATTAGAAATAGACGAAGCGGTGGAAGTGAATTAATTGCAGCCAAACGGAGGCCAAGAACTAGAGAAGCGCAATATGTGAAAAAGGCAAACCAGGAAATTATTCTTTTGATTAGAAAAGATTAATCGCCTTACCAGTGAGTAGAGGGCAGGGATTCTTTGCGTCGGATTCGGGACCGGAATTTAAACAAGGAGTTTAAAATAGATCTCAAAAATGGCGGATCCTTGGGAGTTCCTGGGTATTAAATGAATTGTTGAGCGATATAGCTTGAGTGTGAAAAAGTTAAGATCTTGACTACTGAATACTGATTACAAAATTGTGTTTGTGATGTAATAACGGCCGTCCACGTGTAATTCTAAACGGCAAGGATTACTTTTGATCTTTTTGTAATTTTCCAACAAGGTGCCAGTCCATGACGATGTAGCGGGTGGAAGTGGCAGAGATTTTACGCCTTACGTAACGTGAAATAGGCCTCCAAAAGCGCCGATTTGCCATCCGGCCGAAATGAAATGATTAAATTAGTAAAATACATTATTTTCACAAATATGGATCGTATTAAGATAATTCTTTTATTCATAAATATAAACCATCTGAAGAATGTCAACGAATAATTAATAATATTTTTAAATTTTGTCCTTGTTTATATTAAATTTTATAATTATTTTTATAATTTTTTAGAAAAATACTTTAATCAAATTAATAAATATTCACTTTATAATAATTTTAAATGAATTATATTTCTAGACAGACCGAGTAATAATTTTGTAAAAGTAATGCGGCAGCTGGAAGAAATCCACCACAGCCACAAGCACATGCATTTGACTTGGTTATCAAGAGATGGACTTGCACGAAAGTTACAAGTAGTTCACCACTTTAGACTTTGTGATTGGGATCCAACCAACAGTAATACATAGCGAAATTAGATCTAATGGAATATTCTTACCCATCAAACGTTAATATTATGAGAATGAGGGGACCACTTATTTTGCCTAAGCCAAAAACCACAGAAAAAAAAAAAACTAGGTTTAAGGTAGGGAGTAATAGGCCTAAGCTCGCTAATCAGCCACGCTTCACTTGTCTAGTCCCTACGAAACCTTATTCTACGTAAAAAAAAAAAAAAAAAAAAAAATGGCCAATAAAGACCATCAGCAAACGAAAGCAAAAAAAAAAAAAATAAATAGTAAGAGGTACGTCTAGGAAAGAACGTGCGGAGGTAAATAGGTAGGGGGGGAATAGGCCTAAGATGTCTGCGTAATTCAGCCACGCTTCCCTGTCTAGTCCCTACGAAAACCGTACTAATCTACTGACATGTGTGTGTCGAAAATATTATTTTTAGAATTGGTTTGATTGTTTTTTTGTTATAAAAAAAAGAAAAGTAAAAAAAAGGGGACCAAACATGTAAATAATAATTTATGTAAAAGAAATTGTAGTTTGTTTTTAACAGTTGATTTTGTAATTTGGAAATAATGGAGTATGTTTATTTAAAGGGTTGAACTTGTTTTAATAAGGTTGTGTTGGTATTATTATATTTATATTCAAATCCGACACAGTTATTGTGGTCCCCGAGGTAAGGGGAGGTACCATTTTGTTGTAATTTGGCTTATTTTGTGTTTTTTTTGTGGTAGTAATGGTTTCAATCTAATAAAGTTTGATTCGTCCTGCCATACGATCAAAGAGACAACCAGAGACCATCCGTTATTAGGTAATATGCTAACCTCACTGCATTTCAGCCCCTTCTGCTGGAGACACATCCCATGTGAATTATTAGGTCTGTGCTCTTGACTAAGCCCAGGGCCAGACAGATATGATATGCGAAAAGATGCAAACTACCTTTTTTAGGCTAGGATCCTCAGTTTGTAGGCATTTCAGAGTCTGCTTATTGAGAGCAAAAAAAAAAAAAAAAAAACAAAGTGGAATATTTATATTAAATCCTGACACAGTTATTGCCAAAGCATAGAAGCTTGTGGAATGTTCAATCAAAAAGGTGATTCGTCCTTACGATCAAAGAGACAACCAGAAGGACCATCGTTAGGTAATAATGCTAACCTCACTGCACTTTCAGCCCCTTCTGCTGGAGACAATTTTCCCATGTTGAATATTAGGTCTGTCTTGACTAAGCCAGGGCAGACAGAATTGATGCGAAAAGATGGCAACTTCTTGGCTAGGATCCTCGTGTAGGCATTCAGAGCTGCTTTTGAGAGCTCATAAGCAGAAAAAAATTCAGGCCATCCTTTTGTTTCCGGCGAGCTTTCTTTAAAATCGTTTAGATACTTGTTCAACACCTCATCAATTCTCTCCTCCGAGAGATTATCAGCATCACCTAACACTTCTTTAGCCCATTCATTTTGTATATTCTGAAAAAAAAAATTGCAAGGAAACATCAGTTTTAGTAATTGCTTTGTGCATGATAATTATTATTTAGTAATCTCTGGTAAAATGTGATATGGGTTTACCTTCAATGCCCCTCCCATGGAGGAAACATTAACAATCCTTGGCGAATCAGACAACTGGAGCAGGGGAATAAGTGCCTCAGCTGTTCTTTTGGCACCGTAATAATTTATTGCAATGCATTCTTCAGCCAACTCACTTGTTTGACTTGCTATTATTTTATCCCAATCCAAAGAAAACACATTTACACCTTCCTGTATTAAAGAAACAAACTTAATAGCTAAACCAAAATTTTACAGTTTGCTCTGGCTATCTATAGAATCATACTCTACTTCATCTCCAACTATGATATCCATTTGTTTTGTCATTTAATAGAAACTTACCTTGCCAAAATCAGAAGCTCTTAAAGCATCACCATCAAGTATAACTCCACCGACACCTGCATTATTCACCTGCAAAGAGGTGAAGCAGTATCATTCAACTTATATAAATCTTGAAAATTGTTTTCATTATTTTCACTTGAGAGAAATTTGAATAGGAAGCAGATTAAATCTCGAAAAAAATATTTTCCTACCACAAAGAAATTGAACTGTACACATTCCTCAATCTATAATTAACTATCATACACAAACAAAAAAAAAAAAAATGAAGAAAAAACAAAAATCGTGGGTTTGAATGATTGACACATACCAAGATGTCAAGCTTTCCGAATTGGGTTTTGATGAAATCAGCAAGAGCAGCAATACTGGCAGTGTCTGCCACATCAAGTTGATGAAACAATACATAATCAGATAGACCAGAGTCTTGGAGTTTTTGAAGAGCTTCAAGCCCTCTTTTCTCATCTCTGGCCGTTAATACTACAACAATCCCATTTGAAGCCAACTGCCTACAAATTTCAAATCCAATTCCCTTATTTGCACCGGTAACTACTGCATACCTGAAAAAAATTATATATAAGAAATTGTCATAAACGAAAAGTAGCAGAAGCAGAGATGGAGGATAATTGTGTATGTGAAGAATGAAAGAATTGCCTCTTGGTTGGTTCTTCCCCCATTGATTATCAAACGAGCTTCAAGTGTTCAGCTTTCACTGATTTTTTTTTTTCCCTTATCTTATCTCCATAATTTGCCCTTTTTCCTTTAATGGAAACGCTGTTTGGACCGTTCTGGAGAACAACTTTAACAAAAATAATTGTCTGTCCATTGTACCAAAAAAGTTATTAATTGAATATAATTTCGATAGTAATTAATAACTGTTAGTATAGTTTTACTTAAAACTTTTTTTTTTTTGGTAAAATAATTTCATTTAAAATCATCAAAAGTCAAAAGTTATTATAATTAGCATTACCATGAATATGACAAAACTGACTTTTACTATTTATAATTTGTCTTATTATAAATATATATACAACATATATAAAAAAGCTAAGAATTTCAGCTATTATTTATTTTATTTGATAAGTGGAAAAAAAAAATAATTCTCCATGTATTTGTTAAAGTGGAAAAAAAATTTATAATGACATATATAAATATTACGTTCACCAAGTAAAAAAGATATCAAGCTCTCCGAATTTGGTTTTAGCAAAATCAACAAGAGAAGCGAGTAATGCAATTAAGATAACTTATATCCCAAAACTAAAAAATAAAAAATTAAAGACACAGTTGTGATGAATTTAATTCTCTTTATTTAGCTGTTAATTTTCACATACAAAAATTCCAGCATTCTTTTGGAAAATACGTATACATACAGTATATAATTCCATATAAAGAAGATGGATTAAATACTGGTGGCCAAGCAAGACTCGATGATACAGCTAATCAAAAGACGACACCTGCTTGCGGTCAAAGAAGCAACCAGAAGGACCATCGTCAGGCAACAGTGCTACCCTCACAGGGATTTCAGCACCTTCTTCAAGAGACAATATTCCAGTATTTAAGTTTATATCTGTTTTGACAAATCCAGGACAGACGCAATTAATGCGGAAAGTTGGAAACTTGTTTGCTGTGATCCTTGTATAAGCATTCATGGCTGCCTTTGAGAGAATATATGCAGACAGGAAAGAAGGCCAGCTTTCTAGTGAACCCTCTTTAAAATCATTGAGGTATTTGCTCAACACCTCATCTATTTTCTCTTCTGAAAGGTTTTCAGCATCGTCCAGCACTCGTTTAGCCCATTCATTTTTTACATTCTGAAGCAAACACCATTAGCAAACTCGATCACAATTTAATTACTGGAAAAAGAATCTTTTTTTTTTTTTTTTCTGTTAAAATGGTCTTTACCTTCAACTTTCCCATGGTGGATGAAACATTAACAATTCTTGGTGAATCAGATAATTGGAGTAGGGGAACAAATGCCTCCACCATTCTTTTGGCACCATAATAATTTATTGCAACGCATTCTTCAGCTAACTCGTAAGTTTCAGTTGTTATTTTATGCCAATTGATACCTGCTCCTTCCTGCAGTACCAATGAAAGAAACTTGCGTATCAATTCATTAATTCACACTTCCTTTAATTAGCTTCATATATATGTTTATTTATAGAAACTTATACCCTATCAAAAGCTCTTAAAGCATCGGCATCAGCTTCATTTCCACTAATACCTGCATTATTCACCTGAAAAGAGGTTTTACCTCCTTCATCATTCATCTTATAAAAGCTTATTATATATATAACAAGTAGATATATGAGAAAAAATCATTTTTAATTAAGTTCCATCTTTTCAATTCCGAGTTCAGAAATTCTAAAGTTGTCACTCATATAAAAGTTCAGATAGTCAAAATTAAATGAAGAAGAAAACACAGGGATTATTAGTTCGATCGATACCAAAATATCAAGCTTTCCAAATTGTGTTTTGATGAAATCAGCAAGAGCAGATATACTGGCAGTGTTAGCTACATCAAGTTGATGAAACAACACATAATCAGATAGACCAGAGTCGTTGAGTTTTTGAAGAGCGTCAAGGCCTCTTTTCTCATCTCTGGCTGTTAACACTACAACAATCCCATTTGAACCCAGCTGCCTACAAATTTCAAACCCAATCCCCTTGTTTGCTCCTGTAACTACTGCATATCTGAGCAAAAAATAAAATAAATAAATAAAGAATTAAACTGTAACAAACGAGAATCAGCAGTAAGAGGGAGCTAGAGAGGAGTGTGTATGTGTGAAGACGAAACGATTAATTGCCTCTTGGTTGCTTCTTCTGCCATTGATGATGAAACGAGCTTAAGTGTTTGCTTTAGCAGTTACCTTATCTCCAGAATATTTAATTTTACCATAAATTATGTGATCACTCTGTTATATGTTTTGAAGTAATCAAGAATTGGGGCAAATCCAAGACAAGGAAGGAGAGCCACAAAGATGATGTATGGTTTTAAGACAGGCAACGTCAGAAAAGGAAAATACACGATGCATGTCCATTCCTCTTACACCTGACATTTCCTTCTCTTTTTTCTCATGACGAGATCAATAACCTTGTGTATTTATCTGCACATGATGTATGAGACACACGTATCTATTTGGCAGATTTGCTGGGCGCATGTGGGGGCAGAATCCCCTAAATGCAATTTTTCCTTTAAATTTTATATATATTTTCCAAAATTATTAGCCTCTTCCAATTTTACTTTCAACTTTTCTTTTCATTTTGGCCCTTAAGTTCCGTTGGTATATTATGAACCAAATTAATAAAAATAATAATTTTTAAAAAATTATTTATATATTTTTTTTCCAGTATATTGTTAAAAATATCCTCGTTTTAATAAAATTTTTTTTAATTTTTATTGATTTAATTTCCGCTGAAGTGTATATGGACATTTCGATTCCTAACAAGAATGCTTAGCATTATTATTACTTTTGACGTTTTGATACAAATTACAAGTAATTTCAAAAGGAAGTAACTTGATCGAGAAGGAAAAAGAGACCAGAAGGTCCACCGTGAGGCAACAGTGCCAATTTCACAGGATATACAGCTGCTTCTTCAACAGTAAAGACTCCACGATTGCAAGTAATATCCGTTTTGATGGAGCCAGGGTTAACACAATTGATGGAGAAATTAGGGTAATTTCTGGCAAGAAGTCTTGTGTGAGCATTCATGGCTGCTTTCGAGACGGAATATGCAGATAAAAAAGAAGGCCATCCTTTTGTTTCTAAAGAATTTTCCTTGTAATCTCTTAGGAATACATTTACCACCTCATCTATTCTCTCCTCTGAAAGCATTTCAACATTGCTGAACACTTCTTTAGCCCACTCATTTGTTAAATACTGAAAAATATATAAATGGCAAGAAAGTTGTGTTACTGTTAAGTTATAGATAATTCATGATTCCAAGCCAAATTAATTATTTAATTAGTATAATAATACCTTAAATGTTGCCATGGTGGAAGAAATGTTTATAATCTTTGGTGAATCAGATTGTTGGAGAAGTGGAATAAGAGCTTCAGCTGTTCTTTTCGCGCCGTAGTAGTTTGTGTTGACACATTCTTCTGCTAACTCGTAATTTTCAGTCAATACTTTACTCCAGACATTTATCACATCATCCTACATAAATGGCAAGCAACTCAACTAGTTTTACTTCAACCATTACCAAAACATGGTTGTTCTAGGGCAATTTTCCATAAACTAAACTAATTCTAAAAATAAATCCTTTGTAAAAGACTCACCTCAGTGCCAGTTAAGGTCATAGAATCTAATTTGCTGGAGTCAATAATGTTTCCTCCGACTCCTGCATTGTTCACCTGCATAGAGTTTATTCGAGCAAGAAGTCATTATAGTTTCCTTCAGAATAATAAAGGAAAATGAAACAGGGGATATGAGGAAATTGGCTATTGAACGCACCAAAATATCAAGTTTTCCAAATTGAGTTTTGATGAATTCAGCAAGAGAAGCAATGCTAGCAGGATCCAAAACATCAAGCTGATGGAAAACCACACCATCAGAAAGACCAGACTCTTTCAGCTTTTCAATAGCTTCAAGGCCTCGGTTTTCATCTCTAGCTGTCAGTATGACAGTAATCCCATTTGATGCCAGCAGTTGTACAATTCCCCATCCAAGTCCTTTGTTACCCCCAGTAACAACTGCATACCTGACCAGCAAAAATATCAAAAAGAAGAGTCTTCAGATTTAAGCAAAACCCATTAATCCAATCAGAGGGCAAGGTGGACAAAAATCACAGTGGAAGCAACCAATTAGTACCTGCTTGTTGATTCTGCCATAGTTTGTTAGAAATTGAGATATTAGCACCAAGACAGGAGGACCTGTTTTTAAATTTACTTGGTATTACATAACCTACAGTTCCAAAGGGAACAAGGGATCAACCTGTCTCAAAATTAAACAAAACACAAGAAAACAATGCATAAGATGTATCATCCAAACTGTTTGTTTTACTATACTAGAGTTTAAAATTCCTTTTATTAATATGAATTAGTCCAAGAACTTACACCTGTCCGGCAAATTATCCACATAAACTAACTACAATGCTGTCGGTGAAAATTCCAATTCCATCATAACAGACATAAAGAATGAAGTTTCCAAGAAAATAACTCTTTAGACCCTTCTGTTTGGTCTACAAGAAATTACCTAACTACAAAAGGAAAAAAACCTTTTTGCTTTCTTGATTATAATAATTACCAAAGCTGATTCATCAGATTCTTTTAGAATGAATCCCGCCATCACATTCATAATTGGCATTAGCCTTTTGCATATGTAAAAATCCTTTCTTTTCGTTATTTTCTTCCTTCCTTTTTCTTTTTTGTTGAAATTTGTTAGACGTGAAAAATCAAGTGCACAAGTCAAATATATAACTAAACCGATTTGTTTTCCAAAATATGAGGGCGGAACTAGTGGAGGACAAACTATAATTTTTTTTGAAGTTTAGGAGGCAGAAATGAATAATTCGCTAACTTTCAAGGACAGGAATAGGAAGAGAATAAAATTGAAATTGAAATTTCTAGATGGGATTGGGAATACATAGAAATGGCTTACTATCTCCCTTTTTTATTATAAAAAATTTAAATTATACACCTTTTTTTTGTTACAATATCTTATTTTTTGATATTTTAATTTATTCTCCACTCCACTATTTTTTTTTTAATTTATTGGAGGCTTTTATGTGTTCAAATAACACTGTAGGCTACACAACAAAGGTAGTCTTCTCCTTGAAGGGCTTTTACATGAATGAGAAGACTAATCAGACTACCACTTGATTAGCATTCTCCACTCCACTTTTGATTCCTACAGACGAAGCAAAGCAAAATGAATGAAATCAAAATTTCTATGTATGTCATACCCTCCATAGCTATTCACCCAAAAAATTCCATATCCAATAGGATGAACTAAATGCCTAAATCTATTGAATTCCTTTTCTCGGACTGCGAAACCCTGACGGAATGAAATCATTCTAATCACACAAATCTGTTAAAACTAGCAAACTAAAGGGAGTATTTATTATGTATTTAGAATCATTTCAATATACAAATCCCACTTCGAATTTATTACAAACCCAGATCCAAAACATGACCTTGAATGCAGAAATAAATAGCAAGATGCAATTTGGAAAAAAAAAGGTCTAAAAAGGACTTTACCGAACCACCACTAAGCTCAGTAGCTCTTTCAAAAGCACCACGGTCAACAGGTCAAGTGTAACTCCAGAAATCGCAGTGTTGTTAACATGCACAAGTGAAGGAAACAACAATCTGTAAGGAACAGATGAAAACATAAGAAAACATAAGAATCTGAGGACGTAAATGTATCAAAATATCCAGTTGTCCAAATTGGATTTCGACAAAATCTGCTAGCGAAGCAACGCCTTCGAGGGTCGACCACATCAAGCTGATGGAAAATCAAATTATCATCAGAAAAACCAGAGTCTTTAAGCCTCTTAACAGCTTAAAGGCCTCTGTTCTCATCTCTGGCTGTTAACACCACCACAATTACATTAGAAGCCAACTGCCTACAAATTTCAAAACCCGTCCCCATGTTTGCTCCAGTGACTAATGCATACCTAAAATCATCCATCTATGAAGTGAGATAAAGTTTCATGTGATTCTGTAAACAAAATAGAAATTCCAGAGAGGAAAATATAGTTAATATTGTCCAAACAAAACCGTGGAAGAAGACTATCTCTAAGCCTTTATAAACTTGCAATTGTCACAATTTATAACTCTCAGCTGGAATACGAGTTGCAAGATCGAGAGTCAAGACAAATAAATTGCGACAAAATGCAAGTTTATAATATAACTTCTCAGCTGAAATTTACGAGTCTGCTAAGATCGAGAGTCAAGACAAATAAAATGACGACAGAAATGGCAAGTTTATATGAACGCCTGATTCTGTAAACAAAATAGAAATTCCAGAGAGGAAAATATAGTTAATATTGTCCAAACAAAACCGTGGAAGAAGACTATCTCTAAGCCTTTATAAACTTGCAATTGTCACAATTTATAACTCTCAGCTGGAATACGAGTTGCAAGATCGAGAGTCAAGACAAATAAATTGCGACAAAATGCAAGTTTATAAAGGCTTAGATATATAATCACAAATAAAGTGACTGAAGAGGAGTGTCGTTGCGCGCCGCATCATTTGATAAGTAATGCAGATCCTAATTCCAAATTCACTTCAGATGACTTCCGGCTTCAAGCGTGGGGCGCCGTCAAATCCACCGTGGCAGGCGATCAATTACTGATAATCGCCCGAGGATCAACCGTGGGTAGATGTGTCATTGCCTGTGCTACATTCATTTATATCTACGTAGATCGAATGGTGCAAGCAGGGATTTTGGCGTGCAATTGGAGTTCTTTATGCTGCTCTAAATCTTGTTTACCAGGTTATGAAGGATCTTAATTTTAGCATGAAACAAGGAGACTGATTTCCTTAATTTTGGAGACTTCGATTTCGTGTGAAAGCAGCTTTTGTTAAAGGAAATCACGGGAGACCAAAACGTGTTAGATATAGAAAAATAGAGACAAGGAGAGAAGTGTGGTAAGAAAAAGAAAAAGAACAAAAAAGCCTTTGTCTTTTTTTATGTAAACTCTGTTTTTCCATGTAAATTTTCTGCTGTCTTCAGTTATTTTATTGTTTATGTTTTTTATTTTCTCCTCCGCATCTCAAATGCGACAAGAAATGAGACAACAAATGCGAAGAAGAAGCAATAGTATAGCAAAATCAGCAAAAGATTGCACAAAAGGAGAAAATCTTGCTTTTCTGGCAATTCTCATCAGTTGTAAAATCAAAATCATAAAAAACATAACAACACTCATTATGAAGCAGAGAATTAGTGAAATCCACATAAGATTGTTGTGCACCTTTTCTTTTCTACCAGCTACTTAGAACATCCAACCATTGCTAAAACAGTTAGTACATTGCCTAAACAAATTTAATTTGAACCTTACAACGTAGGCTTAATTAATTACAGCTCCATTGGAATACTTATTTAATAGATCCTTTTAAATTCTAGTCGCGAGAATATATTAGTTAGTTGTTTTTGTGACATACCGCCAGGCGTGGAGCTAGCCAAAAAATAAAATTATAGTTGAAATTCAAGAAAATATGAATTTCGTCCTCCAAACTACAGAAAATAAAATAAAATTATATTCCGTGCCCTAATCTTCAACTTCTAGTTCTGCTCCTGTGTGCAGCCATTGATTGATGTGTATACCTAATACTAAACTCAAACTTCAATTTACGCTAAACAGATGAACATGATTAAAACTTGAAAATATCTTATTCTTGGAGGGATAATAGTACATAAAACTTTAAAGATTCAAAAACATGACATTTGTTTCCTAAGAAAGAAACAACCAGAAGGCCCATCTTCAGGAAACAGTGCTAACCTCACAGCATGTTCAGCACCTTCAGCTGACGTTAAGAGGCCAACATTAGTGGTTATGTCTGTCTTGCAAAATCCAGGGCAGACCGAATTGACACCGAAACTTGGGTATTTTTTAGCAAGAATCCTTGTGTAGGCATTCATAGAAGCCTTTGCAACAGTATAGGCCGATAGAGAAGTAGGCCAGCCTTTAGTTTCCACCAAACCATCCTTGAAATCTTTCAGAAACTGATTCAAAACTTCATCCACTTTCTCTTCAGTAAGGTTTTCAACATCACTCAACAATCCCTTTGCCCATTCACTGGGTATAAACTATACCACAAGACAAGAAAAGGGTTAATTCACTTTTGTCTTTATTGTTTCAGAATTAGCATTAAATCAAACTGTTTGCAATATGCAATGCTAAATGGCCTCCAAAATTATAGGATCGGATCACTAGTTTTGAGAGACTTTTTGTTACCTGCAACAATCCCAATGCTGAAGAAACATTTACAATCCTTGCAGCTTTAGATAACTGTAGGAGGGGAGTTAGTGCTTCAACCATAAGTTTTGCACCATAATAGTTTGTTTTCAAGCATTGTTCTGCCAACTCAAGACTTGGCGTTTGAATTTCGTCCCAGGTGACTTGCTTTCCATCTGGCTGCATCAGAACACAGAACGTCATACCCTCCATAGCTATTCACCCCAAAAAATTCCACATCCAATAGGACGGACTAAAGGCCTAAATCTATTGAGTTTTTTTTTCTCGGACTGCAAAACACTGATGGGATGAAATCACATTCTAATTACACAAATCTGCTAAAACTAGCAAACTCAAGGGAATTTTTAAGTGTATTTAGAATCATTTCAATACAAAATCTCCCTTCGAAACCCAATTCCAAAACATGACCTTGAATTCAGAAATAAAAAGCAACATGCAATTTTAAAAAAGGGTTCATAATAGACTTTACCCAACCACCACTTAGCTCACTAGCTCTTTGAAAAACATCATGGTCTATTGTAACTCCAGAAATCCCAGCATTGTTAACCTGAACAAGTGAAGGAAAGAACAATATGTAAGAAACAGATGAAAATATAAGAAAAACAAGTTCGTAAGAACGTTGAATGAAGTACCAAAATATCAAGTTTTCCAAATTGGATTTTGACAAAATCTGCTAGCGAAGCAACGCTGCGCGGGTCAGTCACATCAAGCTGATGGAAAACCAAATTATCATCAGAGAGACCAGAGTCTTTAAGCCTCTTAACAGCTTCAAGGCCTCTGTTCTCATCTCTGGCTGTTAATACCACCACAATTCCATTAGAAGCTAACCGCCGACAAATTTCAAAACCTATCCCCTTATTTCCTCCAGTGACTACTGCATACCTGAGATCAGCCATCTATGGAGTTAGATAAAATTTTTGTGATTCTGTAAACAAAATAGAAATTCCAGAGGGGAAAAGTAGTTAACAGCGTGATATAAGTGCAAACAAAACCGTGAAAGAACATGAAAAGCAAGGTTCAATACAATACAACCACTCATTGACATATTGCATGATATTATTGTCTGCTACGTTTCATCCGCGTTATTTTGTGATGTTTAGAATTTCACGTGCTAAAAAAAATTATTATATTAGTTTTAATTTAATAATATTTTTTTAAAAAAAATTATTAAATTAAAGTCTTAATGATTGATTATATAAGAAAATAATATAAAAAAAATATTTATTTATCCTTAAAACCATAAATAATAAATATTTTAAATAAATATTTTTCAAATATAATAAATATTATGAAATTGACGCAATAAATATTTTCAATTTTTCAACATACCATTGGTATTATCATTGAAATACTTTTCTAGATGAGACGAAACTTCCATTACTTTTTTTAGATAGGTTTAGAATTCCGATCATTTACTTTTCAAGAGAAAATTCCAAATTATTTTAAAGTCAACTTGAATTTTATTTTACTCCTTATGTAAAATACATTTTGATAATTTACCATTAAATAGCATTATTAAATGTTATGTAATTTAAAATAAAGATTATTAATTAATGGCAAGATGATTGCTTTGGAACTATAAATGAAATATTTCAATGTCAAAATTTAAGGATTATATATGTAAATTAATTTACATATACAAGAATGGTTATTGGTAAATTAAAATTTTAAATTATTAAAAATATCTGTATTTAGTTAGCTCAAACTGAGACACTTAGCATCACCTTTTTTTTTTTAATTGTTACAAATTATAATTTAGGAATCTTAAGTTACTTTAGTGTTAAGTTGAAACATCACCAATAAAATTAACCCAAAAATCACAGTAAAATAGATGTCCTTTAGATCTCTAAAATGGCAATGAACTGAGAAAATCTCCCGAAAATAACCAAAAATATACAAAAATCAATTTTTTTTCTCTAATAGATCACAGTTCCAGCAATTGAACTACATCAGAAATGGGATGGTCTGTTCCTGCTTTCATAATTTGCTTTTCCACTTCATGTTAGCAAATTATGAATTCGGGAAATAAAATAAAAGGTCCTCGTCCAACGGGCCTTATTTCTCATGAACCAGTGGGCTATACACGGGGAACCACATATTGCGCGTGACGTAATGCACTGTCTCCTCCTGCATCCGGAATCGCAGAAAAAAAAAAAAAAAAAAAAAAAATCTTCTGTTTCCTGCTTTCATACATTTGCCATTTTTTCACTTCGAGTGTTAGCCAAAATCTATGAATTCGGCAAATATAAAAAAATAAAAGGTCCTCGTCCAACGGGCCTTATTTCTCATGAATCCAGTGGAAGCTATACACGGCAGGAAACCCACATATGCCCGTGCGGTAATGCACTGTCTCCTCCTGCATCCGGAATCGCAGAAAAAAAAAAAAAAAAAAAAAGATTTATTAAACAATCTAATCGCTTCCGAATACATGCATCTTTTATAAAAAAAAAAAAAAAAAAAAAAAAAAGATTATTTAACAGTAATGCTCCGAATACTGCATTTTCTATAATTCGTTAACATACTTTTGACATGTTCCTGAGCTCTTTGGGGCCCACATCACCATGTCCTTCGGCCAAATTTTCTGCAACAGCTGCTCGCAGAACAGCAGCACCAACCTCTGCCGTAATGTGTCGAATACTGCATTAGGTACAAACGGTTCATCAATCTACAGAAGGCAAAAACCATCATAGAAGACATCTAACAAGATGGAACCCATACACTACAGCTTTTGTGACAACGGTAACTTACCAATGCGCCAAGTTAAGAATGCGTAAGTAGCACTCTTTTACAAAATATAAATTAGAAGCAATATTCACTTTCCTTCTACCTACCACACAGGTGAAACGTTATAGGACCAAGTTGTCGACATTTTACAGCTAACAAATATTATTTTTAATTACAATGGTGGTTATAGCTATGATATCCATGGCAATGAAGAAGAAGAGATGGTGATGTTATTGCTAATAGCACAATGCCGTTGTAATGGTGGTGGCAGCATCCATGATGGCGATGGTGGTAATGGTTGAACTATTATGAAAAACTTGTATGCATGTGTTACCGGTATTGGCGGTAGTAATGGTTCGAATTGTTAGTATTGTTGGTAATGGTAGTAAATGAGAAGGTCCAAGCATCATGAATGTGCTGTCAGGTAATAAAGGGGAAAAAACATATGCACATACTTTTCTGCCGAATTCATGGGAAACAAGATTTATAAGGAAAAACTCCAAAAGACAAACAGCCACAATTTTTACTTCAGAAACGAAAATTGATGGCTCCATATACTGCATGAAGAGAAAAAGAAATCATAACCACTAAGAGCCGGAGGTATCACCTGTCAATGGATGGATATAATATGCCCCTCTGGACTTCCTCATCTGTCATGTAAGAAGCAAGGCTGTAAAAATAAACTCATGTCAGCAATTCATGACTGGAAAAAAAAAATTTTGAGGATTTCTTATGTGATCTCTTCAAGAATACAGAGCACATGTATCACAACTAAATTTGTTCAGCATCAACTGTTTCAACTGAAAATAAAAGAATTTTAGGTTAGAAAAAAGAAACCAGTGGAAAATATTTGTCCATACCATTCAGCAGCTGCCTGCAACATTCCATCTGTTATAATACGTGCACCAGACACAAGAGTTCCCAAACCAATCCTGACAACAGGCAATAATATACATAATTTATCAGTATTTAGACAGCTGGCAAAATTTCAAAACATAAATAATAAGGAAACACTAACCCGGGAAACAGGTACATATTATTTGCTTGATTTACATGTCCTACTTTCCCATTCCCTGCAAAGACATGCATGATTATTGGTGTAATAAAAACTAAATCATCAAATTGATAAATTCACTATCAAACAAAAAACCATGAACATCTCCTCTTCCCTCTCCCCAATCATCAAAACTTGATAAATTACCTCATCACAGCAACACAACACCATGAACATCCCCTCCCTCTTCCCTCTCTCCCCCCCCCCCCCCCCAAAAAAAAAAAAAAAAAAAAAACCAACTCATATATACCGATATGCCGGCCACACCCGTGCACAAGAACATGCATCGGACTCTGTATGGTCGTAATAAATAAACTAAAATTTCATCAAATAGGGTGCAATATACTATCGAAAGGAAAAGTAAAACTATTCTCCACACTGACATATACAATAGCTCTCACAGAAGTCACACAAAGACTTTTTTGGCCACTTATTACAGTGTCAAGTTATGATCTTAGCTACATTGTAGATTTTTTAAAAGAACGGAAGATCAATAAAAAAAAAAAAAAAAACCAACTCATATATAGACATGCCTGCACACCCTGCAAAGACATGCATGACTGTTGGTGTAATAATAACTAAATCATCAAATAGGTGCAATAACTATCGAAAGGGAAAAAAAACATTCTCCACACCCAGACATATACATACACACACAGAGTCACACAAAGACATTTTGGTCCTTTACGTGTCAAGTTATGAAAACTCAAGGACTACATTGTAGATTTTTAAAGAAACGGAAGATCAATGGATAAACAAAAAAAATACCGAGATCAATGTTTTGAAATGGGCTTCCACTTGCAAAAACTATATTTTCCCCAGCATATTTGAAAGCATCAGCAGCAGTACATTCAGCTGTTCCAGAGAATACAAATATAATGTCAACAGAAAATTCTAGTTGCCAGCATAAGTTGTGGAAGCTTGTGAGACTTGCCAAAACCAACCATTCATGGTGGGGTTTGACATAGCAAAAATGGCAGGTTTAGGAGAGTCAGATTCCCGCATGGCCCTGAGCACCTGATTAAATTCCAATTGTATAAAACAAATCAGGAAATGTAGGAGCATTAACTAAAACGAGAAATAAATATAATCATCAGCATAAACTATATTATTCAAACACAACAGCAATGTACATACTCAAAATTTTAGACAAAATATTTTTGAGCAATGAAACACTGCAGTACCAGAACTAGACATAGCACTACACATTTTTGAACCACATTACTGTAAAGCAGAACAAAATCACAAAGCAGGAGTAAGGGTTTTTACCTCCTCGTTAAAGATCCCACCAACTCCAGACAAACCAAGAAGCACATGGGGCTTTACCTTTTTAACCTAAATAACATATAGCTCTCACCAATTAGAACTCTTACAACAAAAGCTTTTCAAGTATAACTCCATAGCTAAGGGTAGGGCTGTTCAAAATCCAAGCTGCACAACCCAGTTTGAAGTTTGAGAAGTCCTATTTGCAATGAAATAGCTCATAAAATGGAAGATGTCAGGTTGTTCCGGATTTATCTTGAACAGCCCTAGCTAACAGGTTAGAAACTGATGCATGTCATGTCATTCAGCTTTGTCCTCATTAAGGATGTTTACAAAAGCCCCTGGAATTTTACCACTTCAAGAAGATTAGCTCCTTCCCTGAGCCCCTCAACATCTTTTAAGTCCTTAGCAAATGGCATTGCAGCTGGATCGATATTTTTCCTCTCTTTTGTGATAAGACCCTGCATTGGAGCAAAATAATAGTTATAATAAGATAGAATGAAAAAAAAACCCGACATGTTTATGATACTTCAATGAGGTAAAAAATTGACAACATAGATACCCCCCCTAAGAACTTCATAATTCCAACTGTTATTGTGACTTCAGAATTAAAAGAAAGTACCGATGAAGTTGATCATCTATAAAGTATCAGATATTTAATTCATATGTTATCCAAGATAGAAGACTTACTATTATGCCAGAAAATATTGAAAGCGATACAGTTATGCACCATTATATGATTTCTGTAGAAAAAGTTGAAAAGCATAGAATCTTACATCTTTATCAATTAGGAAAAATTGATTCTTGACAGCTGCTTCACTGTTCCCAGACATCCTGGAAACAGCCTGTACAGCTGCATTCAGGACACCAAGCCCTGCACTGCAAGCAGTACAACAACACAGAATTAGGATATGCAAGTAGCACAATTTTGTAGCAAGCCTATTATATTGAACTTAAGAAACTACCTTCCAGCACCCACTACAACTATCTTTTGGTGCACAAAGTCGGACAATGGTCGGCCTTGGGCTCTTACCGTTCCCAACAACCCTGCGAGAGCAACACCAGCAGTTCCCTACAAGGCACAAAGTGCAACTGCCACAACTAAGAGGCGCTCATGGTAGTTTGTGCCTAGTGCATTATAGCACATATTATATAGCAAAATAACACAGCTGAAGTCACCTGGATATCATCATTAAACATGCAAAACTTTTTACGGTATCTCTGCAATGTTTCGAATGCCCACTTCATTTGAAAATCCTCAAACTGAAAGGATTAAGCAAACCAGCAAGTTATGACATGACCAAGACTTTACACAACACAAGGGTGAAATTCTTTTCTTCTGAAAAGATTTAAACCTGTACAATAGCCTTGGGCCAGCGTGTGAAAACAGCTTCCATGAACTCATCAACAATTGATAGATACTCTTCTCCTTCTAGCCTAGGTTGTCGAAGTCCTAAATCTATCCAAAAAGAAAAAGTACTAAGGAGACAATAACCTCATACTAAATTATTACAGAAAAAGACAAATTACAGTAAAATTTTACTCACAAAGACGATCCTCAAGTAGCTTTTGGTTGTTTGTACCAACATCCAACATAACTGGGAGTATCTGTCACAGATACATAAGTTGAGCAGTAGAAGTGGTAACGTAACAGTAGCTAACCAAGGATATTCTCGAAAGCGAAAATAATTCAAGAGATAGATATAATCTCCAAAGCTAAAATAGGCTCAAGAACTTCAGGGCTTCATATTGTCAGGTCAGATGTAATACATAATTATGCAAGCAGATGATACATAGTGAAAATTCATCAAGAGTTTTCGGTACAGAAAATAAGCAACCACAACAAATTATCCTCGAGTGTAAAATTGCCTAGTGTGAGCCATGCTAAATGTACAGAATGTAACATATATAGTTGGGCAGAATACCAATCCTCTAAGTGCAGAAGAATGTTATAAATATAACAAAAATAAGCGTACGATATGAGAAGTACAATGTGATATTTGAATATAGAAGAAGTGATGAAAGAAGATTGAGAATAAGTAGAGATCACAATTGGAATTGGGTCAAGCAATCAGCCAATGAAAGGAAACTGGCATATCATACCTACGCACACAAAATAAAGAGGATAGATACGGAGAAAGAGGGAGAGAGAGAGGCGTACTCTCTGTGGATTGATACCAGCAGCAGCAACATACATATCAAGCTTTCCAATAGGTATACCTATTCCTTGAACACCAAGGTCACCTAGCCCAAGAATACGACTACCGTCCGTTAAGACTATCATATCCACCTACAACATAAAGAAATTATTTAACCCATGGCATCATAAAGAAGAGTAAGAAACCGTCTTTGTCAAGTGTTTAATAGCACTATGCATAATATAACTTAAAGCAAAAAATCAAGTCGGAAAAATCAAATCATGCTTGTAACTTAAAGCAACAAATGGAGTTGGAAAAGGCAAATCTTGCATTTTCCAAAGAAATAGAGCTTTGATTTATCCAAGCACGGACGAGTTAAAACTTTGCTTGGCCAGTTATTAAATATTCAGAAAGAGAGAAGCAAAAGGAAATGACGTGTTGTCTAGAGCACTCAGTATAAGATTCACACAATACCTGTTCACTTGGCCAGTTATAGATCATTGACATCATCTCCCCTTTATCCTTTGCACTAAAATACATTCCACGCGGACGTCTAAATAGACCTGAATAATTCTGGCACACCAACCCTACAGTTGGCGTGTATATTATTGGAGCAAAATTCTTGATATTATCAATAAGGACCTGGAGAGGAAAGGTACCAGAGTCACTTTATATTATAATTAATTTCACTAATTCCTCAATATATTCAGGCAGGAATTTGCCACAGAACTTACTCTGTAGTATAATGTCTCATTCCTGTCATGAAGCCTATTCAAGATCCTCCATTTTGCTAATGATACAACACTATCTGGTTGTCCCTGAGTATTTTTCTCCAGTGATCGATATGACTCCACTAACAATTTAAGTTAAAGAGCACAATAATGTCATTTGAATAATTCTTGGATAAACTCACATGCACATAGCATAATAACTCATAAAAAACATATAACAAATAAAGGTGATTGAAGCAAAGTTCATTAGCCAAACTTAACTAAACAGAAGGTTTGAAGTCCAATTCCCCCCCCCCCCCCCCCGGCAGGAATTTGCCAAACAGAACATTACTCTAGTAGTATAAATGTCATACATTTGTCATGAAAGCCTATTCAGATCCTCTCATATTTGCTTATAATGATAAAACAACTACGTATCTGGTTGTCCTGAGTATTTTTCTACCAGTCGATATGACGTACACTTAAACAATTGAGGTTAACACGAGCATCAATATGATGTCATTTTGAATAAATTCTTGGTATAATACTTCAAGCATGCACATAGCATAATAGAGAGAGCATATAACAAATCACTAAGGTGATTGAAAGCAAAGTTCATATACCAAACTTATACTTAAACGAGGTTTGAAGTCCAATTCCTCCGTTCCCTCCCACATCCGGCCCCCGCTGCGTTTGATTCTTTCTTTGGCTTTCCCCTAAGCTATTCAGGAGCATATGCATGGCAATATTTGTTAGCCCCCCTCTTTCTTCTTTGCTCCCCTAAGCTATCAGGAGCATATGCATGCATTTTGTAGTGCTTTATATACATAATTGCATATTCAGCAGGAAAGAAATGTCACCTATTGATATTAATTAATGACTTTGGTTGTTCTATATACCCACAATAGAATCCATACATGGATGCATAGGTGTAAGATATTAGCATAATCCTCGGAAGCAATAAGCAAATAATAACAGCTGTAAGAAGTTAGGAATTTTAACTTACTAAAACGAGCATATTGCTGCTCAAATGATATGACACGAGGTGGAAGGAGGCCACGCAAGCCTAATCGATCTCTTTCAGTCAAAGGAAACCCAGTATCCTGAGGAGGAAAGAGAGATAGAGAGAGCAGAGGTGAGGAGAATATATAGAGGTGAGGAGAATATATAGACGTACATGTATTTGCACTCATTGGTCTTTTTTTTTTTTTTGAAACATTAGTTGCAATGGGGAAGATTCATATGGCAAAAATTACCAATATAAAACAAGCTCCTCCACTGCAACCTTAAAATCAGAGGTCAAGGAGCTAATGCTACAATATACTGCCAGTCGATATCCCAAAATAGAACATCTGCTTAGTTGAAATGTCAGATTTCACATAATTGCCGTCTAAGGTGGGGTAGTAGCTAACACATATCCCAAAATAGAACAACTCCACTACAGAGTCTCTCATATTATTGGAATTTCATACACAAATGAATATCCAATTCACAGAACTTGCAACAAAACAGCACCAAAATCTATTGAAAACAAAACAAAACAATCATTAATGACAACTATTTCTGTCCTAGAGTACGAAAAGTATTAAACCGGTTTTCGCAAGCAATTGCAACGAACAAGACAAATGAAATAAAACCAGAACTATCTTCCAAATACCGATACAGTTATAAGCTAAAGACCAAAAGAAGTGTAAGTAATAGTTATTAACCTTATTAAACCAAGGATCATGAAGAATATCAGCACCACGCTTGTGAACAATACAGGGACCAGGTATCGCAGTCGAGAACCTCCGTGATAGGCCCAAACTGGAAGCCGTAAATCTGGCAAGTCTCCACATTCTGAGCCCTAAAATCCGAGATCTAACCAACCGCAACACAGCTAAAACTCAGTCCAGATGAAAGAGACTCTAAAATCCACTTTCACAGCATCTTAAAAAACTACACTCGCTCTCTTCAGAACAGATATCAGAGTGTGCAGTGATAAACTGTGTAAAAACTAGTCGACGCTTCGGTTTTATTTATAGCGAGTGAACATTTTCCGTTTCCTTTTTCGTAAAATAGTTTTGGCAATTTTCTTAAACTATGGTCTTTTGTCTGTGATGGTAGAACAGTTGAATACTTCTTTGAAAGGGATGTTATAACTGCCCGGAGATTGCGGTCAGATAGGGAATGTACCAAAGCGCGCAATACCAACAACAAAATGGCCATGAAGAGGAGGATATGCTGCCCAAAAGAATACCGGGCAGTAAGGGTATATGTGGGAATAAAAGTGAATATGGCTCGGTTAATTGCACTGTCTAGCAGTGAGTCTGCACGTGGATGGATTTGAAAGTTAAAATCCGGAAATAATTGACAGAAAATATCTACGCTGAAAATAATTGAAGGTTGTTCAATGTAATTAATGAACAATAATATTCGTTGATACCCTTTAAGTTTTAATAAATATTCTATCCTCTCACAACTTCTATTTTCAAATAATAAAAAAAAAATAATCATTAAGAAATAAATTGTACTTTCAAAAATGAAAATGTCCTATAATTTAGAATAAATAAAAATAAAGTTAAATTATTTTATAAAATGGAAAATTATAAATATAAACAGGTGAGAATAAATATCTTATATAATAAAAAATATTTTTCTTGGATTGAAATTTTTAAATGTTTCTACAATTTTTTAATATATATAATTTGAAAATCAACATAAATTTTGCATCAAACTAGTGGTTTTCTAATTTTCAAAGACGAAGCATTTCACTTTGGATTATGAATATTAAAAATCATTTACCCAGCACAAAAAAAAAAAAAAAAAAGGGGGAACCTGGAAAATTATAAATATATAACAGGTGAGAATAAATATCTTTATAAATAAAAAAATATTTATTCTTAAGGATTGAAATTTTTACCATGATTTCATACAACATATTTATTTAATAATTACTTTAATTTGAGAAATGAACATAAATTTTGCATCAACCAGTGGTTTTTTCAATTTTCAAAGACGACCAGCCATTGCTCACTTTATGGATTTATAGAATATTAAAAAATCTTTTACGCCACCACCACTAAATAAGAAAAAAAAAAAGTTCGGGAATTAGATGCCAAAAAAAAAAAAAAAAAAAGGTGGGAATAGATGCATACTTTAGCGAGGATGACTGTTAAGTTAATAATATTTAATGCTTGTTAGAGCGTCAACATGTTCGAATAAAGGCTAAATTACCAAAATATGACTCTGATTTTGTGCAAACGAGAGGTTGATAGTATTTCAAGAATAAAATCAAACAAATCAAGAATTTATCAGACACAACTGGGGTAGGTTACCGTGTGGATCCCACTATAATTGTTTATGTGCGAATTGAATAATTTTCCATACTAAGGATGATTATAGAAATTTACATATTTAGTCATTAATATTCCGAAAAAGTCAAAGATTTCTTTTTACAAAATGTTCCTTCTACTTTTATCATTTTTATAAAAAATACAGGAAATAAAGCCATACTATTTAAAGTACTAGTTGAATAACTTCTAAAAAGCAAATAAACAATGAGAAATATAAAAATTTCAAAATTGCAATTTGACGCTTTTATTGTAAAGAAAAATTATAATGAAAAGAATACTAAAACATGACATAATGATAAATAAATATATGATTTGATAGATTCGAGTCTACTCCCCCAATATTCAAGAAGAAAAAAATTATGATGAGAATATTATTCATATTATAATAAAAAAATATGAACTTAATTATAACAAGTGATAATTTTATTTGATAAAATTTTCTGATTTTAGTAGATTGAATGAATTCAAAGCTTTTAAAGTTACACCATTATTTCCGGTTGAAGGAAAGACCCTTTTCCCCTTCCCTCAAATAAAAGAAGAACGACAGGAAAAAAAAAAAAAAAAATACAATTTACTAATTAATATTTCGGCAATAAATTTAAAGAGAACTTGATACGCAGGGGTTACACCTTTCTAGACCGTCGAGATGGATGTCAGTAAAATTCTGACAAAGCTAAATGGAATTTGATTCCATTCGAGTGCGAAAGAAGCAAGGAACTTAACCCCGCTCGCGTTGCCTCTGCTTCCAATCAACTTGACCCATGCCAATTTCTCCGCCCTCCATTTTCATCTTCTTTTATTTTCGTCTATTTAAAAGCAATGGTCTCTTTTTCACATTTGTTCCTTTTTTCCTTCATAAATTATGAGCTACACAAAGCAACAGGTGGAGCCTTTTCATCCTCTATTCATCAGAGTTCTCCCTGCTGATTCTTTCAGTCCAAATGTAAGCACTAAAAAAATTTCAAGCAAACATTCCTTCTCTTTTTTTGTTTTTTTTTTTTTTTTTGAAAAAAAGATACAGCAATGCCGTGATGAAAACAGCATCAATATCAAAATTTGGAACATCAGTTCAATTACTTTGTGACAGAAAACAAGATAGTGTTTAACTTAATAACAATATAATCAAGATGACAACCCACTCCTAAATTTGTCGATTTAAACTTTATTAAGACATTATAAAACCAAGTCTTGCTCAATTGAAGATACAAGAAACGATTTGCCACACTGCAAGATACAGCAATTCAACTTCTACACTCAATTCACATCATTGTAATCCTTCGTCCCAAAGTTCTTGCACCATAGCTGCGATGGAATCGGGCGAACTGGATGATGTGGTCGTTGCTGAAAGAATAAATTTTTTTTTAGCTGCTCATTTCATAAGCACAATAATGACGATGCACATATAAATTCTTGTAGCAATTCCTAACTCAGACAAACCTCAATCATAAGATAATACATGGTAATTTGCAAATGCAATTGGTATCTAATTCCCACTATAAAAATTCCTGACGCCCATCTTACATGCGGTGAAAGAATAAGTGGTCATATTAGTCTATTGATGAGTAAAAATGCACATACATGTCCAATCAATAACTAAATTCTGTTCACATCCAATCCATGTTTCTTAAGGTGTTGAAAAATCCAAATAGAACAAAGACTTATGCTCCATTACCACCAATAAATTCATGAAAATAGAAGAAATAAAAGTAACTAGAAATGAAAGCCTAAATTATGCTGTGAGCATACATTAAAGCTTTGATTTGCAAGGAAGATGCCCTATGATGGATATTCACTCTCATCTTGGTTCCTCCCTATGATTGCTAACTACTCCAGATATTAATTTATCATAAGAATATTTAACAAGGCAACAATGTCGGACCTTATACCACAAAGTGCATTGATCAAAAGCATGCACCTAACAAGCTACCTTGAGACATGTTATATAGGTTTATATAGCATGGAATCGGTCATACACAAAAAAAATCCATTAAAAAATTGTGCTATTGGAGATGGAAGCAATAACATAGCATGGCAGATGTTGCCAATCAGGCAACTGGTTTAAACAACAGAATAAATGGGCAGATGGAATATCAGCAAGGATGGCTGTCACAGCATCGCATGAGCATTAGCAGTAACAAGAGAAGGTGCAAATGAACCAGTTTTTTGGATGTTAGTAGTGGGGGTCAAGATCCCGATGTTGTTCCAGGCATCAATGTGGGCAAGAAAGAAAATAGATTCACTCATTCTATATTGTCCGTATACTAACAATTATAAAAGTGAAGAATGCCAAACTACAATTAATCTCAATACATATAACCAATCTCATTTGGCACTGAGCACAAATAAGTCAAAATGTCAAATACTTCATTTCTGGATCCACCAATCCAATACACTTGGATATCCTACATTTACTCATCAATCAATAGGGTGAAAGACTGAAGATCCATAAATTTCAGCATCATGTTAATTCTCCTTTTTCTAGGTATAGACAGAAAATGACAATATTATTAACCAAAGGGAAAGAGGAAATACCTCGAGCTCTGCAGATTTCATGGCGATAGGGATGCAGATCAGGAAAACGCTAGCCATAGCGATGGCAGTGTTACGGCGCCAATGCTTGGGCCTGCAGTATGGACCTCCACTCATGCTCCACACTTTCCCCCTGAAGTCCCCATGGGCGCCCTCAGCTCCGTGTCCATGCTCTGGTCCTCCTCCCATTTTGGATGATATGATTAATATAGCTTACTCTTCGTTTTCTCTGTGTGCCTGAACTGCGCGAAATGAATCACAAAAATCATGCAATATCAAATCAAAACCCTAAATCACCTAATAAGGGTATAGACGAAAACTTTGTAGGTCTTGCAATTAAGGAAACATAAGCGTCGATAAGCTCGATTAAGAAGCGGAGGGAGGAGAAATTAGCCATAGTTACTCACCTGAGAGATGGATGAATGGAACGGATTCAGTCGTCCAGTGAAGGATTCGTGTTCATTGTTTTCTTCAGTTAAGGGCAGAGGCTGATAGGACACTTTTGTCTTTTCAAATATCCGCACGTGGCAACGAAATTTCTCTTAAACTCGTGTGTATTTCTAAACACGATTCTTCAAATCTAATGGGCTTCGCCGCGAAGAAGTCCAGGTGCTTTTGGATTTGCATTGGCCTGTCAGTTAGTTTTAAACTTCCCATATCCAAATTTTATTAAAAACTTTAAGATTTATATTTGTTTTTTTATAATATTTTTAAATGCCATTATCGAAATCGTTAGTAATTCTACTCCAAAAAATTAATATTTGTTAATCACTAACAATTGAGGATTCTGAAAAATCTATGTCGAACAGACGATTTCGAAATATTGTAATTTTGTCATATTGTATATGTCTGTAAGAGAAGATTAGACTGGACAAGAATTTATTATGAAAGCCCTTTTCATGGATTTCACATTCCTCGATAAACTGTCGTAAAAGAGCACATTCTGTAAACAATAATCAAAATCGGTATCCATGCTATAGCCTTAGCAATGGCACTCTAGACAAGATAGAGGAATCCAATACATTTTGCATTTAAGCAAGCGTCAATTTGACACCGTCCCTGAACGGAGTAGGCAATATGTTTAGTGTTTGGATCAGTTTAGAAATATCCATGGATATGTCAGCTGGGGATACAACGCCACGATCAACCTGAAAAAGCAGCAACACAAATAATTACCAAGCAACCACGGAAAAAGAAAAAGAAAAGGCAAAAACTAACTATATCAAGATTTTGTCAAAAAGAAAAGGAAAATTAAGAAAATGGAAAGGGAAGCTATATATCTTCCAATATATTGCTTTGAAATGAAAGGAAATAAATAATCAAATAATTATATATATGGCCGAGATGAAATATATGATGGTCAATTGCAAGGAGACCGACTATATAGTCAAATGGAAGGGCGTAACTGAGGTCCACTGAACCTTTATTAGTATAAGCACAATTGCTTGAGAACTACACGAGTCATGAACTCTTTATCACCTTGTGGCCACCAGTCCAACAAAAGAAATGCATAAAAATGGGAGAAGGGAAATGACTGATGAGTATGGTATGCCTATAAAGACAAGAAACTGATGGTGCTTTAAGACATTAGCATCTCAGAAATAGCTAGAATTTTGAATTGCATTCATAAGATGGTATACTGACTGATGAAGCAGATACTGCTTTAATCAAGGCAGAGTTGTATCCTCTAACATCAGCCACAGCCTCGGCTATTTGAACGCGGGATACCCTGTCTTGTCCACCAACATTTAGAAGCATCTGCATTTGCTTATGCTCTATAACAAGCATGACAAATATTATGAAAATAAGTCAGATTTGAAATTAAGGAGACAAAGAAGCATTGAGAAAAACCAAAAAGCAAAATGAAGCTAAAGGCACCGAAATATCCAGTACTAAATAGAAAAGAATTATCCTTTTTTTCCTTTTGTATTGGAAATGCGTAACCACAAATGACAAAAAGCAATACTGAAGTCAAATTTAGGATGAAAAAATAGACAGTGTTTACAACAAACATAAAGACCTCCCATGGGTCTTTTCTTCATAAAACAGAGATCAGTATTTGAAATATATTCTCAGTTTGAAGAAAAATTTTTCTATGTTGCAACCAATCACATGAGCAGCAAAAGCTAAACTTGAGGAGCATTTTGTTGTTTGTTACCAATATGCAAGGGCAAATTCCAGTAACTACGCACCCAATATCCATTTGTTTGTCAACAACAGTATGACAGCTACAACATCCTTCACATACACAGGGCAGCGGAACTCATCATGGAAAAATTCTACCTGTTCTCCTTTGGAGAGGACACTATCAATCCACTGCATTATTAGATTGTACTTGTTACAGACCAGGTAATAAAAGAATCAAGCCAATCAACTTTGACATTTTATGGAACAAGAAGTAAGCAGCAGCAAAAGTAGGAAACTAGAGTATTTTCACTCTTTGCACCTGAAGTGGAAGAGATTTTGGAATGGGAGAGATAGTCTGCGGCCCAAAGATGATGCTACTTCTCAGAATTGCAAAGTTTGTGCATTTTTCAGAAATAAATTGCTCTGCTGCCAGTTTTGATTTTCCATATACATTCACAGGAACATTTTCGTCTTCTTCCTTGTAGAAGGATTTCATCCCTTCATAAACTGATGATGAAAAATAATAATAAGAGAACAAACAATTGAAAAGAGATTAATCAACATAAGAGATGTTGTTCCAAAAGAGAGAGATATTCAAAGAAAAGATCATCCATACAGAATAGTCAAAGCTCAAATTTAATTATTTAAGAATGCAAGTATAAGATTATGGAAATGAAGACCTAGAAAGGTGATTAATCAAATAGTATCTCTATACCATTTATTCAAATCAAGTTGCCTAGTAGAGTTCATCATTTGTATTAAACCACACCTTAAACCTATATCCTGGTAGATAAATCGATGCATCAGCAGTCACTAATTATTTGAATGACTCATTCTCCAATTCGATACAACAAATCATTCTTTTTCTGTCACTGAGCTTATGAATCCCACTATTCTCACAGAAACTAACGCAAACAAAGCTTATAATATCAATTTACTCGTGTGAATTATCTAAGCCAGCAAGCAATATTAGCATCTCCTCAAAAACCAAAAATTTCCGTTTGTACACAATAAAAGGAAGAAGCTTTGACTGACCTTGATCAGTTGATAGATGGATAAGAAGAGTCTTATTCAATTCAAAGCTCGATAACCAATTTACAAGTGAGCAAGGTACATTTATAGACATAGCAGCAGTGGGATCCATTTCACAGGCGCGAGGTACTGAGATCGCAGCACAATTCACAACAACATCAGGCTGCCATTTCCAAATAACCAACAGAGACATAAACAGCCATAAATTTCGCTGCTAGCTACTTCAAATTCTAAATTCTATAGAAAATAAGAGAAAATGTAAAAGCAAAGAAATTTTGAATGGATTTGATACACTGGAAATACGAACCTGGCCAAATTCATAAGAGATTGTTTGAAATCCCTCTCCAGTTTTTATATCGACACGAAATGAGCGAGAATGAGGATATGAATCAAGCAAGAGTTGAGGAGGACTGGAACTGGAGTGGTATGTGAAAGCAATATCGAAAGGTCTTTCTTTGATCTCTGAAAGGCCTTGCAATAGGTGTTGCCCTAAGTAGCCTGTTCCTCCTATTACCAATACTCTATTCTTCTTCTCCATGTTTATCACTCGCAATGGAAAATGGTGGTGAGTTCCAGTGGAATGGTGGACTGGTAAATCGGAGGGAGTAAGAGACGCTGGTCGGTGCTTGCTCGCCTCCGTGGGAAAAAACAATCTCGTAAATTCATTCAACCAAGAAAAAGAAAACGACGGTCTTTGACAAACAATTCGGCTCTTGTGAATATAACGTAATGTCGCTTGGTTTTGGGCAAGTTGGACGCGTGGACAACAAACGGTCCGCCTTCTTGCGAGCAACGATCCAGGCCCGATAAACTTACCAAAAATCGAGGCCCAAAAGGTTCTATTTTCTCACGGTCCGTGAACGTCAGATGCGGCTGCAGAGATTTGCGTCGCTCTATGAACACTATGCCTGCACGAGTTTTAATTTAAGTTGTACGTCCTTCCCAAATAAAACTAGCGCCCGTCGTTTTATTCAGGATCCGAAAGCCAGGCGGGCCAACGACGACTTTTTTTAGCCAACGGTAAGTGTTTTTTTTTTTTTTTAGCCAACGACGAGTCACATGCCATTCTCATAAACTGATAAGAACTAACTGCAAATGGTGCGATGATGAATTAAGGCTGTAAATTTCTCTCTCTGAATTAAGAAATCGAGAAGGGAGGAGAAAAATGGAGGCACAATCAGTTATCGCATGCAGTACAAGTCCACTCTGCCTTGTAGGGTCTGTCAAAACGAAAAGGACGCGTTTCAGAGTTTTCTTTAGCCAAAGAAAACCAACAAATCGAGCTTTGGCACGCAAGGTATTACTCTCATCATCAGAATCTGTTGGTGTCGCAATAGATAGAAATGCATCAACTTATCCCCTTTGAATAACACTTATTTTTTTAAAAAAAAATATTCTGGATGAAAATGTCTATTTGATTTGATTTTACGTCCTGTTGGTTGGTTTTTGCCCTAGAATTTTTCAGTCTTTTTGCATTTTCTGTAAATTTACTGATTGTTTTATAATTTGAATTTTTAGTTCGTGCTTATTTGGAATTTTAATTTGTTAACATTGATCTAATTGCTGATACAGCTTTCTTGTTTGGTACTAAAACGGGTGCTTAGTACAGATAATATGGCAATGGAAGCAGGGGCGAAGCGTCTATGGAAAGGAAATTTTTGTAGACTGTGCTTCATTAGTACAAACATTAGGCAAGAAAAGAATGACTCATTTAGCTGATGAACTATTACTGGAGATGAAATCCCAAGGATATGTGCCCAGCAACTCTACCCTTTCAGCTATGATGATTTGTTATGCTGAAAATGGCCTTCTCCCTCAAGCTCAATCAATATGGGAGGAAATCTTGAGTACTTCTTTTGAGCCTAGTATTCAAATAGTTTCAGAATTAATTAGCGCTTATGGGAAATCTGGACAATTTAATGAAGTAAAGAAAATTCTGGACCAATTAAGTTATAGTAATTTCAGCTCGTTACATGAGGCGTATTCGCTGGCTATCTCTTGTTTTGGAAACGGAGGGCAGATTCAATTGATGGAAAATACATTGAAGGAGATGGTTTCGAGGGGTTTCTCAGTAGACTTTGCTACTGGGAATACTTTTATCAAATATTATAGTATTCATGGCTCTTTGACGGAAATGGAATCTGCTTGTAATCGCCTTAAAAGGTCTAGACATCTTATAGACAGAGAAGGAATCAGAGCAATGGCATTTGCATTTATAAGGGAAAGAAAATTTTACAGGCTAGGTGAGTTCCTAAGGGATGTGGGTCTTGGTAGGAGAGATGTAGGAAACCTTTTATGGAACTTTCTGCTGCTATCTTATGCTGCCAATTTCAAAATGAAAAGTTTGCAGAGAGAATTTCTTAGAATGTCGGAAGCTGGTTTCCGGCCTGATCTCACTACGTTTAATATTCGAGCTCTGGCTTTTTCAAGAATGTCTTTGTTTTGGGATCTCCATCTTAGCCTTGAACACATGAAATATGAAAAGGTTTCTCCTGATCTTGTGACTTATGGTTGCTTTGTTGATGCATACTTGGACAGAAGACTGGGTAAAAACTTGGACTTTGTCCTCAACAAAATGAATTTGGATGAGTCTCCAGTAGTATCAACGGATCCTTTTGTGTTTGAGGTTTTAGGTAAAGGAGATTTCCATTCAAGTGCAGAAGCATTTTTAGAGTTTAAGAGGAAGAAGAAATGGACATATAAGGAACTTGTCTCGCTTTATCTTAGGAAACAGTATCGAAGTAACCAGATATTTTGGAACTACTGACAATTGACAATTTGGCTTCATGTTAGAAGTTAAGAAATTCTCCAGTTGGTCGATCAAGATGAACTGATGAAGCATAGCCGTAAATAGATTGTGATAGAGAACTTGTCAATGGCAAAGGCAGAAACTTTAGTGACCTGGTTTTATTTTTTATTTTTTGGGTTCAGCATAACTGTCCGTTTTGCTGTTTCTCTGAGAAAACTGTTGCCTGGTTTGGATCTCTTTTGATCTGGAAACGATGATGATTTATCCTAAGGACGGCGGACGAATCCTTAGAGATAAACGGACAAATCAATTTTCCATTGTAATTATTTCTTTTTAATCAAAATGTAAGAAACATCTTTCTAGAATAAATACAAGTTGCCTTCCTAGTAGTTGGCGTGTAATTTTAGATTGGCAACAAATCCTTTGATTCAATAAATGTAACGGTCATCTTTCCAAAAAAAGAATGGTAGTAAACTAGGGGTACCAAAGCGACTTCTCGTTCAAAAGACAGATTGAACCGTTTTTCATATACGACAAATTCAAAAAAACTTCAAAACAGGGGATTAGAGCAAGCGACTGGACGTTTATTCGGTTGCTGCAAACATTGTACACCAAATAAACGAAAAAAAAAAAAAGGAAAACTTCCCCAATACAAAGAGGCAATCCACTCGTAAGAGTGTAAAGAAGATTATCTGGAAAAGACTGAAATGAGACAAAGATGGCCAAAAATTAGTATGCGTTTGCATTAAGATTTAAATAAGGGGCAAAATTAACTTTTTACAAATAAATGATGCCAATCACATGGTGGAATTCTTTACAAAACAAAAATTGAAAGAAGAATATTGCAGAATTCAAACAAAAACATGTTTCCAAAAGCAACAAAAGCAAACCAGTAGCCAATGTTTAGAGGGTGCTGGGAGAAAAAGATTCCCTCTTGCATTCTATACAATAATCCATGGTTCCATGAAGCAACCGCACAGAGTATAGCTGCTTACTGCAATTTCTTTATCCAAGGTTCTGTCTCTATTCTTCCCCGGTAACAAAGTAACCAGATATACTTCTACATTTTTGACCGAGTCTGGAAAGACCGTATACATTAACCTAATTCTGACTGCTTTCTGGGGCATTTTGGGACCTCTCAATAAGAGACTCAATTCTCTGGTCATGAAAATGATAAAGGCACATCAAGTACACTTAAAAAGCAAATGAAAACAAATATAACAATTTCACTCAGCAAATAATGTGAAAACATGCATGCCTTTTGTTAGTGAAACGTTACTATTGTGCATTATCTAATGAGAAATGCACCGCAAACGCATTTGGATTGAAAACGAAAATGACTGAAAGCACGAGAGTGACATCCCATAAAGATACTAAAAAATTCCACACCTTTACTGATCTGCTGACTTCTTCAATCTTATTTAGCACCACATCACCAATTATCGGACTTCTAGGCTCCATGGATGCATAGCGTGGAGAACCTGTCATCTGCATAACATATATAAAATAACTGTAATAGTCAAATATCCTGTTATCTACATAAAATTTTCTTTTCTGGAAGTGCAAACCTTTAGGAAGTTGCACAATAATTTAGCTGCCTACATTAAATTAATTTTATACAATTGTAAAGTATATTTTCCAAGTAAAAGTTGAGGCTAATTCATCTAAGTGGGCATAACAAGGTTAACCCAACTGAGTCTTCTTTTTATTTATTATTTCCACTATAAAGCACACAGTTGCATGCTGTTACACGCTCATCTTAGGGTGGGCAGATAATTTTCAGTCACAAACCTTGAATTGCTGAAAGGGCAATTTTAATGCATGCTTAATACTTTGGTGTTGCATAAGAAAGCTATCCACTGTTGCACCCCAAAGGTGTAAATAGAATCACAGTGTACATAGAGACATTGGGATAAGCATGTAAATCAGATTGGAAATAACTAATTCATAATTAAGGCTGGCCGTCAAGTAGCAAAGGAATTTAACATGGCAAAGAAATAAAAGCTAACTTTTGTCATAAAAGTGAAATAACCGATATGAATATTTCACAAAGATTTACACATCTCTATTTGAACATGGAAAAAGGAGGCACTGCATTCATATATCTGGCTAGAAAAAACTTCCAGAGAATATGGAAAAGATTGTCAGAGTTACCTTCCAGCTCTTGCTTGGTGATTTGAAAAGAGTTGGTCCCTCACTCAAAGATGCCATCCTGGACATGCTTTCCCCTTCCCCTGTGGGTGCAACGGCTTTCCAACCTTTTCCAGCATCCTGGATATTTTTTGCAGCCTCTGTGATTATGACCTGCAACAAATGCCAAAACTCATTTAAGTAGCTAATATCCACTGCTCATCTTCTTTCAGCTATGATCACACAAAAATAACAGTAAGACTTATCAAGGAATAAACTACGCATTACCTTCCTCAAAGTTGCAGGGTTAACAACACCTTGAACTTGTAGTTCATCTACTGGTGCAGCTTTTCCACGTGCTATGCTTTCAACTCTAAATGTATGGATTCCATAAACAGATTGCAGGCAACCTAACAACATCAGCAATGCATAAGCATATCACTAGTCTCTAGAAACCAGCATTAGTCCAAGAGAGTTTGTTTTCTTCTCAAAGATTACTGAATGATAAACATAAGCTTATGCAATTAAGAAGCTTATAATATCCATAAAGTTTGCCAAAGAAAAAAAAAAAAAAAAAAAAAAAAAAAAAAAAAAAAAAAGCAAGGCAAAGGCAAAGGTGCATGGTTGTACGGAATAAGTATATATTGGCTCGAAGGCTCTCGCCAAACCTGACTCACACACAACTAACAAAGCCTAAAAACAGCACATCTACCGTAAGCCACTCAAGAAATCTTATGAGAAGAGCCGGGTATAGGACCAAGAAAAAAAGGCCAAAAAAAATTCTTGTCTCTACCAAAAATCATGAGACCCAATCTCTTAAATCCATATGAAATGCACAGAGGGCCAACAGGCAACAATGAAAGCAGGGAGAGAGAACATCTATAGCATGGCAAAGCCTTCTTTAACCCAGGTATATTTGTATAGTCGTGCGTCCATGAAATGATAAAAAAACATAAGTAGCCAATGAGAAATCAAAGAGCATAACCAGAAAGAAACACAGTCTAACCCAGCTTTGTTCAAGTGAATGACATGCAAATCACACAAGGAAAGAGAACACGCTGCTCAATTGCTGCCGGACTCCCGAAAAGGGATGAAATGAAGACGACTTGAAACCTTGAACACAGAAAATAACAACAAACAATCACGCATCATATCCACAAAAAAAAAAAAAAAAAAAAAAAAAAGCAGGCAAAGGCAAGGTGCTGTTGTAGGATAAGTATACTCCCCTGCCTCCACAACTAACAAACAAAACTTTGCACTCTACCAGCCCAAAGAATTTTAGAGAGAATGCTGGGTGAGAGAAAAAAAGGCAAAAAACTGTTCAAATAATCATGAGACCATCTCTTAAATCATATGCAGAGGCAACAGGCAACAATGAAAGAGGGAGAAACTAATGCAGCCCTTTAACCGGTATAGTACATCTGGCTCATGAAATGATAAAAAGAATATAGCCAATGGAAAAAGGCAACAGAAAGAATCAACACAGTACCTTGTTCAATGATGACATCAATCACCAAGGAAAGAGGAACACGCTGCTCAATTGCTGCGACTCCCCAAAAGGGTATGAATGAAGGCCTTGAAACCTTGACACAGAAAATAACAACAACAATCGCATCTATCCACTGATTCTTTCTTATGAATAAACAAGAGAAAAGAATTCAAAATCCCAAGCCCCAGAGCAAGAGAATACCACGGTGAGGTACAAATACGTACCTTGTAAACTATTTCGTTGGGTGTAACATAGAGTTTGCGCGAAGAAATTTCCTTTTGAAGCACATATCTTCTAACGGGTAAATATAGCAACATAAGAATACCGACTCCCCAAGCTAAAACAAGCAGTAATGATATGGAAACCCATATAACAGTGTCATACTTCAAGGTATTTTTTCCAAGTTCCTCAAATGAAGCTGTGTACAATATCTGTTCAGCATTAAATTCATCATCATAATCATCCAAATCTGGTTCAGGATCAGAAATTAGGTGATCCTTTGATGACCCAAGATCTGATAGCCCCTCTGTATGTCCCATCAACATTCTCCAAATTCAGAACTGAAACTGAATGCGCAAAACATTAATGCTAAAATCATATTATACCTTGTGTGATAGCTTCATAAAGATTAAATAACATTTTTTTAGACCAGAACATTGCTATTTGCATCATATCAGCATTGCAATTTGCAAGAATCAAACTTCCAGATCAAGCAGTGCCAATTTTTCCCTCACTAGCTTAATAAACCAAAATTTTGGTTCCCCAATAATCATGGGAGATAGAAAGTCAACAAATCTCATTCGAAACAAAATCAGCTCAATAATTTCTGCTCAAAACAAAACAGGAAATGGAAAAAGAAAAGGAAAAGAGACAAAAATGGAAAGAGAGTGAGTGAATTAAAGTTCCATTACCTAATCAACATCCGAGATCTTCGATAGCTAAATTGGGAAAAAAAGCTTCCAGCTGATGTTAGGGTTTTTATGTGAAACTGTGAGGTTTTGTTAGTAGACAAAAGCTACCAGTCTATGTAAGCTCTACTGCACTTTATTCCTGGTGAAAACCATACATGAAAAACCGAAAAAAAAAGAACATTTCAATCTGATAGGAAGGGATAATATAAAATACACCCACTCGTACGATATTTTTTAATACAATATATATGCGGGTAGCCGTTAGATTATTTGCGTTGTGATGGTCGGCAGCCACTTATAACTTCCACGTGGACAAATAACGGGAGCGACGCCGTTTCTTGTTGTTCCACCCGTTTAAGACTAAACTAAATGAAAACCGGAGAGGACCAAAGAGTATATTCCTTCTCCTGCTCAACGAAGAACGGCTTGACTAAACCATTTTACGTCTTCTACAACGTTCACGCTTTTATTTCCTTTGTCTGTCTGTTTTAGAATCTATTCCATTTTCTTGTGCCAGCTAATTACGCTCAAGTCTGAGATAGCAGCGGATTATGTTCAAAGAAATTAGAGGTACCATTTCTTGGTAAGTTTAATCTGCTTCTTCTCCTATTTGATGTTCAGTTTGTGAGTTTTTTTTTCAAAGAAAAACGGTTTCCATTTGTTATTTGCCTTCGAAATTCTCGATTTTTGGTTTCATTTTTAGAAGTAGTTAGTTTGTTGTTGATTATTTTGGATTACTCAAAACTGTAGCTGTTTAAAGCTTTTGATTGATCCTGTTTTTAACCAGTTAAAAAAAAAAAAAAAAAAAAAAAAATTTCTTTTTTTTTTCAAAAAGCACAAATACACGGTTCTCCATTTGTTTAATTTGCTTCGAAATTCTCGCAATTTTTGGTTTCATTTTTATAGAGAAATGTAAGTTAAGTATTGTTGTTGATTATATATTGGATTACTACACACTTTTACATAATTAACTGATTAGCGTCTGTTTAAGCTTTTCGATATGATCCTGTATTATTTCAATCACGTTAAAAAAAATAAAAAAAAAAAAATTATATCTTATGCACAGTGCCATAAAATTTTATATATGACATTTTGAAATATAGAGAAAAATGACATACCTATAAAACCACCATATGAAAAGACCATGTTTTTGAATATTATGCTCTAAGTATCAACTAACAGGTTATCTGTGGATCCATTTTTGGGGACTAGGGATTCCATTTCTTCTTGCAGAATTTGCTGAGCGTAATGAAGGGAAAATACTCTGGAGGGAACTAACTCTCTCTCTCCTCAGCCCGAGGGAGGGCGGTGCGCTTGGCTTTCATCGGTCTCTCATACTGTCATCAGTGCGTTGCCGCCTGCTCTTACATAGCGATAATTGACGTTTTCAGTTTTTTGCAGGCAATTTATTATTTTATGGCGAGAAAACAATAAAAAAAAAAAAAAAAAAAAAAACTATGTAGAGGCCATATTATTGCTTGAAAATTGAAATGCTATCCTTAAACGCTGTGGAGATGTTTGAATATAGCTCTAGTATCAACTAAGGTATCGTGGATCATTTTTGGGGACTGGGATTCCTTTTCTTGCAGAATTGCTGGGATAGAAAACTGGGACTCTCTCTCTCTCTCTCTCTCTCTCTCTCTCTCAGTGTTGCCCCTGTTAACATAGAATTGACGTTTTCAGTTTTTTGCCAATTTATTATTTTATGGAGAAAACAATCAAATAGCTACAGTGCATGGTTTTGTTGAATGAACCCTAGGTTTATAACAGTTGAAGCAATTGAGACTTATAAGGTTTGGATGTACTCATATTCTTGGTGTTGGATTTATGTTCTATAAACATTAGGTGGGGAATCACCGCTATGACTAGATTCTTCTGAAATGATGCGTTTTGAAAGTTGTATAGGTTGGATAGATTGATATGAATGGCCTTGTAGAGGCGTTGAACTGCTTGAATACTGTCTTACTTTTATTTTTTTACTGCAGTTGAAAAACATCAATTTCTAATCTTGTGAAGACTTGAAAGGTGTACAACTTAAATTCTGTGGTTATACACTGGTTGTCCATCTTTAACACTTAGACCTGATGACTGAATGGAGAAAAGACGGCACATTGCAATTTTTACAACTGCATGTCTTCCATGGTTGACTGGAACTGCAGTCAACCCTCTTTTTCGCGCTGCATATCTTGCAAAGGATGGAGATAGAAAGGTTACTTTGGTGGTTCCCTGGTTGTCTTTGAAACACCAAAAGCTAGTATATCCCAGCAACACCACATTCAGTTCACATTCAGAGCAAGAAGCATATGTGCGCCAGTGGCTTGAGGAGAGAACTGCATTCTTCTCTGGTTTCAATATATGCTTTTATCCTGCAAAGGTAATCCTACACAATAGATCAGTTGGACAAAGTAGTGATAATCTGATGGCCATTCTTGACATCATTCATGGTGCAGTTTGCTGTAGATAAAAGAAGCATTCTTCCTGTAGGAGATATCTCTGAAGTCATCCCCGATGAAGAGGCAGACATTGCCATCCTTGAAGAGCCAGAGCATCTAACATGGTTTCATCATGGAAAGAGATGGAAAACTAAATTCTGCCTGGTGGTAGGAATTGTGCATACAAATTATCTGGAATATGTAAAGAGAGAGAAGAATGGACGAATGAAAGCATTTATGCTTAAGCATCTTAATAGCTGGGTTGTTGGTATATATTGTCACAAGGTATGTTTTTCAATGGATGTCATTCCATATGGAACAATATTTTATTTTGGATGCTTGCATATTGTTCCTTTAAACAACCTAACTTAGTGAACTTCAGCTATCAGTTTTTAGTTGAATTACTTCTGTATATGACTTGTAAAATTACTTGTCTGCGGAAATTTTTTTGCAGTTATGCCTCAGGTAAAAACCCAAGGCTTTCACATGGATGAATGACCATCAAGGTTTCAAGTAATAATGCAAATGATGAGGCCTTTTGAGTTTTGAGACTGATTTATGATAGTGGCTAAATTGTCAAAGTTTAGTTGAGGCATTAAGCTAGGATTTTAATGTATGGCTCTTGGGATTTTGACTTGTAAAGTGCGATTCTAACCACTGGATGGGGGATCAGGGGCTTGTAGAACGGCAAAGGGTTACCTTTTCATGTAACCCAACCTATGCATGGAATAATTGTAAAATTGCAACATTATTTTAATCCTTAATTAATAGGGATAGGGTAGATGTGTTTTCTCTTATTTGTTTGGATCCAAATCATGAGATATGTGTTTTACGTTAGTTGTCAACTATTGCAACCCTCCTCCTTTGCCTGAGGTTGGGGCCAACAGCATATAGTCTAAGGCTATAATAATTCCTAGAGGAATTAATAGTGAAAGAAATTCATTTGCTGGTTAGTCAATTTATTTTAGATGCTTCTCCCAAAAGATAGTTGAATTTTCTCATCCCTATAATTGCAGTGCTGCAATCATAAAAGATTTGATTGCTGACTAGATTACAATTGGGATGTTAGTACAGGTAATTAGATTGTCTGCTGCCACCCAGGATTATCCAAATTCCATTATCTGCAACGTTCATGGAGTGAATCCCAAGTTCCTTGATATTGGCAAGAAAAAGTTAGAGGAACAGAAAAGAGGGAGCCAGGCATTTTCTAAAGGCGCTTACTACATTGGGAAAATGTTGTGGAGCAAAGGTTACAAGGAGCTTCTTACTCTTCTTCATGATCACCAAAAGGAGCTGGCTGGACTTGAGGTTGATTTATATGGCAGTGGAGAAGATTATGATCAAGTTCAGAAAGCTGCAAAAGAATTGCAACTAGTAGTTAGAGTGAACCCTGGGCGTGATCATGCAGATCCTGTGTTCCATGAGTAAGTTTCCTACAGTATTTTCTTCCTTCATGGTGTGAATTTAATTATTCATTGTGAAAAGCTTGCTGAGATAAAGTGTTCATTTTCATTTTTTGTTACTGGCCCAGTTATAAAGTGTTCCTGAATCCAAGCACTACAGATGTACTCTGTACGACCACAGCTGAAGCTTTAGCAATGGGAAAAATTGTAGTGTGTGCCAACCACCCCTCGAATGACTTCTTCAAGCAGTTTCCAAACTGCCGTACTTATGATAACAGGAATGAATTTGTGGAGGCCACTCATAGGGCATTGACCGAGCAACCAGCTGAGTTGACTGATGCCCAGAGATATGAACTGTCATGGGAAGCTGCCACTGAACGATTTCTGAGAATCGCTGAGTTGGACCAAGCATCTGTAAGCAAACCAGGAAAAAGTACTGCAGACAACCTTGCTTCCACATCTCTCAGTCTAAGAAGGAACATGGAAGATGCATCAGCATATGTGCATTATGTGGCTTCTGGTTTTGAAGCATCAAGAAGAGCTTTTGGTGCAATTCCAGGGAGTCTGCAACCAGATGAAGAGCAATGTAAGGAACTTGGCCTCGCTATCTATGCTCAAAAATGAGGCTCAAGAAATGGATCTCATGGTTTGTGGATGATCAAGGTAATTAAAGTTAGGGCAAAAGGGTGTATGTAAAAGATTTTTTTTCTTTTCTTCCCACTTTTTTCCCAAACTCAAACATGGGGAAAACTGTATACGAAGTATCAAGTATGTATCTAAGAATGAAGTCTGAGGTAGGGGCAGCAAAATTATTTGTTTTTGTTTATAGATTGTTTGGTGTCTCTAAATTTATGAATTTCTGTAATATTCCTTTGTTAGAATCCTGATATTATTAAGGCAAAGGGACTTGTATGGTGGGTTCATATTAATATACTGTCAGAACGATCCTGGATTTTGGGTTATAGCTGATGCAACTCTTAACAGACAATTGTCATGCAGATATTGCAGGCTTTGGATCTTAGACAGCACATAAAATAACTGGTTAGAAGATATTATAACGTTCATAGATTTATGTGTGATTAAATTCTAAATCTCACGATTTGAAAAAACTTATCCTGAAGCAACACTTGTTTTTTTTTTTCTTGTCCTACACTGGCAAATCAGAATCACAAAAGGATCAATCTTATCTGCAAATAAAAGTCTTTAAACACATCAAAGTCGACATATATAAACTCTGAAGCACATCTGTCCAATTTTGGAAATTTCTTTAGTTTCCTTTTTAGTAAAATAATAATAATAATAATAATAATAATAATAATAGTGGAGTTTTTTGAGTAATTCGTAGCTTACCATTTTAGTAAATTGAGTTTCAAATTTGTAGCTTTAGTTATGGATTATAAAGTTCAAATTTAAATATGTAATATTTGAAGTATAAATGGCAGCAATCCTATTGGAGAACAGATAGATCTCCTAGTATACGTAGATTTATGTTAGCTAACAGTAAGCTATGTCGGCTCAAGAGTTGACAACGACAACAGTAACGGAACTCCTAAGTCCTAGGCCTACCGGATTCGTATTCACATTTTTTAAATGGTACCCGCCTTCTGTTGGAGGCCCCATTTGGCCTATTTCCGAAAAGTTCCATTTGCCTGACAAGACCAGTTGACATAAGAAACTGGATTAATGGATTTGAATATACCTGACTACACCCGACCCGGAATATAGCTCAAGTCTTCTCCAGCGAATCCTTCTAACACACGCCGCTTATAGAGTCCCTAAAATAGGAAAACTCTTTTTAAGTTTAAACTGACGTACGAACTGATACTGCCGTTTGGACTCTCTGTTATTGCTCATCTTACTCTTTCTTCTTTTCTTTTTCCCGCGAAACTTTCCTTTCCTCTGTCTCTGCAAAACCTAATCTTCTCATCTTTCACATCAATCGCTTCCGTAATCCAATCTCTTAATTACACTTTTATTTCTATTTTTTGACCTGTTTGTGAGCCGTTACGTTGTTCTTTGAAACAAAGAAACTTCTCTTCAAAACAGAGAAGTTTTCTACTTTTGATTCTTTCCCAAAACCTCAAACGTTAAAGTTTCCTTTGATGTTGCTTAATTTATTCTTTGTTTTATTTGTTGCGTCCCTGTTCTTGTTGACCGTTATATGAGACTAAACATTAATAGAATGGAGTTGGGAGAAGATGAGTTTTATTGCTGTATTTTTAAAAGATGTGGCTGAGGGACTTAATCCTGTTTAATTTAAAAATAAATTTACGCAAACTTTTGGGTTTCTTTAATTTTTCTTGGATTGATTAAATTTGGAGTAGAAAGATCATGGGAGAGGAAGTTGAGCAAGCTAATTCTGATTCAAATAATGGAGGTTTAATTTCCTCACATGCGTCTGTAGTTGCAAATCCTGATTCAATCCCTGCTCAAGGGTCTGTTAATCTGCCATTCCTTCTTTTATGTGAATTGATATTCATATCGGGTTCATAATCTGTTAAAGCAAGTATTTTTCGTTTTTGTTTTGTTGTAGGAGAATAACAGGTCCTACCAGGCGATCAACAAAGGGAGGCTGGACAGAGAAGGAGGTCTGTAGCTAGAGGCTGTTTATTTAACTGCTTTTATATTATGCTACATTTTAATTTTAGGGCATTTTAGGCCATAAATAGATTCTCTAATGGACAGTCAATTTTAGGTTATGGCAGATAGAGACTATTATTTATGGTTGGGATGTCTATGTTATTAGCAAGAAAATTGTAATCTGTTGCTTTTGTTTTTTACTTTTTTTAATAGGATCAAGTCTTAGTTGCTGCAGTCAAAAAGTTCAATTGCAGAAACTGGAAGAAGATTGGTATGTTGCTTACTTCAATTCGAAAATTTGGTCGAAGGGATTGTAATTCTTAATGAAATTTGTGATTTTCTTTTACAGCTGAATGTGTTCCTGATAGAACAGATGTTCAATGTTTGCATCGTTGGCAGAAGGTTCTTAATCCTGATCTTGTTAAAGGACCCTGGAAAAAGGAGGTGCAAATAAAAATTATATTTCAATTTATTTAGTTAGAATAAACTCTTTAGATTTTGGTTTTTCTTTAGTAGACTCGCATTCTCATTTCTACGGACCTGCAGGAAGATGATCTGATTCGCGAGCTTGTTGGAAAGCAGGGGAATAAGAAATGGTCTGAAATAGCAAAACAGTTGCCAGGCCGCATAGGGAAGCAATGCCGAGAGAGGTATTCGTTGATGATGAGCTTTATATGTTTTAAATTATGCAGTCTTTTTGTTTTTTCTTCAAATGTTCGATTAAAAGAATTATGTGTTCAGGTGGCACAACCATTTGAACCCAGAAATAAAAAGAACTGCATGGACCAAAGAGGAGGAGTTGACTCTCATCAAGGCCCATGCAGTATATGGGAATAAGTGGGCTGAGATTGCTAAGTTTCTTCATGGCAGGTATTATTGGAAGAGTTAATAAAAATGGATATTTCAATTGCTTGATTTGACCAAGTTGGGAAACCTAACTTCAGTTTTTGTATTTATTGAAAATTACCAGAACTGAAAATTCAATAAAGAATCACTGGAACTGCTCAGTGAGGAAGAAGGTAGGATCACACTTGGCTTGTGATTTTAACCTATACAGCTCTAATACAAAATCAGAAAGCAGGAAGTTTGAGGCAGATGATCAAAGATTTGATGAGAGGATGAACTTAGAGGGAAGCATGCACAATTGTTCATTGGCTTTGGCTCTTGGAAATGCTACTACAATGGACAGTCAATTTCCAATTACTTCAGATAAGGGAAACTACTGTAAATTCCAGGGAAAAGAACCCACATTTGGTGCTTCAGCTGCATCCAGTCTAACCAGTGTAAACTACAGAGAAAGTCAAAATAATGCCAACACAACTGACTCTGACTACACAAACCGCATAGCTACCAACTGGACCAGTAGATTATGTTATACTAATAATTCCTCTGGTAATCTTGCAATGTTTCAATCTTCATGTGAAAGAACATGCGAGCTGTCAGATACAGTAAATTCCTTGCATTCTGGACCTCTTTCTGTGCCTTTGACTCTTTCTTTGAGTACTCCTATTAGTGTTGCTGGTCATGACAGAAAAGCAGGTAACTTTTTCAATATTAGTAATCTATGAGTTGTCTCAACTGCTATCTGATGCTGTTCTATAGAGTAGTTTGCAATGACGGACTAGAATATCGAGCTTCTTGTTTTTGTTTATGATGACAGGTGAATTTAATGACAAAATTACAGCTGCTAGAGGCTATGAGAACACGAAGGAACCCAATCGTGGTTTGTTGTGCTATGAATCGCTCCAGTTAAGAGATTTGGATATTCTTGTTGAAACTGGAAGTTTTCCAAGTACAGATAGTTACATTAAGACAGCAACAAGCCCATTTTCCTCTTCCACTCCATTAAAGCATAACAGAGGAATTTCTCATAATTGCAGTAGTCCTGAATTCATTTTGAAAAGTGCTGCAAAGAGTTTCAGAAGCACACCTTCAATAATAAGAAAAAGAAGTTTTCGAAATTCGGGGCAATCTAGCAATGCAATTCTTGGCTTCAATGATGTTTGGTTACCAGAAGACAGCACAGAGACCTCTTGCAATAGCCACCTATCTCTAAATTTATGTCCATATGAGAAAGATTGTGACAGTAACATGAACCCATCAAATGAACGGCAGCTTTTTCTTTCTTCTGCAAAGTCTCAAAAGCTTGAAACTCAATCTGAAGAAAAAAGCTTGGATTTTGCATTTAATGGGGAAAGGGATTCAACTAGCATCACATCTAGAGCTTCAAGTTCTCATAACTCTTGTAGTGGCAACTGATGTTCATCTGTGACATGATAAGCTGTGGAAGTCTTATCATAAAGGTTTTGGTCGAGACTATTGGGGTATGGTGGTTCTGTTTGAATATCCGTAAACTAAATTTATAACTGCTGTTTATTAGAAATTCAAACCAACCCCAATTTTGATACATACTCAAATCTACCAAATCTTATGTATGGTGAAGGAAAAAGAAAGAAGGATTTATATAAATTGTCTCACGTATTTGTTTTAGTTTTAATCATTTTTTTATTTATGGATGAATTAATGAGTAAGTCGAAATTAGTTAATTAAAGGGTTAAAATATCTTTTCAAGGAAAAAAAAAAAAATTTAGTTTTAATACATTTTTTTAATTTATGGATTGAATTAATGATAGTCCGAAATTAGTTAATTAAAGGGTAAAAATATCTTTCAAGGAAAAAGAAAAAAAAAAAATATATATAATATTAAACGTAATATATATATATATAATATATATTATTATATATATATAATATATGTTGCGTTATAATTCCAAAATACTCCAAAAAAAAGAAAAAGAAAAGGATCGAGAATATATATACGGTGAAATGAACCAAATATTTCTAATATAAAAAAGGAGTGGTGAACTATATATATATCAATTTATTAGGTTTGACATAAAAATTTGAAATAGATGAAAAGTATTATATATATATATATACATATACTATTAGCAAAACATCGATGATTACCTTAATTTTTTTATTTTAAATATTTTTATTTTAATATAATTAATTTAAATTAAAATACATGTAACTCAAACTATAAAATAAAAAAAATATTTAATTTTTTTATTTCAATAATTACCTTGACGTATGAAGTAGGCTTGTATACTAGAAGTTAAATTACACATATACGAAATATGGGAGTATGGTTTGTCTAAGACACGAAATAAATAGATTAGGGTTGAGGTTAAATAAGTTTATGTCATAAATGAATCACCTATTTATGACACGAATATAAACGTGTTATATCGCGGATTAGGCGAGTGACCCGTTTATTCAATTGTCAAGAGGTAATTTTAGTGTTAAATATAAATACTCCCATTAAAACCTATTTAAATTTTATTGTTGCACTATTTTTTTATTTTAATAATAAATCTTGAAGAATTGTACATTTTACGTAGAAAATTTTATTTTTAAATATGATTAAGTTAAAGAGGTTAAAAATTATAAATACTATAAGCAGGTTAAGTGGGTCATATATAGATCAATACAACCACTTAATTTATTTATAATATTAAACGGGTTACACGAGTCATATATGGGTCAACACGATCCACTTAACATGTTTATGATATTAAGCGGATTAAATGTGTTCGTGTTCATGTCAATCTTCTAATTTTCATGTTGTATTTATATCAAAGTTATAAAAAAATTATTTCATACTTAAATATTGTTTCGTGCAAATGGTTTTAAATATAAAATTATTTTTTATTCAATTTTTGTAGTTTTAATTAATTATGAAATCATAAATTTTATTGATGATTCTTTTTTAGAATTTTTAGAAACAAAATCAAAATTTATGTCAGACATTCCAATGGGCTAACTGTTTGATAGGATGATAGTTTTTGAATATTTGAATAAAAAATATGGTTAGTTTTTGAGTTGAATAAATAAAATATTCAAAATAAAATGTCTTATTCAGTTGAGCGGCGGCGTTAA